GGCCTCGAGGGCCGGTAATTTCCATTACTTATTCAACCAGTAGATAAATGTATAGCATAGAGGAGAATTGATTAGAGTCGAGTAGATGGGAGTAGAGCAGATGCGAATAGAGTATATTGCAGTTTGCTGGGGTGTAGACATAACAAAAGAGAGGGGATGAGAGAAGAAGAACGCTATAGAGAGACCTGAAGAGAAAAGAAGATAGCAGAAGAGTACAGAAGAGAGCAGTAGAGAGCAGTAAACAGCAGCGGAGTGCAGAAGAGAATAATTCTCAATTCTACTGCTCGATTATTGATTTGCTATCTTTATCTTACATCTCCCACCGCCGGTTTTGGGTCTACCTTGTTGCCAAATCATTTCTTTTTACAAACACCTGGCAGTTTATAAATATAAAACGTTAGATTTCTTGTAAAACACCGGTTGAATAAGAAGGCAAGAATTAATAAAATAACCAATCGTTTTTGTCGGAAACGAACCCGGCCGCTCGGCGCTTTTCCGGCATAAATTTCGGGGGGGAAAAGTCTCCCGGGAAAGTCGCTCTTTTTACAACGATTGCCGTTCGAATACTCGTGGAAATTGAAATATGTCGGGGAAATTTCGCCGACGACTCCTTTTGTGAATACATTAGCAGACGGCGGAAAAACGTTTTGGCCGCGGGCCAGGAAAATTCGCATTGATGGATGGTGAAAAATTAGATTCGAAAATGCGAAAGATATTCGAGGAAAAAAAAATACGTTCGAATGTCTGCTGAAGGAAGCTACGCAAAGTCGTTTCGATAGGGAGGTATTCCTTGTGCAGTAGAGCGCCGGAAAAGCGAAACAAATACAGCAGGAGAGTGCAGAAAAGAGCAGAATAAAGGATTAGAAGAGAGCTGGAGAGAGCAGAAGAGAGTAGAAGAGAATATTTGAGAAAAAAATACCTATGAAAGATTTGCTGAAAGAAGCTACACGAAGTCGTTTCGATAAAGAGGTTTTCCTTATGCAGCGGAGCGCCGGAAAAGCGAAACAAATTCGATTCGCCCGTCTCGCCTAAATAGGTTATCTCCTTGCGATCGCCCTGTATAGGAAGCAATCTAAAACAAATCCATTTCCGGCGCTCCATATAAAGCTCTAAAGCACTCCTGCTAGGAGGCGTCGAGTGTAGAGAGCTTTCCGATTGAGGCGAAATTGCTTTTCTTCCGGCTCTCATACATCCCCGATATATCCGCGATAATTTTCCTTTTATTCCGGACATAATAACGCAATTAACGGGTTAGAGGGGATTACCCGATTCGACCCCGATGGAATTCCGGATCGAACGAGAAAAATAAAATCGCGAGCCTCACAGATTCACCTGCGGGAAATGCAGGACGGATTTGCATACAGGACGAAACTTCCAGATTACGTCGTTTGCATTATTCAGCGATTACCGGTCGAGGATTTCCATTGTACGGCGCTTTTCGCAACCGGAGTGGCTGGTGCACCGGACGACGGGAGGTTTAATTTCGCGGGAATTTTAATTTTTCGAAAAATTGGTGCTCTGCGAGGAGGCTAGCGGGACTCTAGGAGGGACTCTAGGATTCTAGGAGGGAGGATTGTAAGAGACTCGATTCTAAGAGAACTGTAGGACTTAAGAGGACTCTAAAAGGATTGTAATAGGACTTTAAGAGGACTCTAGGTGGACTGTAAGAGGACTCAAGGACGATTGTAAGAGGAGTCGATTCTAAGAAAACTGTAAGAGGACTATTTCAGTGACATTCTAACTTGTTCTGAACAATTCTAATTCATCGTGAAGGGTTCTAAATTGGCAGGGACAATTTTGATTCATTCTAAACTCTCCTAAATTGTTCTTAACAATTCTAATTAATCGTGAAGCGTTCTGAATGGGCTGGGACAGTTCCAATTCGTTCTAAACTGTTCTAATTTGTTCTAAAACAAACAGTTCTAAAAGGTTTTGGACAGTTCTACTTCATTCTGCACCGTTCTAAATTGGTTTGGACAGTTCTAATTCGTTCTGAACAGGTTTTATTTATCACAAAGCATTCTGAATTGTTCTAAACAGTTCTAAAAGGTGTTGAACAGTTCTAATTTATCCTGCACCGTTCTAAATTGGTTTGGACAGTCCTTATTTGTTAACAAATAGTTCTAATTCATCATGATGAAGGGTTCTAAATTGGCTAGGACAGTTCTGAACTGTTCTATATTGCTCATAATAGTTCGAATCGTCAGAGAAGTTCGATTCAAAATGTAGCAAACGAATCTACATAAAAACTCTTCAAAAAAAAAGGTTAAAACGAACGAATGTGCACATGTATCGGCGTCCGTTAGGCGTAACAGTAGCCACGGCTTTTCCGCAAAGCCATACGAATTAAAGTCGGGAATTGTTTGGATGCTTTTCAGCTTTATTTACCCACAGTATTGTGTCGCATACGCGCCGAGAAATGCACCTATTACGTTTCGCAAAAGGCGAAAGGCGAAAGCTCCGAACCATCTAAATTCGCCATCTAATCAACGTTTTCGAGCGCAAAACGCGCTACATAGTACACACAAATCATATCGCGAATACACGAGTACTCGACAGATGCGAATGTTCCGAACAGTCTCCCCCTAAACTGTAAACATTGCTCGGTCGATGGCGGTCAATTCATCGTATGATAATGAATTTCGTGAAGTATGATTAGCAATAATCCAGCTCCGCCGCGACGGGAGAACGTCCCCGAACAATGGGCGATGTACGGGGGGGGGACGGGAAAAAAAAGGGGCACGTGCGGAGGGGGCGCGTTGCATCTGCTTTGTGCAGATGTGCACGCGCGACGCCCGACACGCTGCCCTACATACAAAAGGGCCCAAAAGGGATATAAAAATCATCCACCCTTTATTGTCGACGGGCAATCGCCGTCGCAGGACCGTATTCGCGGTATATGGGGGCCCCGTAGGCCGTAAGAGTGTGGGCTCTAGGCGAGCTGGGAACGTGAAAGTTTCGGCAGGCGTAGCCCCACGTCTTGTCTTGTCTTGAAATTGAAGGTAATAGATGCCCAATGTGATATATTTCTCTGTGATAAACTACTCTGTACTGTTCTACTCTACTCTACTCTCCAAAAAAAAATCAAAATTGACATTATTGACATTTCGCATGACGGAAGTTTCGTAAAGGTGGGAATCTTTTATGGAATAGAGATGGAGTAACGACTGTTACAAAGTAAGAGTTATTTTGCAAATATTGTTCTCCTGATTACTCTACTAGGGAAATATTCTATTGATGAATCTACCCTAAATTTACTCAGATTTCACACTGAATCTAGTTTGAATCTACTATACCGTGAATCTACTCTAAATCTACCTTCTCTGAATCTGCACTGAATCAATTTTGAATCTATTCTGAATCTACTCTGAATCTAGGACTCCACTCTGAATCTAATTTGGAATCTACTCGTAGTCTACTCCGAATTTACTCTGAAACTGCTCTTAACCTGCTCTAAAACTTCTCCTTATCTACTCTGAATCAAATTTGAATCTCTTCTGAATCTACTCTACTCTAAGAAAAATTTCTACATTTTTTCGCATTCCACGCGAATAAATGGTACTTTTAAGATGCGTTCGATGATACAAAAACTGTTAAAATTGACATTAATGACATTTCGTATGAACAAAGTTTAATAGAGGTGGGAACCAATTTTTGTGGTATAGAGACGCAATAACGACTGTTACAAAATAACATCTACTCCACTCACAAAAACGCTCACCCATTAAAGAATTACCGATCATTAATGTACTATAATTAATTAGCGTAATTAGTGGTCTCGAAATTCCAGGCGATACGGTCCTGCGTGTCATCGGCTTATCGAAGCAGGCCACGGACCGGGGATTTTACGGTTCGTATTAATGATTTTATTTCGCACTAGAGCGATAGAAACGATAGGGTGGGAAAACTTTTTTGTTGTAAATACGCGCAGTAATGGCAGTTGTCGATCCGGCAAGGGCCGTTTGTTCCCCGAACGGGAAACAAAGGGAAGATGTCTGCGTGTAAAAGGGATGATAACAAAACGGTTTCGTCGCTGCCAAAACGGGATTGCGAGCGGGTGTAATTGAATGTTTTGAATCGAAATTGAAAACTTTCGGCGCGTGCGATCGTATCTGAAAGTGCACAGTATGAATGCTAATTTACGAGCACAATAATTAATTGTTCTAAACAGTTTTAAATGGTTCTAAACAGATTATGATTCATACTGAAGCGTTCTAAATTGGTTTGGGCAGTTCTAACTGGTTTTGAACAGTTCTAATTCATTCTGCACCGTTCTAAATTGGTTTTGACAGTTCTTTTGTTAGTTCTAAACTGTTCTAAATTGTTCTGAAATAGTTCTAATTCAAACTGGAAGGTTCTAAGTTGGTTTGAACAGTTCTTGTTAGTTCTAAAACTGTTCTAAATTGTTCTGAAATAGGTACAATTCATCCTGCACCGTTCTAATTTGGTTTGGACTGTTCTTGTTAGTTCTAAACTGTTCTAAATTGTTCTGAAATAGTTCTAATTCAATCTGCACCGTTCTGAATTGGTTTGCACAGTTCTAATTTGTTCTGAACAGGATTCATTAATCATAAAGTATTCCGAATTGTTCTAAACAGTTCTAAATGGTTTTGAACAGTTCTAATAACAGTAAAATAACATCGAAAAGTAACTTAAAAACTTTACTACCCTTCTGTTGAATTTCCATTCAGCTTGCTATTCGATTGTACAAAATAGAAATTCTTTAATGGTACACGTGGCGCCATCTATCGATATACATTAGTAATACTTGCGAGAGATAGGCAATACACTTTACCGAGTTTTACGAATAACACAAGTGTAAAAGGCCAAAACATAAACATGCAGTAATCCATTCAACAGTGCCCTAGTCAATACCTGTTGCAACCTGTTGTGGAAATTAAGGAGAAAACTGTTGAATGTATAAAACATGATTCGTGTGAAAAAGAGGTCCTGGAAAATGGAAAATGAGTGGAAAAAACGGGATATAATCAAACATCAGCTAATTAAGAAACGATATATTATAATATAATTATTATTAAATGGACTATTCAAAAAAGTATCTTATTAACTAAACAATTTGAGGTTCATCCGACGTTTCTTTACTCCTAGGCGGAGGTTGATCCGTGATTATATTTATGATACCCTCGAAGCCTTCGTACAGGGTAAAATTATTATCCAAAACGTTCCTTCTAACGAGAGTTTCTTGCACCTCCTTCTGTCCCATAGCTATATTGAAAGCCTCTTCCTTCGAGAGCTTCTCCAAATCGCTTCTGCGCACTTTCACTATGGCGTTTTCGTGACCGTTTACCTTCGCATAACAAAAAAAAATCTTCGTTTTCGATTTAGATTTAGTATTAAATGATTCTGGTTTACTCTACTCTGAATCTACTCTACCCTGAAATTTCTTTACTCTGAATTCACTCTACTTTGAATCCATTCCACTCTGAATCTACTCTACCCTGAGTTTTCTCTACTCTAAATCCACTCTACACTGAATTCACTCTACTCTGAATCTACTCTGAATCGACTCTACTCTGAATCTCTTCTGGACACAAAACATTCATTATACCTCGTTCGCCCAGGTTGTAGACCTCACCGTCGGCCGTCGGCGAATGTACTATAAGAGAAACTATGTACTTACTTGACAAACCAAATTCAATCGGTACTCCTCATCGCACTCCGGCCATTTTTGATCGAACACCGAACCCGTCCAATCGATTTCCTCCGTATTCAGTCGATTCGGCGCCGAGCGGAAGCCGCTCCACAATTCCGACGCGAAATGCGGCGCCATCGGGGCCAGCATAATTATCTGCACCGCCAGGGCTCTTTCGAATTGTTTGCTACGCGCGAATACCGCCGGCGGAACTTTCTGGAATAAACCGAATAAGTGAATTTTTAAAATGCGTTCGACGCTACATTAACAAAAAATTCAAAATTGACATTAATGACATTTGACATTTCGTCCGACGGAAGTTTAATAGAGGTGGGAATGACATATATGGTATAGAGGTGCAGTAACGTATGTTACAAAATAACCGTTATTTTCACCTATTCTGCTGATTACGTTACCCGTACGCTGAATCTACTCCTAAATCTACTATAAATTTCGTACCCTCAAGCTGTTGGTGAGCCCCTGCAACTTCGACACGGCCACGCTGATTTGCTGCGTCATCAGATAGTTATAGGACGTCCCGACGACGTAGTAATTGCGGGAATCCCACATGTAATCGTCGTGGATTTGGAATTGTTTGTCGTCGATCGCGGGCGGCGGCGACGTCCTGTGTTTGAGGAAATCGCGCACCGTCAACCACAAGCGCCTCTGCCAGTTCAGTATGCCTGGAAATGCTAAAAAAAATCGATTTCATCGAGTTTTTATTCATTAATGGTAAATACTCACTGTTTGTATTCCAATTCCTGTGGCTGGTAGGAGCCACATCGGCCAGTATCAACAATCTAGTGGTATCCGTACCGTATTCTTTGAACGTTTCCACCGGATCGACACCGTTGTGCTTCGATTTGCTCATTTTCTCCCAACTTATAACCACCGGTTCGCCGCCATCTTTCGTTACGGCTCTATTCTTCTTCAAATCTTCAAAGAAAAACAATCGATTACACGCATCACACACTATTAACTCGATGCTCGATACCTAATACTTCTACGTCCTTTTCCGGCAGGTATTTCCCGCTCCCTTTCACCCTGTAACTCCTCCCCATCACCATCCCTTGCACCAGCAACCTCTTAAAAGGCTCCTTCTCGGGCACCAAGCCTTCGGAATGGAGAAAGTGATTGATGAACCGGGCGTAGTACATGTGCAGTACGGCGTGCTCTTTACCGCCTATGTACAAGTCCACCGGCATGGACGCCGCGATTTTCTCTTTGTTAAACATTTCTTTAGTATTCCCGGGGTCTATGAATCGCAAGTAGTACCAAGAGCTGTCTACGAACGTGTCCATCGTGTCGGTTTCGCGTCGGGCCGCGCCCCCGCATTTCGGGCAAGCGGCCTTCACCCATTCGGGGTGGCCGGGTAGACCCTTTTGGGCGTGTTCGATGTCCGGAAGGACGACCGGTAGATCCGTTCGGGGTACGGGTAGGGCTCCGCACGCGTCGCAGTGGATTATGGGGATAGGGGTGCCCCAATATCTGGAAAATTTCGCGGTTAATAAGCGAATTAAATGATTGTAAATCGCGTACCTTTGTCTGGAAATGAGCCAGTCTCTTAGTTTGGCGCTGGTTTGGTGACCGCCGATGCCCGATTTTTTGGATTCTTCGATTATTTCGAGACGTTTTTTATCCGCTTCGGTGGGATTTAATGGGTTTATTTTATCGAATTTGATGTTGTGGTTATTCGCGAATTCTTCGGCTTTCGCACAAATTCCGGGAATACCTGATAATATACACAAAAGGTATTATTATTAAGTCAAAACCTTTAGTTTAAGACAGTTCTAAATGATTCAGGGGCGTTCTAAATGGTTCAGAAGCGTTCTAAATTGTTCTAGATGACTGCGCACCGTTCCAAATGGTTCTGAAGCGTTCTAAATGGCTTTGGACAGTTCTAAATGGTTCTGAACAATCTTAAATGATTCTACAATTCTACTCACCTACAAACGAATCCGTTGAATCGAGGAACGATATCTCATTGGTAACATAAACCGGTATCGTTTCGGAATTAAAAGGGTTCTTGACGAGAGCTTCGAGCCTAACAGTGTCCCGGCATTCGTCTAAATTCTCCTTTCTAGATAAAATGTTATCTTTGCTCACTGCTATGAATTTCACTTGTCGAATGTACTCGGGTAAATCCGTCCATAAAGTGAGAAAATCCAATTCGGATCCTTCCACTCGGAAATCGAAACTGATGCCATCGCATTCTCCGATCCAGTGCCTTTGGATTTTCTTGATATCGCGCCAATCTCGCAGCAAAGGATCGTCTAAACCGTCTAGTAGGCTCTTGGCGAAAGCTGTAGTTCTGATGTACCATTGCTTCAGGAGTTTTTTCTGCACCGTTGCTCCGGATCTCCAGGATTTCCCGTTTTCGTCCACTTGTTCATCGGCCAGCACAGTTTTATCCACCGGGTCCCAATTCACCAATGCTTCTTTACGATAAGCCAAACTGGAAACCAATCGATAATTATAACTAAACCAATATCGCTCTGTATATAAGCACACCCTCGCTCGAACAGCTTCAAAAACAACTCCTGAGTCCATCGGTAGTACTCGGGAGCGCAGGTTCGGAACTCCCTGTCCCAATCGAAGCTGCAGCCCAAGTTTTCCAGCTGGGTTTTCATGTGGGCGATGTTTTCTTTGGTCCAGGTGTTCGGGTTTATTTTGCGATCGATGGCTGCGTTCTCTGCGGGTAGGCCGAAGGCGTCCCAACCGATGGGGTGGAGCACCTGCAAGTAGGTTCTATCAAAATTTAGATATGCGGGGGTTAAGGGGTTACATTTTTGTTGTTCATTCTTTGGTATCTGGCTACAGCGTCGCTGATTGTGTATACACGAACGTGTCCCATGTGGAGTGAACCCGATGGGTACGGAAACATCGGTAATACGTAGTACTTTTCTTTGCTGGCATGGCCTTCTATGTATTTGTCGTATTTTATGTTATCTTTCCAGTGCTTTTCTATTTTGTGCTTTATGTCCGATGTTAAATCTTCTTCCTACGAATTTAAATTTAACGATTAATTTAAGGATATAATGAGTACGTTTAAAAGGTACCCAAAGATTTAAACTGGATAAGAATCGATTGAAACGTAGCTGTTTCGTTAAATTGTAGTTTCTAATGTAAGAAATGTTTTTAAAAATTATCATTTTCAAAACGGGTTAGCGAAACATAACCTGTAAATAACTTCTTTTTTTTTAAACGCCAAATGTCAATTGGATTAATCATGTTTGCAGAAACCGAATAGATAAAGACCAAAAATTGACAGATTGACATGTATTTTAAGTGGCAAACTTCGAGCTTGTTTTTTAATTTGAATTTTATTTCAGATAAACTTTTATCTAATGTAATTATTTCCTAATTAGACGATCAACAACTAAAAATTCGAAGTTTGAATTATGAAACTGCCACAGATGGTTCCCCAACATCGAATTGACGCAACCTCTTATCGCTTCGAACGGACATGAATCCAGGGTCTTGATGTGGATTTAGTAGAAATTTCGATATTAAAATGGAAAGCAGTAACGTAGAAAAATCGGAAAAAGGCCACCAACATTTCAAAGATGGTTTCATCGATTTCACAGCCGGCTCGCTAGGTAAAAATACGCCATAATTCGAATCTATTATAATTATTTATCACGTATACTTTTAGGTGGAATCGCTGTAGTTTACGTAGGCCAACCTCTAGATACAGTAAAAGTGAAAATGCAAACATTCCCCGCTCTATACAAAAACATGATAGATTGTTTCACCAACACGTTCAAATCCGACGGAATATCCCGAGGCCTGTACGCAGGCACCGTTCCCGCACTAGCCACCAACATAGCCGAAAACTCCGTATTGTTCTTCGCTTACGGATTCTGCCAGAAACTCATGGTGAATTTAACAAACACCACCGATATCGACAGCCTATCGGTCACCAGTAACGCCACAGCGGGTTTCCTGGCCTCGTTCTTCTCGTCGCTAGCCATCTGTCCTACGGAGCTGGTTAAATGCAAGTTACAGGCCATGCGGGAGACCAACAAACAACTCGAAGCCCAGGGCAAGAAGGCCACTTACATAGGCCCGGGGGAATTGACGTGTAAAATAATCAAGTCCGAGGGAGTTCGAGGGATGTTCAAGGGGCTCACGCCTACTATAGTGAGGGAAATGCCGGGGTATTTCTTCTTCTTCGGAGCCTACGAAGGTGAGTTAGTACACTATTAAACGAATGAGAGTTGTAAACGAGCCTGTTTTAGGTACGAGGGAGTTCTTCCGTAAGCCGGACCAAAGGAAAGAGGACATCGGGTTGTTCAAAACGATGGTGGCGGGGGGAGCCGGAGGGGCGGTATTTTGGACAATGCTCTTCCCCGCCGACGTTGCCAAGTCCAGGATCCAAGTGGGCGGCTTGAACGATAACATGTTTACGTTAATTTACCGGATACTCAGGCAGGAAGGCGTCGGGGCCTTGTACAACGGGCTGTTGCCCACTTTGGTCAGGGCCGTTCCGGCCACAGCCGCCATGTTTGTTACCATCGAATACAGCAAAAAGTGGATGCATTGTGTGGTTTGAGGGACGCGTGATGAATTAATGGAAATTTCGATTTTGGAGGCCATCTGTATTTATAAAATCGATCTCAAGTTGCTGAAAATGTTAATTGTTAAGTACAAAGATGTTTTGTTTATTGAGGATTTATTGAAATATATTTTATACCTTGTGGGAGCGTTTAATTAATTAATTCTAGAACTGTCTAGAACTCCTATTGAACTCCTCAGAACAATTTAGGACGCTCCAGAATTATATACAACTGTCTAGAACCATTTAAAAGGCTCCAGAAGCATTTAAAACTGTCTAGAAACCATTTAGAACGCTCTAGAATCATTTAAACCTGTCTCGAACTAAAGATTTTGACTTTAACAAGAAGAACAATCTAATTTTTCAACTGAAAATCGCGTTCTTCCATCGTCAGACCGAGAACTTTTCACCTTACCCTCGTAAATATTGCCACCAATTTTTACCTAACAAACACACCCGGTATGAAAGTAAATTGACATTAAAAAAATTGTCTAATGGATATTAAGCAAATCGTTCGAAATTGAACCCGATTTTTTTTTCTACCACCAAAAGGGATTTCGTTATAAATTTTCGTTAAAGTGAGTATACAACCCATCACCGTCGCCTCTTACAAAGCGTTCGAACAGCTCCGATTCCGCCTCATTCCAGCCCGTTCGATACACCGGCTCGAAAATGAAGATCCCCTTCTCGATCAACCCCCTCATAATGGAGGTGTACGAGCGCTCGCAGGAGGTGCAGGACCTCATCAGCGAGCAGAACATCCTCATCGACGCCCAGGACCTGGACTTCGACGACGACGAGATACCCTCGTTGGCGAATCTGTGCGTGCGAAAGATCGCCTTCTACTTCGACGAGCACCCGTGGTTCTACGAGGTGCCCTGCTCCGACAGGGACTACCTCCTCGAGCTGCTCTCGCTCGACCTCGACCTGGAGCTCACCGTTCCCTTGATCAAAGTAAGCGGACTTTCCTGTTGCACTCGAGAGGTTTAGCAGAGAAGTGTTTCGTAGAGCGAGTACTACTGGGAGCGGCGCTACCAGAAGCACTTCGGAGAAGTCATCCACCCCACGCCGAAGATCTGGACGTGGAAGAGCCTCTACCTGGAGCGCGAGGTGCAGCGCCTCGTCGAGACCGCCTCCCCCTCGATGCTGGGCGAGCGCAAGATCGAGCCGGAGCTGAAGCTCTGCGCGCCCTACGTCAAGCAGCTGCTCGTCGCCCAGCTGCAGATGTGGCGGCCGCCGTTCGGCACGGCGCCCGACGACGAGCCCGAGATCTGGCCCATCGATCACATCGACTTCACCTACGTGCTGCCCCACCTGCCCTTGGTCGAGCAGATCGACCTCGTCTACGGCATGAACGACGTGGACTTCGACTTCCAGTGGAACATGTTCCGGGTGAGCGTGCGGGATTGCCTGCAGCTGGGCAAGGCGATCTTGGCGCTGCCGGCGCTGACGTTGCTGCGCATCCGGAAGAGCAACATCGGCGACAAGCAGTGCAAGGCGCTGATGCAGAGCCTGGTGGAGAACGTCACCATCGTGGAGTTGAACATGTGCAATTGTTGCATCGGCGACGAGGGGGCGGCGTGCATCGCCAAGTTTCTGGAGGTGTCGCCCGTGCTGAAGGTGCTCAATTTGAGCAACAACGTCATCAGGGTGAAGGGGACCGAGGCTTTAGGTAATACCTACTCTTCCTCTGAAACTACTGTTGCTCTGAATCTACTCTTGCTCTGAACCCACTCTTGCTCTGAATCTACTGCACTATGAACCTACTCTTGCTCTGAATTTACTCTACTATATAAATCTATTCTTGCTCTGAATCTGCTTCACTATGAACCTACTCCTGCTCTGAATCTACTCTTGCTACGAATCTACTTTACTATGAACCTACTCTTGCTCTGAATCCACTCTTGTTCTGAATATACTCTTCTATAAATCTATTCTTGCTCTGAATCTGCTTCACTATGAACCTACTTTTGTTCTGAATCTACTCTTGCTCTGAATCTACTTTATTATATAAATCTATTCTTTCTCTGAATCTGCTTCACTATAAACCTACTCTTGCTCTAAATCTACTCCTGCTCTGAATCTACTTTACTATTAACCTACTCTTGCTCTGAATCTACTCCACTATGAATTTACTCTTGCTCTGAATCTACTCTACTATAAATCTATTCTTGCTCTGAACCTGCTTCACTATGAACCTACTCTTGCTCTGAATCCACTCTTGTTCTGAATATACTCTTCTATAAATCTATTCTTGCTCTGAATCTGCTTCACTATGAACCTACTTTTGTTCTGAATCTACTCTTGCTCTGAATCTACTTCACTATGAACCTACTCTCGCTCCGAATCTACGAATTTGAGTCGATATAAACTCTCTAGCATTTAAGCAATGAAATAACGGCGAGTTCCGTTGCAGCTTTCGCGCTGATGCAGCCGACCTGCGCCCCCTTGGCGTCGCTGACGCTCAGCCTGAATCCGCTGAGGCGAGAGGGCGCCGTGGCGATCATGCGGGCGCTGGTGCGCTGTCCGCTGCCCGAGGAGCTCTACATGAGCGCCGTCGAATTCGAGGGCGACGTCATCGAGCGGCTGGCCCAGATGATGACGGTGAACAACAGCCTGAGGATATTGGACGTCAGCTCGAATTACTTCGGAGACCAAGGGGCGAAGGTAGGTTATATGGAATGTATTGTTCGCATTGAGTCGGCTGTGGTAAAGAGTTGGCTGTGATATTGGTTGATTTGACAGTCGTGTCAGTGCGATTCTAAACGTCAAATTTCGTAGAGATCAAGGTTGCTATAAGCTATTATAGGTTGGCTCATAAGTGATGTTAATTGTCCATTGGTCTGTTGAAAAGTTGGCTGTAATATTGGTTGATTTGACAGTTCTCTTAGTGTGATTGTAAACGTCAAATTTGGTCAAGATCAAGGTTGTTGTTTTTATGCGGGCGTTGTTTTTATCAAGGTTACTATACACTATTATAGTTTGGTTTATCGGTGACGTAAATGGTCCATATTTGTCTGTTAAAGAGTTGGCTGTGGCGTTGATTGATTTGACAATTGTCTCAATGTGATTGTAAACGTCAAAATCGGCAGAGATCAAGGTCACTATACGTTGTTATAGGATGGATCGTCGATGACGTCACGCGTTTTGATCTCGGCGTATATTATTACATTTTTAGACGATAATAGAGGCTTTGGAGAGGAATAGCATGATTGAGTGGTTGGATATGCGCGAAACTGGCATATCGGAGGAGCGACAGGCCGATATTACTAAATTGTTGAGGAGGAATCAAGGGTTGCCATTGGACGCAGCCGACGATGCCAAAGACGATTTGAAAATCGAGGGTAGCGATGACGGGAAAACGATGGACGAAGATGAAGATGATATTTAGTTTATTTTTTTTTTTTATTTATATTATAACATGTGGGAAAAAAACCTAGTTTAACGACATAAACGTAGTTTTATTTTGATATGTAAGGAAGCGTCCTCTATACAGGGTGGCCCATTGAAAAGGAAAAACAGAGGTGTTTTCGAGTTGAGAAAATTGATTTTTATTTTACCTTTTGCCCAGCAACCCCAACCCTTCAAAATCGAATAGCGAATATGGGTCGTTAATACCTCATTTTTCAAAACTTGAAACTCCCCTATTGATGGCCTTTAACTCTTCAGAAAACCAACTTTAATACAAAACCAACTTATGTACGAAACCACCACATTCCAGCCTCCCCTATATACCGCATCTCTTCAGCGAACCACCCTGTACATCCCTCGTCCTGAAACCCCGCAAAAAAGTCCATTAAAAACGCGAGAAAATCGCGTATCGAAGACCCCCCGATAAAGAAAATAGACCGTAGCATACAAGCAGAAATACCTAGGTAGAGAGAGATTCGGACGGGCGGCGCGCGGCGTCCCGACGGCCCCGGCTAAGGGTCGATCCGCCGATCTTCGCCGACGCCGGTCACTCGCGACGCCAGTGCTTTCGCAGGCGTCGCGGCGCACCGAGCGTCCCGTTTGGCGTGTCGTAGAAGTTCTCTGGCGCATTTGTGCACATTGGAATTTTCGAAATTTCGAAATCGCGGAAGGTTTGTTTGTGAGCGTGGTTTTTCTTCGTGGTGGAAAAAGGGGGAAGTAGCCGATAGGTAGGATTTTCGTTTTTCGACGAGCGTTTTGCTTATTTTTTATCGCGCGTCTGTGGTCAGGATTGGATGCGGGATTTGTTTGTTTGGGTATTCGGGATAAATAAACTCCCGGGTTGTTTTTGCTGATGCGGAGATTTACGAGAGATTTTGCTTGTGTACAGGATGTCCCTTTGCGATTTGTACCGAAATATTTTTTCTCTTTACCATCAGGAGATAACTAAAATTTGCTGATGAAGAAATCTGAAATATCTTGCACAATCGATAACCCATCCCCGTGTTATGAGGGGTCGGATTCTCAAAATAGCTCGAAATGTAAACTGCTCATCTTCATCAAATTTCCAAAAACTGATCGATACATGCGTGCTAATTTTGAATACCCCGACCCACACCGAATCGAAATGTCAATAGAACAAGAAATTCGTTAAAAATTTCGATAATTTTGTATCAATATACAGGGCGTGTAATTTTCACCTGTCGCTTTAAATTTAATGAAAATTAACAACTTTATCGATTATTCTATGCGATAAACATCCAATTTTCATTTAATTCCTATCGTAATAGTCATCAACTCAACCTAAACGAAAAATTGCGTGCGCTATTTGAATTATAATTAATTAAAATTAATTAATAAGCCTAATTGAAAATTATCGCACTAATCCACTCACACTCGATATATATACAGAGCGTCACAAAATAAGTTGCTTTTCATCATAAAAAAAATATAATAATTGCTGTTTTTTTGTGACACCCCGTATCAGATATAAATCAAAAACCATTATAAATACACCTCTTTATAAATAGAGATATATGAATGCAACATTTTCTAGCCGGAATATTACGCGATTTTTTTCGGTTTCCACCATTATAGCGTATTTTTAAATTCCCGATGGGGGGAATTAGATATATTAATTTTATTTATTAATATCTCGAATATATTTTCGGGCGCTTCGCTCTGCTTTACGAATCGCTGCTGACACGATTTAATTCGAGATTATTATGCAATAATGTTGCTGTACACGATTCTGGAGCGTTCTGAATGGTTCTAGACTGTTCTAAACGATTCTGGAGCGTTCTAAACGGTTCTGAAGTATTCTGGATGGTTTAAAACAGTTCTAATTAATTCTCAAGCATTATAAATGAATCTGGAGCGTTCTAAATGGTTCTGAAGTGTTCTGAATAGTTTATTAAGACAGTTCTAGTTAATTCTGAGGCATTCTAAATAAATCTTTACCGTTCTAAACAGTTCTAATTGATTCTGGAGCGTCATAAATGGTTCTAAACAGTTCTGGAATTATTTATAACTGTTCCCAAGAGGAAACAAGAATTGTCGCTGATTGGAGTACTTTTCACCCCTCCCTCGTATATGATTGTTCGTTAAGTCTATTATAGAATTGTTTCGGGGAAGCACACAAGACAGGAATTGATGATAATTAGAATATCGCATAGTTAGAATTTCCCGTGCCGGGAGACGAGTTAATTAAAATTATTCAATTTATATATACATCAGAGATTTAGAGCGCGCGCCATTTAATCCGCAAAGAAAAATAATTAATTCGCTATTGTTAGATACGCCACGTTCATTATAAACCAGCGATAACGTCGCAATCGAGCTACATAAAATCGCAAATAATTTATTAATACAAAACAGCATTAGAATTAGATTTAAGCGAGATCGTTGTAGACTCCGTCGTTCCACCATTGCCTATCGGCCGTCGCGAAAACGGCGAAAATCGCGCCGGAAACGAAGTACATGGCGCTTCCGGTCACTATGATGATCCTCCATTGGTCCCTGTCGCTCTGAAACCCACCGATAAAACGTTACCCGAATAACCGCCACGTAAGAGGCCACCAAAAAAAAAGAAGAAACGGCGCGCTTTACTTACTAGATCGGTGACGACGTATTGGACGGCCAACGGGGTGACGATGGAGAGGAGCTCCTCGCCCTCGTTCATCACGCCCATGATGGTGCCGGCGAAATTGGGCGAGAGATCGTAGTGGTTGATGGAGTAGCCCGATGAGATGGCCGAATGCACGCCCGTCGAGGCCACCAGCAGGGCGACGGCCACGTAGCGATCGGTATTTTCCGGTAGATAGCCGAAGATGAGCAGCAGAACGCCGGTGGCGAAGCTGCCTGGAAGGCGGGAGGATTTGGCGTGAATTTGGCGAGATTTTGGGGGTGGAAATTTGGAGAATTATGTACGAATTGGTGCAGAAATAATGTTGCTAGAATGGGTAGAGTTTCAAGGGGTTGCAAGGATTTGAGGGTAGAAATTTGGAGGTTTTTGTACGAATTGGTGTGAAAATGAAGTTCCTAGGATCAGTAGTTTGGAGTATATATGGATGGGAATATTGAAGGGGGTTCGTAAAAATGATTTAAAGGAGCATTGGAGGGTTGAAGGGAGTTGAGTAGATTTGGGTGGTGGCAATTTGGAGAATTATGTACGAATTGGAGCTGAATTGAAGTTGCTAGGATAGGTAGAGTTTCTGAGATATGGTTGAGAATGTGGAGGTTAAAATGATTAATTGGGGAAATTGGAGGTGGAATTGGAAATGGGGGTGGAAATTTGAAGAATTATGTATGAATTGACGTGAAAATGAAGTTCCTGGAATTAGTAGTTCCGGAGATATGGATGGGAATATAGAGATATGTATGCCTGGATAGGCTATGCAAAAAATGGAATTATCACCAAAACTGGATGAGTTGGAATGATAACATAAACAGTAAAAGTGAAGAACGAAGTATTTTCTACAAATTAACGCCCAAAACGAAGTTTCCACAACAGTTTCGGAGTCACAAGTGAAAATATAAAAATAGTCACATTTTTATGTCACGCGATAAATCGGAAAACATCCCCTAAACTGGACGAGATAAAATATTAACGTGAATATAAAAGTTGAAAAACGACGATATAACATAAAAAGGAAACTTTCACAATGGAGAGTTGAGGAGTTCCGAACGAATAAATAAACTTTTACCTATCGAGTTGAACATTCTCCTGGCGTTAATGGTGGATAAATATCCCTTATTTATCAAGTAATCGGACGAGAAACCCATCACGTAGGTGAGAAGAAAGTTGGCTATGTATTGCAGTGAAGATAACAGTCCGTTCTGTAATCATTCGTTAAATTTACTAGTCGATATCATTATTTTTTCCATAATACTGTCAATATCAAATAATTCCTGTTTTATTAATAAAATTACGTCAATATTTTATATAGTACTCCAATGTAGAGTTGAAATTATACCGTATAATAATTCCTCTCGTATACACGAGTATATTTTACATGAAAATCGTATTTGCCGATCCAATAAAACAGAGTAATTGATTTTCCACTGGACATCGTTTTCCGGGACAAATTGAATAAAAAAAATACTCGACATTCGTACAAGCAATAAAATTATCCATTTACTCCCCATCTATTCAACGTTCGATTATCGATTGGACCGTGGAAAATTTTCTATACGTCCATTATACGAAAATGTTGCAGACAATAAAATAAAAAGAACTCCACCTACCGAATTAATATCGAACTTCAGCACTTTATCGAAGTACGTGGGCATTTCTGACATCACAGTAGCTGAACCCCATCCATTTCCGAGGCTGGTGCAGAAAATCGTCCAAACCGGCAAGGAAGTCAAAATGGCCTTCCACGGTATTCTCGCATTCTACAATCAATTCCTGTATATGCCCCTCGATCATTTTTTACTCGAATTTATTAACCAAAAATAAACGTATACGAGAGTATAAGGTGAAAAGTTCTCTCTAGTTTAGAAGCATTTAGAACTGTCTAAAACAAGTTGGAACTGTCTAAAATCATTTAGAACGCTCCAGAATCACATAGAACTGTCTAGAACCATTTCGAACCCTTCATTTAAAACTGAATAGAACTATTTAGAGCGCTTCAGAATCATTTAGAACGCTCCAGAATCTTATAGAACTGTCTACAACCATTTAGAACGCTCCAGAATCATTTAGAACGCTCCAGAATCACATAAAACTGTCTAGAACCATTTCGAACCCTTCATTTAAAACTGAATAGAACTATTTAGAGCGCTTCAGAATCATTTAGAACGCTCCAGAATCATTTAAAAAGCTCCAGAATCATTTAGAACGCTCCAGAATCATTTAGAAAGCTTCAGAATCATTTAGAACGCTTCAGAATCATTTAGAACGCTACAGAATCATTTAGAACGCTCCAGAATCTTATAGAACTGTCTAGAACCATTTCGAACCCTTCATTTAAAACTGAATAGAACTATTTAAAGCGGTTTAGAATCATTTAGAACGCTCCAGAATCTTATAGAACTGTCTACAACCATTTAGAACGCTCCAGAATCATTAAGAACGCTCCAGAATCATTTAGAACGCTCCAGAATCATTTAGAACGCTCCAGAATCATTAAGAACTCTCCAGAATCATTTAGAACGCTCCAGAATCTTATAGAACCGTCTACAACCATTTAGAACGCCCCAGAATCATTCTAAAACAAACTAGAACGCCCCAGAATCATCCGGAACCGTCTAGAACCAAACAATTCAATTTAACAAGAAGAATAACGAAATTTTCCGCGTTCCCGTTCATCGCCATATTCCGAGAACTTTTCGCCCTATACCCTCGATCACTTACCCTCGAATAGTCCAAAACGCCGAGCGATCGTTCGATATAAACCCTCTCCTCGCGCGTGATCGAACCGACCGAACCGGGCCCGTCGCGCCCCAAACAGTAATAGAGCGCCGACCAAGCGACGCCGAGCGCCCCGAACAGATAGAAGTTACTCGGCCAGCCCCAGGAGCTCCTGCAGAGGCACCCCGTCAGCGAGTAGGTGACCACCAAGCCGAGCGTCGATCCTGCCAAACACCGAAATACACTGACCTGCGCCGGTGTAGAAAGCGGAACGTACCGGAGAACATGAGGCCGCCGACGCGCGCCCGCTCCTCCACCGGCACCCATTTGGCCTGCAGCGTCGACGAGAGGGGGAAGAAGACGCCCTGGGCGAGGCCCTGGAGGGCGCGGCAGGCGATCACGCCGCCGGCGCCGAGGCGGGCGGCGGCGAGCGGCGTCAGGAGCGCCAGCGTCGAGTTGGCGGCCATGGCGAGGAGCAGGAGGTTTTTGGCGCCGAATTTCATGCCGAGCGCGCCGGCGGGGATCTGCAGGACCACGTAGCCCCAGAAGAACGACGAGAGCACCACGCTGCTGTTCGGCCAGTCGTAGTACTGGAAGGTTTTTTTGGAGGTTGTGATTGGGGTTAGATTTTTTTTTTGGGACTCACCGGTATGTCGGGGTTGGAGGAGGTCCGCTCGGTCATGGCCAAGATGGCGATGGACAGGTTGTACCTGGTGGAGTACGCTAAAATTTTCAGCGTGAATAGCAGTATGTATTGGACGTGGCGTTTGCCGAAAATCGGTCCTGGAATTGGTTAAAAAAACGGTACTAAATTGGTCCTATTCAGCGCTCATTAATCGTTACAAAAAGTCTCTTCTACTTGACAGTTTTACATTGTTGTTATGGAGTAACTAAGAAGATTCTTTTAAATTGACAGTTTTACATTGTTGTTATGGAGTAACTAAGGAGATTCTTTTAAATTGACAGTTTTACATTGTTGTTATGGAGTAACTAAGGAGATTGATTCAATTGACAGATTTACATTGTTGTTATGGACTAACTATATTAAGGATATTGTATAGGTTAAAAGGAGCGCTGAGATAAATATAAAAAAATTCAATTATTCAGTTAATTACCCGTATTCGTTTCGTCGGACATTGCACGATACAATAATATAGACTAAATAGATAACATTTAGTGTTAGTATATTTATTTACATATCTAATTATATGCCGCCGATTACAACAAATCTAGAGTGCTCTGTCCTCAAAACAATGTAATTATCATTATTTTATCAAATTGTTTTTTAGATTTATTATTTTTTATTTAATCTGGTCAATTTGTTGTTAATATGAGATAAATATCAATAAAGGTTTTTATTAATTGTCTCTTATCTCTTGATTGCAATTTTTAGACAATTCTAAATGATTCTTGAACGTTCTAAACAGTTCTAATTGATTCTGGAGCGTTCTAAACGGTTCTACACAGTTCTCATTGATTCTAAATCATTCTAAACGGTTCTACACAGTTCTCATTGATTCTAAAGCGTTCTAAATGGTTCTAAACAGTTCAATTATAAATATCCCAAAAAAGGCACCAAAATTTTTGCTGATTACAAACGCCCAACTTAGTTGGGCCAAGTGTCACATTTTTTTTGATACACCCTGTACACGGAATTTTTATTAAGATTTTTTCCAATGATGCAGTTGCCATGGAAACTTGGTAACAACGTCACGTTATACCCCTGCGGCGTTACAACCCCGCAAAGTTATTTTCTACGTTCTAATTTCACGTGACTCGGGCGCTCTCCGGTATGCGAAATAAGGGATGCTCGTGCCCTTAATCCCCCCTTAATCGGCCCCCCCGAGAGACTAATTAATTTATTATTCCGGGAGGAACCGGCACCTTTTCGGGGAAACGGGATGGGCGGGGGGTATCGACCCTAAAATTAAAAAAAAAAAAGTCAATCGGAAAGGGCGGGAAGAAGCGTATGGCAAAATAAATATCGAAAGAGGAGCGTCGGGCGGGTCGGCGACCCGCGGCCCTCAACCTTTCGGGACTCGGAAAATTCGTCTTGCGTTTAGGGGCGCAATAAATCCGGCGAGAGGGCGATCGGGAAATTCGCCGGGCCGGAAAACGAGAAAATCTCGCGGGTACGTCTCCCGTCTATCGATTTTCGTTCCAGATGGGATGGCGGACGCGTCTCCGTGACATTATACGCTCGGAAAACCGAGCTGGAAAATCAATTTTCCGTCACGGGCGATGCTCGATTACGAGGTCTATACGATATCGGAGATAACACCCCATTTTTTTCTATAGATTATGCGTTATAATAGGAAATTTTAATCGTGTTAAGTTACGCCACTATTAACAGTTATTTTGTCACTTGTTTTCGCCACCTCTATTAAACAACTTATTACAGATTCCTGTATTACCATCAAGTGAAGAAGTTGAGGAATTGAATTAATAAAAATATGCAAGTACACCATGAAATTCATAACAAATCTTCAAAAATAATTTATAAATAAACTAATTCATAAAAATAAGTCGTACATTGTTATTATTACAATTTAATCACATATTTGCAGAAATGATTTTTTGACTAGTGCAGTGAAATTGATGTTTGTGACAGATCACAGTGTACTCTGATTATTATTATATTATTTATTTTAAGTACTATATAAAGAGAAATTGGTCTACTTTGCGGCTAAATTTTAACGGAAATTGGTGGAAATTCGATATTGCCTTCGTTTTGAAGCAATTAAAAGAGGTACTAACCTGGTTAATTAGCGAGAGTGCTATTCCCAAGCAGCGCTTCTTCCAGTATACGGGTGAATATTTCAAGCAGTGGTCGATAACTCATTCCTAATGATCGATAAAAATAAACGTTGAATACACAAAAAATATCACCATTTTGGTAAAATTCGCGATTCACAATAAACTAAAGCTACCGAAAGCTAATTTTTGAAAATTCAAATTCAAGTCGGCGTTGATACTAAAAGTGACAAGTGACAGAGGTCGCAGGTATGGCAACTACTCATTTCGAAATCCCCCAAAAAAAACTGTCATTTTTAGGAACTTCTTCATCATTATTTTAGGAAATAAATGTAATCTTCCCGTTTTTTCGTTCCAGAATCCAGATGGACGGGCAACGGTGGAGATCGCTGTGGCCGAGGTTCCTGGGCGGAACGGAAACCGGCTAAACTAATCGCCGCTATCTCGATGGCATCAACGATGTAATTAGGTGGCCTTTGACCGAACAGGGCGGCAGCGACTAGTGCCCTTACGGCCCCCAAAACAGCCGGCGATGGGCTGTGGTCACAGCAAAATCAACATTTATCCTAGAAAGTCGAGAAGCAAAACTAATTCCAAAAAATCAGGTTGGTAAAATGTCATTATATCAAAAATGTTTAGTGAGCTTTTGTTGAATTGAATGTCATTAATAGCAACATACCATGATAAGGTGATACTTCTACCCACGTATATTAATGACGTTTGACATTTTGGAACATTGTGAAGTTGGTCCTGTTGCTATAGCGTTTCGCTGGTATCGAGGAGGTCGTGGGTTCGAATCCCAGTCGTGTGATAATGAGTTTTTTATTTTGTAATTTTCCATGCGAATCGAGCGAGAGTAATGGAATTTCTATAAATAGCGAGATGATTACAAATCACCTTCGATTTCCGCCGTAAAGCGTACAAACAATAATAACTCGAAAAGGGAATTATACGCCGATCGGGGCCAATTTATCAGTCAACAGGTTTCCTTGAGCAACAATAGCCGAGGCGGAATTAATACCGTATTTATAATTCCTCCGGGCGGGAAGATCGATTTCCCCGCCCGGCGATGATGCATGATGATGATGATGATGGGAAAAGTGCCGCGACGTTCGTGCGTCGGATTTTCCAGGCGCCGGTTTTCCCTATACCTGTAATAAGAATTTTCTGTCAATCGATAGAGATTACCTACCGTGTGTTTTATACAGGGTGTTAATTAATTTAGTGGCGATACTTGAAGATGGTGAATATTTGGAGGATTTTAAGATAAAAAGTTTGTATTTATTTTAATTTTAATTCATTTTTAGAAAACAAAATGACTTTTCAAGTCAACAAATTGCATGAATTTTATTTAGTTACAGCGGAAAAGGCGGAATCCGAAGAGGAAGAAGGCGTCGAACCGGAACCGGAAAATCCCGAAGACTCGGAAGATTGCGATAAGAAAACCATAAAATTCAAGCCCTTCGGCGGACCGCTCTTGGCCCAAGCGTAAGTATATAAATTAATAAAAGCGCCTTTAGCCATTTTATTTATAGTCTGTTCGCTATCAGGAGGTATATACTTACAAGGGTAAGTTGAAAAGTTCTCGGCCTGACAATGAAAAACCGCGATTTTTAGTTCGAAAATTGCATTATTCTTCTTATTAAGTCGAAATATTTAATTCGAGACAGTTCTAAATGATTCTGGAGCGTTCAAAATGACTGTGGAGCGTTCTAAATGGTTTAAATATGTTTACAAAATTTAAATAAAAAATAGCTAATTTTGTATACTTCATTAGCGATTTAAAAGAAAAATAAAAGGAATAATTAAAAGTAATACAGCAGAAGTATAGAATCAACTTTCCTTTTTTATTTGCTTCTTATTTTACTTTTGTATAAGTTACATGGTTCCTAAATAAAAGCGAAAATACGGAAACAGTTATAGAAATCAATTTTTGCCTTGAGAATGGACTCTTAAGACAGTTATAAACTCTTTTAAATGATTCTGAATAGTTCTAATCAGTTCTATTCAGTTCTAATTGACTCTGTAGTGTTCTAAACAGTTCTAATTAATTCTGTAGTAATCTATAAATGATTCTATCGAATTAATTCGAATTAATTATAAATGTCCCAAGCAGGAAACGAGAATATCCGCTGTTTGGGGCGCCCTCCGCGTATCCGTGTGGCCAAAAACTTTTCACCCTACCCTCGTAGCATCTTCTTATAGCGAACATAAACTACTAATAATTTAACATCGTATTTTTCCTCATTCGAAGCGAAATCTCCACCAGCCAACAAGACTTCTTCAAAATGCTGGACGACAAAATCCAAAACGTAAGCTCGAATTTCTTTAATAAATTTTCTGTAAAACCCTTGTACAAAACTACCCTCGAAATGCTATACCATTTCTAGACCACCTCAAACTCTATACCGATTCTAGACCATTCTCTCGAAAGTGGTACGGAACTGGTATAGCTATAACTACTATTTCGTATCCCCATATACACCATACAGTTCAATAAATCTATTTATTTATTTATTTATTTATTTATGGGGTAAACAGGGCCCCGATTACGACTCCGAAGGCGAGCTGGAACGGGCCGAAGAAACCGCCCGGCTGCGCGCCCTCCTCAGAGACTGGGAGACGGCGAGCGCCGGCTCCAGATCGCTGCCGGCCACCCCCAAGCGGCGCCCGGCCTGGCGCGGCGACGGCGCCGTCCGCTCCGCCGATCCGCCGCCCGATCGCCGGGTCTACGTATCGCAGGTAAACCCCTCCCGGCCATTATAGTAGAGAATATAGAGCGAAAAAGGCGTGTATTCATAGATGATAGATCAAAGATTCGTAGAGAAGAAAATTGAATTTTGCGCATACTGTCACTTGTCATTTAAGGTAGATAGCCACAGAGGCCGAATAGCCACAGCAGTTGAGGCCTCAAAACGAAGAAGAAGAAGTAGATAACCAGTGTTGCCGGAAGTAGCGGAATTCCGCTATTTTTAGGCGATCGTGTCTATGCCTGATATGGCTAAAATGAATGAAATTCTCTATCACTAATAGTTTCAAAAATCTTAAATCGTAATTAATATACACCTCCGATTGCAACATGGTCATTTCTATGAGTGGGACAAAGAAAGATTATTAAAATGACAGTTGTCAGAGTGAAAAGTTGCAATGACACAAATGTCACTCTTTCCTTTTCCTTTATAAGTGTCCAATGGAAGTTGTCTTTATCGCACCCATGGCCTATATAACCTAAATTTTTTATGTTACAATCAAAAATGGAGCAACCTGTATATGTATTGAATTTCCTATTTACTACCCACTTACTACTTTATTTTTCAAATTTTCTTGGAAAAAAATATGAATATTCGTCATTAACGACTTGAAAACACAATAATATAAAAGAATAGTAATAGTAATACGGGCTCAAATAATTGAAAACGGCCAAAAGTTGTAAAAAAAATCATTTAAAACATTCAACGCTTGTAAACAAAACGATAAATGGATAAATGTCGCGTTTTGACTTTTCTACCTTAAATGACACGACGAAATGTCAAAATTGTCAAATCTGTCAAATCTGTCAAATTCAATTTATTTCATTATTTCCACGCGCATCCGACCGCTTTTGCCACTCTATATTTCATTTCTCTATTCTCACCCCAAAAACCGGCAACGCCGCATTCAAAACGTATAACATTCGCGCGCAGATCCCGCCGAGCGTGATCCACCAATCGTACGGCGTCGCGCAGCCGCAGTACCGCCAATTGACCTACAACAATCCGAACTACGTCAACCAGAGCCCATCGCACCAGATGGCCTCGTACCCGTCGGCCATGCAGTACCAGGCCATCAGTCCGATGTACGCGGCGCAGCCGCCGATGCGCCACCACCAGGCCGGCTACCAGGTGAATCCCGCGAAGGCGTTCATCGGCAACCCGTCGCCCAATCACATACCGTACGATCAGCCGGTCGCCTATTCGCCCGCGCATCGGGTGTACGGGGTGCAAGGGACGCCGCCCCCGACCGTCGCCCTCAAAAATACCGATCTGGGGGTACGTACGAGGCGGCTACGCGAATTACTTTGCTCGTTATCGCTTTATCTTTGTTCGTATGGCATTATCTAACTTTATTATCGCGTTTTGCTGCTTCAATATTACTTTATCTTACTTTATGTCGCTTTATTTGGCTGTAAGTAGGTTTTTTCGTAGCGTAAGGATACTTTAGAGGGCATTATCTTACTTTAATATCGCATTTTGCTGCTTCATTATTACTTTATTACTTTATCTTACTTCCTGATGCTTTATTTGGCTGTAAATAGGTTTTTTCGCAGCATAAAGATACCTTTAACTCGCTTTATTGAGGTCCAAATCGCTTTATCTTACTTTAGAGGGCATTATCTAAGTTTATTATAGCATTTTACTGCTTCATTATTACTTTATCTTACTTCATGATGCTTTATTTGACTGTAAGTAGGTTTTTTCGCAGCATAAAGATACCTTTAAGTCACTTTTTTATGGTCCAAATCGTTTTATCGTATTTTAGAGGGCATTATTTAACATTATTATCGCATTTTACTGCTTCATTATTACTTTATCTTACTTCATGATGCTTTATTTGACTGTAAGTAGGTTTTTTCGCAGCATAAAGATACCTTTAACTCGCTTTATTAAGGTCCAAATCGCTTTATCTACTTTAGAGGGCATTATCTTACTTTATTATCGCATTGTACTGCTTCATTATTACTTTATCTTACTTCATGATGCTTTATTTGACTGTAAGTAGGTTTTTTCGCAGCATAAAGATACCTTTAAGTCACTTTTTTATGGTCCAAATCGTTTTATCTTACTTTAGAGGGCATTATCTAACTTTATTATCGCATTTTGCTGCATCATTATTACTTTATCTTACTTCATGATGCTTTATTTAAATGTAAGTAGTGTTTTTGCATCATAAAGATGTCATTAACTCGCTTTATCATGTTACAAATAGCTTTATCTTACTTTAGAGGGCATTATCTAACTTTATTATCGCATTTGCTTACTTCATTATTACTTTATCTTACTTTCTGAAGCTTTATTTAACTCCAGGTGGGTTTTTTGCTGCATAAAGATGCCTTTAACTCGCTTCATTTTGGTCCAAATCGCTTTATCTTACTTCAAATGACATTATCTAACTTACCTATCGCATTATCTACCTCCTTATTGCTTCATTCTACTTCATATCGCTTTATTTACCCGCAGATATGCTGTTTATTGCCGTATAAAAACACATTTTCTTCTCTTTATCTCCTACATTATCTACCTTCAATTATCTCATTTTCCCGCCGAGGCATTCCAACCGAAGACGCCTCATATTTTATCATTTGCAGTACAAAGGCGCTTACACGAACGGCGAGCTGGTGCAGCAGCAGCAGCTGCTCTACAACCAGCACTCGATGCAGTACCAGCAGTACAAGGAGGCCAGGGAGCAGGTGCTGGCCCAGAACCAGGGCCCCCAGGGGCCGCAGCTCCACTACAGGGCGGCGCCGAAGGGCTACGGGCTGCCCGCGGCGGCGGCGAAGGGGCCCCAGCAGGGGGAGGCGGTGGGGCTGGGGGGGCAGCGGAAACAGTACGAACTCACGTGATATAATGATTACGTTTAATTCGATAAGCTGTGGGGGGTGTAGTGGTAGATAAAAGGGGGGTCGGGGGGGTTATTTTTTTATGCGTGTGTGTAATCGTTTACACCCTGTTGCCAAATTTTATTGCCGGATGGTTTTTTAAATGTTTTAGCGAATTTAAAATGGAACCCTTTTAAAGTACCTATTTGAGGATTTTATTTTGTTTGAATGCGCTCGAAATTTGTTAGTTAAGGGGAGAAAATGTTATAAGGGTTGTTTACAAATTGATTATCTTACTTTATCTTACTACGAGAACGGTAAAATCTTACTTTATGCTGCTTTATTTAACTGTATAGGTAAGTTTTTTGCAGCATAAAGATACCTTTAACTCGCTTTATTATGTTACAAATCGTTTTATCTTACTTTAGAGGGTATTATCTAAGTTTATTATCGCATTTTTACATTATTACTGAATATATATTGCTTTAGTAGAGGATATATTGTTTTATAGGTTTGTTTGGAAACATTGTAATAAGGGAGAAAAACGGGGAGTATTTTTAAAAGGTTTTTTTAATTAAAAATCTAAATAAATAAATAAAGAGCGCATTCAGATAAAACGTGTAAAATTAGTGTATAAACTTAACTACAAATTAATAAAAGAAGAATTATAAAAGTAGCTTTTAGAAAATTTAGATACTCTATGAACGTGCGGGTGAAATCGATTTTCGAAAATTTAAAAAAATTCTATAAAAAACAGGATATTTTAGTCGAAAAGCGGCTTTTCCCGCACCCTTGATTGTTAGATAGAATCATATATTTAGATATTCGCCGGTAAATGAATTTTTTTACCCGGGGACTACCCGGAAAAAAATTTATTTACTCTGCGATTTTACTATATGTTAGCAAATCTTTTCGAAATGTGATATCGTAATTCTAGACAAAAAAAAAGGAGAAACTATCATCAATGTATAAATGTTTCATGTGAAAGAAAAAGAAGCCAAATATTAGACACTATAACAAAGGAATTAAAAAAATAATAAATATCAAACCCATAATAATTCACCCTCATTTTTTTAAATCATTTTATTTGCGTAAGTTTTTATACGTATACAAAAAAAAGATTTTATTATAATTATACAAAAATTTTTTTTTTTGTTATTGTTACATTACAAAAGCGACAAAATCCTATTATTATTCAAACGCTATTTTGTTTCGAATTAATTAATTAATGAATAAATTCGAATTAAAAATAAACAAAAATACACCAAAAAAAAAACCATGCTTCTTATTGCAAACGGATACTTCCCCCGTTCGGGCATTCCCCCTTGCTCACCACCTTCAAACCTGCAAAATAAATAAGTAAAAATAAATAAATAAAATGCAATAAATACAGTGCAAAATAAATAAATAATCGAGTAGAGTTATAGAAGATGAGTCAACGAAACAACGCAAGGTTTTTCGACTTAATCCACCCCAAACAAATCGAATAAACAAACAATAAACATACAGGGTGGATCACCAAAGCAAAGCAGAGTATTCGCCCAACTATAAAATTCACCCTGTATAAACCGAACCGTATAAGAATCACCGAAAGGCTTACTTTGATTGTGTTCGCAATTGAAGTTCTCCAAGACGCATTCGCTGCCGAAGCTCTTGTCCCCTTTTCCAGTGCCGTCCCCGCCGCAAACGGGGGCGTACTCCGCCCCGCTGCAGTCCTTAATGCAGGCCGGTTTCTTCTTCAGCGAGGCCTTGGTGGAGCCTTTGGAAGGCATCGCTTGCACCAAAGCCAGCGCCAAGGCTGCCCAACGAACGAATTAATTAGAATATTTATACTTATAATACAGGGTGGCAGATTGAAAAGTAGCCCTATTTAACACACGCGGTTTAGTTTTGATTGTACAGTGGCGTGGAAATTTTGCATCACCTGTACAGGGTGTTTTATCAAAATCCCCTCTTTTCGATTCACATTAACCCAATTTTCTTTTGTACACCTTCTTTCGTACAAATAATCGGTTACTGTTAATTTAAATGAGGAGATTTTTATAAAACACCCTGTATACTGGTAATACAGTAGATAAATTCTGTATCACTGCAAGAAACACAACTTACAACGAAGTAAAACGTATGATTAGACGTTTAAAAGTTAGAAGGTGATGATTAAACGGGGCACTTTTCGTTGGGACGCGCTGTATAATGTAATAATTGGGATTTTTGCTTACCAAGGACGAAGAAGAGCACAATTGAGATTTTCATTTTGGACGCGTCGTTTGCGGTTGGTTGAATAATGAACGTGTCAACCTGATTTAACAGGTTTTTATACCGGCCGGATGTTCGATGGTTTATAGTCCGTGGGCCTGAGTATAGCGCGAAAACTATTCGATGTACCCTCGTATAAATCCAAAAAATTTACGTACTAGATCTTACACGAGCATTTTCAATTTTTTTTCTCCTACAACTGACTAGATTTATTCGCTTTTACAAGGGTAAGGTGAAAAGTTCTCGGTCTGACGATGAAAGATCCGATTATTGTTCCTATTAAGTCAAAATCTTTAGTTTGGGATGGTTCTAAATGACTGTGGAGCGTTCGGAATGGTTCTGAAGCATTCAAAATGGTTCTATATAAACAGTTCTAAATGATACTGGAGTGTTTAGTGATTCTGGATCATTTAGAAAGTTTTAAATGATCCTATAGATCCTTCCGAATGGTACTAGACAGTTCTAAATAATTCTGGTGTATTCTAGATTGTTTTAGACAGTTCTAAATGGTTCTAGAAAGTTCTAAATGACTGGAACTCTCTAAAGGGTGCCTACTAGACAGTTCTAATCATTTCTGGAGCCTTCCAAACAGTTCTGATTGATTCTGGAGCGTTCTAATTGGTTACAGACAGTTATAAATGATTATGGAGCGTTCTAAATGTTTCTGGACTATTCTAAACGGTTCTGGACAGTTCTAGAATGAATTATAAATAAAAAAAAACCAAGGAGAAAACAAGCATTTTCGCCGATTGCAGCGCTCTCGGTGTAACATGCCGAGAACTTTTCATCCTACCCTCGTAGAAGATAAGTATTTCGGGTGGATTTCGGAACAATGGAAACGTACTGTAAACCGGCTCACGGATCATCACAGCGAATTACACGGCGATAATCAAACAATCAAGCGCCGGTAAGTGGCTGGAAAACCGCATAGATGAGGCCACTCGTTTCGTTACGAGCGCTGTACATAATGGCATGAAGCACCTAATACTTTTATCGGATTTTATCATATATATCTCTTAGAAGGGGATACTTTGTTTTAGATGCATCTCGTCTCTCTCTGTCAACAGGAAACTAGATCCAATTGGTCGTTTCGTAGAAAAAACAATTTGACAGGCGGCGTTGGGATGAAATATGGCGAATTTATGAACGGATTTAAATCGTAATTATACTCCGTTCGCTATCAGGAGATTCTAATAGGACTTATAGTTGAAGCAGTCGCCTATAGAGAGTGATAGAAGGGTAAAATGATTAGATTTATACTCCGTTCGCTACCAGGAGATATTGATAGAACCTTTTGTTGAAGCAGTAATATATTGGCGCGCCGACAAATTTTATTTGCGCTATTTAATGTTAATAATTTTATGATTAATTGAGAATTACCGTGTAATAATTACCGGAAGTTTACGGTACCGATTCTGATATCAATGACAGCAATTTTTAATTTTATTTTTATCCTTTTAGTATCTATTTACTGTTCCAGCCTATTGTTGCACACCTTGTATACAGAGTGGCACTAATAAAGTAAAATAAATATTACTAACGCGCGATATTTTATAATTTTTTTTTCGCCTGATAGCGAACGTAGTATAAATATACTATTTTTAATTGACTGATTGAATTTTTCTCACAATTTTATTTTAGTGTGTTTAGTCAAACTAGCAATAAAATAAATAACTAGCTTTACATTGTATATGCAATGGAACAAAATGGTGAATGAGTCCTTTTTACGATATTTAAATATAGATTTATTAATGAATTCTACGAAACGTATTTTTATCTTTTAATAATGTAATTATTTATCGCGGAAAATTACACTGAGTTTCATTCTTTAAGAAATTCGCGTTGTTTAGTAGAGGTGGTAAATATCAAACTTATAACTGGAACAGTAACAAAATAACTGTTATTAAATAGCAATTTCGTGTAATTTATACCATAAAATTGATACGTTTTTTTTTGTAAATATTGATTTTATTTTAATAAGTTTTTTTTATCGTATAAACAGATTTAAATTTAAATTTTCGAATCAAAACTTCGCAATAAATCTACGATATATCGTCTAATAAAAATCTATAAATAGATTCGATTAAATTAGGTTGTTTGCAAAATGAACATTTTCGATAATTAAGCGAATTAAAACATATTTTTTTCTGCGAAATGACGGCTAATTTCAACTAACAGGATGTCGCAATTATCTCTTTCCCACTGCTTGTAATTAAATTTATATAAACGGAAAAATTGGGAAATATTAATCGTGTCACTCTGTATAGCGCATAAGAGGTCATAAAATTACGAAAATTGGATAAATTATATAAAATCTAAAACTGTACAGGGTGGGCAACGTAAATTAATCAAGAGATTTACAGGGTGCGACAAATTTAAAAAAATGAGGCTATAATCTAATAAAAAAGAAGAGTATCACTCTGTATAGTGCATAAGATGTCAAAAAATGGTGAAAATTGGATAAATTATGAAAAATCAAAAACTTTACGAGTAAAATACAGGGTGGAGAACATAAATTAATCAACAGATTTACCGGGTGTGACAAATTCTAAAAATTTGAGGCTAATCTATTAAAAAGCAAATGTTTCACCCTGTGTAGTGGATAAGAGGGTAGATAATTGCAAAAATTTGCTCAATTATGATAAACCTAATGTGCAGTGATGCAATTTCAACCGCAAAATACAGAGTGGACAACAAAAACTAAATCTACAAATTTACAGGGTGTCACTATTTTAAAAACTCTATAATCGAATTAACGTAATCTATCATCCAACAGGGCCTAATCTACTCGAAAAAAAAACCACGATTTAGTCGCGGAATCCGTTCGAAAAACTTGGTAACACGCGAGAGCCTTATCATATCGACACCACCAACAATTTTCTAAATATAGTACGAAATATCAAACTGGGATACTCCACTTATCTCTTTCATATGTATCGAAGCGATACATTTTTACGACTTGTCGTGAAAATAATTTATCTTCTGAAATTATCCCGTCCGAAAAGACGTTCCACGCCTCGAAATAATCGCGATTTGCCGCGTAGAAATATCGATACATTTCGCGCGAATATATCGGTCGCGGTTCGGTTTATATTGGAGTGATTAGCGATCGAATTGAAACCGTCAATACAGTTCGATTGGCGCGCTTAAACGGTTCGATTGGAATTGGATTATTGATTTTTTTTTCGCAGTGTTTGAGCGGCATTTCGTTCCACAGGGAGCTCCTTTCTGGCCGATACGATGAGGCACGTTTGCTTCGTGATGCTCGTTTTATGCGGTAAGTTTTGGATTTTGGTGGAAATTTTTGAGTTATTTCGAGTTTTTTTACTGATTTTTTGGATGTTGTTAATAAGTCGCTGTTATCTCGAAAACTGTTTGAGTTAAGAACGGTTTGTTTGCTTTATTTTGTAGTAAAAATGTTTGTCTTCAATTTTTGTAGATTGGAAAAACTTCGAAAATTGCTTCGTTTTTGAGATATTTTGAGTTTTTTCGGATTGTGTCGATGTTATTAATTTTAGCGCAAGTTACTTAAACATCGCAATTATCTCGAATATAATTGAAGATAGAAACGCACTGTTTGCTTTATTTTGTAGTAAAAATATTTCTCTTCAATTTTTGTAGATAGGAAAAATTTCGAAAAATGCTTAATTTTTGAGATATTTTGAGTTTTTCAGATTGTATCGAAATTACGAAGTTTAATGCAAAAGCCATTTAAAAATCGTAATTATCTCAAAAACTATTCGAGATGAAAACGTCCTGTTTACTTCATTTTGTAGAAAAAACCTTCCTCTACATTTTTTGTAAAATGGAAAAATTTTGAAAACCGCTTGTTTTTTGACATATTTTCAATTTTTTACTGATTGTTTCGACACAACTAATTTTAATGCAAGTCGATTAAAAACCACGATTATCTCGAAAACTAATCGAGATAAAAACCCCCTCTTTGTTTAATTTAGTAGAAAAAACCTTTCTCTACCCCTTCAAAATTTAAACCTCCAATATTTCCTCTCCTAAAAACCCCACTAATCCAATCAAAATCGCCATTAAAAACTACCCACATTCACCTCGAATTTTCCCAAGAAAAAATCAACTTTTCCATCGGATTCTTTTTTAAATTGTCCAATTAAACTGGTTTACATTAGATTTTATACAATTACATTACGTACAACGTTCGGATTCCTCGAATTCGCCGCAAACATGTACTAAAATAGACTTAATTAATAATAAAACAATGATGTAATTCCGCAATACACATACATATACAATGATAATTAAAATAGATCGGATTTTTAATACGCATTTATTACGCAATTCTAATTTATTTATTTACTATTTAAAATGGACGACAAAACGATTCGCAATTCTAAAAATACTCTAACCCATATACAGGGTGACCTTTGAAATTGCATAAGATTCCCCGAAATGTATCTATGTAGCAACAGAAAATCGTGGAAAGCTCGTGATTTCGTTTAAATGTTATTGACCTTGATAATGATTATGCAAAAAATAAATTACCAATCACGCTAGTTTAAATTTCGTACTTTCAGAAGTGGGATTGTACATCAGAAGTGGGATATTATTTAGATGGATATTTTCTAGAAGGTTTTAATTATGCGATTGAGTCGCGTTTAAAGAGCGATAATTATACAAGTATTGTTTGCGCAGACATGTTGGAATTGTACGAATTAATTCTCTCACATCGATTTCGCAGAGGTCAAATTCCCCACGTTTCGTTCCATTGGAGAAATAAAGTGGATATTTTATGATTTCTGCCAGATGTTCGATTGACCAGCGGCCGTCGCGATACCGCGTCTTACCAGACCCAGACGCGCCATTATCATTATTATTATTTATATACAGCGCGTCTCGAAAATATGATATGAACCGGAAAGGATATGCCGCTGAGGGTCGATTGAAAATTGGAGTTTTCTCGAAAATGGGTTGAGATAGAAACGTTTTGTTTTTTACGTTTTGTAGAAAAAACTGTTCTCTAGATTTTTTGTAGAATGGAAAAGTTTCGGAAATTGCTTAGTTTTGGAGATATTTTTAGTTTTTAGTGGTTGTGTCGACGGTACTAATTTTAATGCAAGTCGATTAAAAATCGCAATTATCTCAAAAACTATTCGAGATAGAAACGTCATATTTGCTTTGTTTTGTAGAAAAAACGTTTGTCTATATTTTTTGTAGAATGGAAAAAATTGTGAAACCTCTTACTTTTTGAGATATTTTGAGTTTTTTTCTAACTGGTGTATGGTGTATTACAGCATAACTAATTCTAGCGCAAGTTAATTAAAAATTCCACTTATCTCGAAAATTATTCGAGATAAAATCACCATTTTTGGGTATTCTATAGAAAAAACGTTTCCCTACATTTTTTGTAAAATGCAAAAACCTCGAAACCCGCTTAATATTCGAGATATTTCGATTTTTTACTAACTATGTTGCCATTACTAATTCAACCGCAAGTCGATTAAAAATCCCCCTTATCTCGACAACCATTCGAGATAAAACCACCCCGCTCATTCTATTCCGCACAAAAAACCTCCCCCTACAATTTCCCAAACACGAAAATTTTCCAAAAATCCCCCATTTTCCGAGACACTCAAAACAAACTACAACAACTTTTTATCTAAAAAAACCCTTTCGTCTTCCACAGCCGCACAACTAGCAAAAGCCGCCCCCTCGCCCGCCGCCCTCCTCGAATGCCTCAGCGACGATTGCGACATCGACTCGGGCCCCGTATGCGCCATAGATGAGTCCGGGTCACCGCAGACCTTCAACAACAGATGCACCGCCAGATTGGCCTTCTGCAGATTCGGCTCCTGTAAGTCCAAAAATTTTGTATTGTTTTATAATGGAGCACCCTGTATATTGTCGTGTTACATTGGAAAGGTCGTTGATTGGGGATTTTTTTAATAAATTGTTATATTTATTTATTTATTTGTTTGTTTTTTTTGCAGTTTTTGCGGAGGTGAAGCCGGGCGAATGCTGACACGAGTCTTCGGCGATTTTGTATAGCTAATAAAATTTCCCTTTGTATATTTCTCTGCGATTTTCCAGTATTGTTTCCTGGTGGAAGTGAATTTCCTTTTCCCTAAATTACCCGAGAGAAAATTATTTATTGACTAATTTTATTTATGTTCGCGCCGGTACGTTTTTTTTTTCTTGTTAAATTATTTTTTGTACTGTTATACGAGGAATGGAATAATTATCTAGTAGATTGTAACTACAATGTAGATTTTTTTAATTATAATTGATTGATTAATAATTAATTAATGCGCTTCAGTATGATTAACATGTAAGATTGTTTGTAAAAAAATATATGAAATGATAAAGCAACGACACACGTCCCGAATTCATTGAGGTTTTTTTCCGAAAATAAATTGTGAATAACGCAATTTGATTGAATGTGAAATATTGTGAAATGTTATTAAAAAGGTGAAAGTTCGACATTAATCTGAAAACGTTTATCGTCAGCTAATAATAGCACATTATATACAGGGTGTTTTAGGTTAAAAAGAAGCACAAAAAGGTAATTAAATTTATTTTATTAGAACGTTTAAAATATAAATTATTCAACGCAAAAATGCCAGGCTATTTTTAAATTATTATTTTTGAGCGAATAAAATTAAAAAAAATATATTAGATAAATATAATAAATTATTTAGTTTAGACTCTTTCAGAGTTAAATATAAATATATTATTCTAAATTACAACAATCATATTTTAATATTAATCACATTTATGAATCGCGTATAAATTATTTAATATCTACAATATATTTTTTATTCGTTAGAAAATAAAATCTCTACCGTTTCGAACGGTCGATAACGCAAATAAATAATTAATTTAACTACAATTTCGAATTCGAACGGGAATAGATAAAATGCCTAATTTGTAACAAATCCAATTTAAACAAATATGAATTTTCGTAGTATAAAAAATTTGGTACTTTCATATTATTTTTTTAATGAATAATATTCGAGATAAAAATTGCCTCTTTGTCTTATTTTGTAGAAAAAACTCTTCTCTTTAATTTTGGTAGAATGGAAAATTCTCAAAAACCGCTAAATTTTTGAAATAATATGAGTATTTTAATCATTATGAAGACTACTAATTTTAATGTAATTCGATTAAAAATTGCGATTATTTCGAAAACTATTCGAGATAAAAGCCCCTTCTTTGTTTCATTTTGTAGAAAAAGACATTTTCCTACAATTTTAAACATTTTTTTTCAATACTCAAATTCCTTACAAAATTTCTAATAATCCATAACGCAATTAAATTAATTTTACAATTTCGATTTCAAACAAAAACACAAAAAAAATACCTAATTTATAACAAATCTCTTTTAAACCAATACCAAATATCATTCTCTAAAACTTTGGTACTTTTCACGTGTAAAATTAACATTTTCCTCTACTAAAACAAAATAATTTCATCATCTTCCAGTCCCCAGAAAGTATGCAACACACATCGCAGTAAACACAAAAGTAAACAGGAACTACATTTCCACCATTCCCCCGACAATATAAATAAATAAACACCATTAAACACCTTCCCTAGGACCTCCATAACATTCTCATAAACTCCAAACTTTAACCACCCCATTCCAATCCACCCCCCCGTCTAATCGAAAACGGCCGTCCAACAAGCCAAAAAATTGATCAGGAACCTCTCGCAACCCGACCTCCTCCCGCACCCCAACTCGCCCCGCCCCCGGCTCGGCCTCTTCCTCGGCACGCCCGCCCCCCGAGGCAACTCCCCGCCGACCCCCTTCTTCCTTATGTACCCCAATATCCTCTCGCTCTCGCTCTCCTCCAGCACCCCCGACCTGTCGGGCCCCTTCACGCCGTCCACCGTCCTGCACAGGAACTCCTTCTTCGTCATCAAACCGTACCTTGAACCAATTAAAAGAAGATTAACGAAGATCCTGGAAGGTGCTGGAAGGTTGTGGAAGATGCTGGAAGGTGGTGGAAGATGATAGAAGATGCTGGAGGGTTTAGGAAGGTGGTGGAAGATGCTGGAGGGTTTAGGAAGGTTGTGGAAGGTAGTGGAAGATGCTGGAGGGTGTAGGAAGGTTGTGGAAGGTGGTGGAAGATGCTGGAAGTGGGTGGAAGAAGGTGGAAGATGCTGGAGGGTTTAGGAAGGTTTTGGAAGGTGGTGGAAGGTGGTGGAAGATGCTGGAGGGTGTAGGAATGTTGTGGACGGTGGTGGAAGATGCTGGAGGGTGTAGGAAGGTTGTGGAAGGTGGTGGAAGACGCTGGAGGGTTTAGGAAAGTTGTGGAAGGTGGTGGAAGATGCTGGAGGGTTTAGGAAGGTTCTGGAAAGAGGGAATTGGAATACCTGGGGGCGTAGACGAGGTCTCCGAGGACGGCGCGCAAGTGGACCTTCTGGGCTTCGGGGGACATCCTCTTAGAGCGCTCGACGGCCCAGCGCATCACCGCGCTGTAGACCAGCAGCTCGCTGGAGGCCTCCAAGGTGTCGCGCGTCGCGATGCTGAGCAGATCGCCGTAGCCCAACTCGACGACGTCCTTGTGGGCGAGCACGAAGTCGGCGCGCCCGTCGATGGCCTGGTAGCAGTTGTTGCGCAAATTGTCGACGAGGTCGCGCGCCCAATGGTCGCCTTCGGGCGGGGCTGAAGGGGCGAAGCGATCGGCCGGCGTGCCGGGATCGTCGGTGTACTGGGAGAGGTGCTTGAGGACCAGCAGGACGTTGGTTTCGTTGAGGCGGTTGTTCAAGTTCTCGACGCATTGCTTGGCCAGCTGGAGGTCCTGGAGCTTGATGGCGGTGGTGAGGAGCTGCAGGGCGACTATGGGTTTGTCGATCTGCAGGGGATCCGGTTTAGAAGAGCTGCAACAGAAGCGAATTGGAGCGAATTGGAAATTGGAAGGCGAATTGGAAGCGAATTGGTACCTGGTGGTGTGAGTTTCGCTGGGATAATTCGATTTGAATGACGGTTTGGAGTCTTCTTGCGGCTCGTTTTCTGATATGAGAGCCATTTGTTGAATTTACTGGTAGTGGTTCCTCCATTTACTTTTCATTTGGGAAGCGGGGATGCTTGAAAAAAATTGCGTTTTTAGTTATAGTCCGTTCGCTATCGGGCAACTTGTAATGAAACCTTCTTGAAACAGTAAACTAGAAGCACAACTGTATACTGAGTTATCTGGGATTAGAAAAGGGTCGCCTATTGTTATACAGAGTGGCACAAATAAAATGTAAATTTAAACATTAACTATTACTCAGTTGTGCTAGGAATTGTTTGATAGCGAACGGAGTATAAAGGAAGCTCGTTGTAGGTAGATTATCCAAGTCATTGGACTGTCTGGATTTCTAAAAAATGGAAGTCTGGAAATATATTTATAATACAGAATTTGGATACGAAATAGCTTCCAGGAAATAAGTAGCGGTATTCCAAACAAATCGTTCGTTTTGGCCGATTATTAGCGAGTATAAATAGAAAGTTGATGCATTCCGCTAAGCGTTATTTTTATTTTGGAGATTCTTATTTCTATTGGCAGAGAATTATCCAGAGCGAAAATAAATCGAACAGAAGCGCGTGTTCGGAAATAGCCGAAAGAATGCGCATGTAAAAGAGCGCATTTTTACACGAAACTAATTGGCTACATCCGGAAAATTCGTATTAATTAATTGTTTAATTAATCAATTATATTAACGCGTTCGTTTGCATCGAATCTACTGACATTGACCTATTCGTATCACGACAAACAAACGTCAATTATGTCAAAATAAAGGTATCATCAAGTGGGCTGCTGTCAAATAATTTAATCATCGTCTGTCAATGTAGTAAATCCCAGAAAACAATAAGATTTAAACTATACTCCGTGCGCTATCAGGAGATTGTAATAAAACTTATAATTTTGTACAGGAAAGATAGCACTATTTCAACAAAACTATCATCACCTGATAGCGAACGGACTATAACTAATATAACATCAATAGGAAGCATCATCCCTATTGTTATTGAAATGCTGCCAAACCGATAAGTGTGCTCGACCAATTTTCGTTTTAAAAATATTATTTACACTAAAAATAATCGAGCTAAAAATTCTAATTAGTAAAATATACAAAGCACGGGGCTCTGTCGGGACGCCATTAGAGCGGCCTTGCGAATTCGCTCGGTAAATATTTATAATATTTATCGCAAACGAAATGTAAACCGTAGGTGTATTATAGGTACGCGTTTGTATATCTTGGGCCGGTTAATTGGTTTATTTATTTATTTTTCACTAATTGTTTTTCGTTAATTAGTAGGCTGTTAAGTTATAGGTACAGTGGAGCGTTTGTTTTAAAGCGGTTCGTTATCGGTTTTGGCTTGTCATTTGAGTCCTTTGAAAGGATATTAATCATTAATATAGATGTATGAATTTTTAATGTTATCCTTGTTGCTCGCGTTATCAGAATGTTGGTTTTTTTTAGAGAGAGATTTTCTTAGGAGGCTTTGATTATAGTTATGTATACTCCGTTCGCTATCAGGAGTTTAACAAAACCTAATTTTGTAGGAAAAAAGACATCAAATTCCAAAATTTGAAGGGTTTTACTGTATACTGATGTAAACATCTAAATTTTGATAAATCGCATTCCAAATATACCCTTTCAATACACTCTTAGAAAGGTACAAATGAACATTTAATTTTCAAAATATTAACACTGCAAATCTACCCTTTTAAAGGTGCAAATAAACATCTAAAGTTTGATAAATCTCATTGCAAATATACCCTTTTAATACACCCTTAGAAAGCTACAAATAAACATCTAATTTTCGAAATAATAACATTGCAAATCTACCCTTTCAAAGGTGGAAATAAACATCTATTTTTCGAAGAAAAAACACTGCAAATCTACCCTTACAAGGGTTACAAACAGCTGATTTTCCACCACACAAATGCGCAACCACCGCACAATTTTCCCACCTACACACTAACCAATACCTACCCCAAACATCACGTTCACTACCCTTATTTCCACTCCCTTATTTAATTTTGCGAAACTTGAACAAATCCACTCCACATCTGACCGGGTACGCGTTTTCGTATGTACTTGTACTCGGAAATTTTTCGTGCGTTATTATTATTTGCCCGATAATTCCCTCTTCCCGGCCAGAAACGGAGCAGAAACGGGAGAAACGAGCTGCGTCCGGACGCTCGACGTCTTTCCCTCGGCGCAGGATCGCGATTTGTGTTTCCGACGCCCGACGTCGCGTCTGATCGATACAGGTGGATTTTTTTTATTTTCGATTTTTTCGCGCCTGTGTGGTCGTATTCGCGCGAAGTAGAGGCCCCGCGCAGGGCCGGATTCCGGGCGTTTTTTGCCGAAATTTCATTGTATTCAGCGGTTTTGTTCGAAAGATGCATGTTTAAATTGACAGGTTTACATTGTTGCTATGGAGTAACTAAGGACATTATTTAAATTGACAGGTTTAAGGAAATTGCTTAATTTGACAGTTTTACATTGTTGTTATGGAGTAACTAAGGCGATTCTTTCGAATTGACAGTTTTACATTGTTGTTATGGAGTAATTAGGGACATTGTTTACGTTGTAGAGACTCTTTAAAAAGGATTAATTAGCGTTAAAAAGTAGGGCTGAATACGGGCCGGTAAATTTCGTTCGAGGTGGAATTCTTGGTGGCTGGTTGGATTCCATGGAAGAGGCCGAAAATACCGAGAAAAAAAATATTGCGTGCGGTGTTATTGAGGGTGAGTTCAAAGATGTGAGCCGAAAAGGAATAGGAGAAAAGCCGCCACGGCAGGAATTTTAAGTGATCATTTCGGCGTTTTTAATTTACAGAGGGAATTTTAAAATAATATCCAAATTTGTATTTGTTTTAAATTAGCCGATTGCAGATATTTCCAGTAATAAAGCGGCGCTTGTTCCGTTTCAAAATCGCCGACTAAGGCGGTATATTCTCGTAGAACCATTAGCGTATGATTTTTTTTTTTTAATCGGGAATATTAAATTTATTTGTGATGTAATTCGTAAACCAATGAGCCACCCTATTAATGTTTATTTACCTTGATTTTGACTTTTCGAAAAAAATAACAAATCAGCCTTGGATGTCAAAAATGACAGGTGGAAAAAATGACAGGCGTGTTACAGAATTTAATCTTTGGTAATATCAATTCGTAGAAAATATTTCCCAAACGATTGTTATTATTACAATATTTCTTTGTGAAATAATTCGTAAAATAATGAGAGTAGTTTTTAATTCTTATTTAGGTATACCTTGTATATCGAAACTTATCGAACTTATCAAAAAAAAAACAAATCGGCCTTGGATGTCAAAAATGACAGGTGTGTTACAGTTTGTTAAATGTCAATTCGTTGAATCTGTTTTCAAATCTACTTATCTAGAGTATTTTTAGTCGAAATGCAGAGTATTATCGGCGATATTAGTGATAAACAACTGAGAAATTATCCCGAACGTACGCCTATGGTCGGGTGGATGAAAGTAAAGTAGCCAGGAATCTCCTAATCCGCCGACAAAGGTGTTAAAGATGCCGCTTTTCCCTTTGTTTTATCGCCGAGGCGTCCCGAAATTCGCAAAAAGTGGGGATATTCCTAGCTCAACTCGCATTTTTCTTTCATTTACAACTTACTTTTTGACCAGTTAACAACTCATTTTTTAAGTTTTTTTCGTTCTCTCCTCACTCTACTCTTCAAGTTAAGTGTAATTTGTAATTTCCAAATGGATAATTTCGATTACAATTTCGTCATGTCGAATTTACGTTTTCTATTCGAAGACGAATCCGAAAAACCCAAGAGGAATCTGCTGGAATGCAGTAAGTACATTTCGAAATACTAGAGTAAACTCATTTTTGAGCGAACTTTAAAGTTTCGGAATTTTATTCCGTCTTTTGCAAACAAAATTAGGAGTATATTTTCATTTCTAGATTCTATTTACACTAGTGCGAAAATCCAAAGCGGAACTTCCTCGACCCGCAGCCCGACCTACTCGGGCTCCGTATCACCGATGGAACAAACTTCAAAGTTCGTGAACGTTCTACTGGAAGAAGCCCTCAATTCCAATCCGAAACTACTGGACTTTCTGAGCGAAAATCCCCGACTCGGCGACGAACAAAGGCTCCCGAAAATCCCCGTTTCGCAGGAAGAGAAGCCCATCAGGCACCGCAAACCCAGCCTGACGCCTTCGTCCGCTTCCCACCTAGATAAGGTAAGTAATCCGAGGAATTTTCGGTTAATCGGCAACACCGCTTTAATGAAAAAAATCGTCCGCAGGAGAACGCGCAAACCGGCGAGAACTTCTGCAAGTTCTGCTTCAAGAACAGGGAGCCCGCGTCGGTGTACAAGTCGCACAAGATGAAGAACCGGACGGGGGCGCTGCTGTGCCCCGTTTTGCGGAAGCACGTGTGCGAGCTGTGCGGGAAGACCGGGGACCAGGCGCACACCAGGAAGTACTGCGATCTGAACGACAGGCAGGAGCCGCGCAGGCCCCCGCTCAGGAGGCTCTCCAACGGGATTATAGTCTCGTTCCATAATCACAAATGAATTTGTAATGTTTGTTTTGTATAGTTTTATTTTTATACATGTTTATGCAGGGCGGTTTTTGACTCGCTGTTTTTTTATACTTTGTTCTATGTATCTATATAGTTTTTTTATTCTACCTGTTTTTTGTATTGTTGGGTTTGAATAAAGCGTTTGTTTTATATTAGCAGTGAGTTTTGTATTGTAATGTTGTGTAAAAACTAAATCTGTAATACTAAAAGGGGTATGTATGTACTTACAAGCTTTTAAGCTTTTTTTCTTACTGATTTTATGGCATTAAAAAAACAAATTAGCCTTGGATGTCAAAAATGACAGGTGTGTTACAGAATTTATGCTTTGGTAATGTCAATTCGTAAAAAATATTTCCCAAACGATTATATTATTTCTTTGTGAAATAATGAGAGAAATTTTTAATTATTTACCTTGATTATCTTGTCGAAACTTATCAAAAAAAAAACAAATCAGATGTCAAAAATGACAGGTATGCTATAGTTTCTTACTGTCAATTCGTTGAAACTGTTTCAAAATCAACTTATAGCATACTTTTAGTTGAAATATAGAGTAATATCCTTCTGTTCAATTTACAGTTCACATTTGACTAATTTTTAGTCCAATTTAACCAATTTTAATAGGTTAATGTTAATATTCATTTCTCTGTACACAATTCCCCTAAACCCAAACGATACAAAAACAACACCTACTCGATTTAATTCCTGTATTTTCGAAACGATTAAAAATTACATAACAACGAAATAATAATTTAAAAAAAAAAGAAAACGACATCGCATCTTTGGTAATACTCTCTCACTCCAACCCCAAGGCCCAGTTGATGCCCTGCGTGAGGAAAAAGATCATAGGTTGCCACGCCACCAGCCACCTTATCCAATCCAGCAACTGTCCGTACAACATGTGGGGCTTCTCCCAAGGATTCGAAAACATCTTCTTCAAATCCACCTTCTCCTTGCAGTAGGGACACGTTTGTTTCTTGCCCACTATGCACCAACCTCTAATGCAAAACTCGTGAAAACTGAAAATTTCAATAATTCGATAATTATATCACGCGAGCTCTAAGCAAAGCGATACTTACACGTGATGGCAGCTCAATTTATACGTATTTTCTATCACGCCCTCCTCGTTTTCGCTCACCAGCAATTTATTACCGCACACTGCGCATACCGAAGGATCCAAATTCCTCGTACTGAGTCCTTGCGGAGAATAATACTACAAATAAAACAAAAAAATCAATCTAATCGTTTCGGATATACAAGGGAAAGGTGATAAGTTCTCGGCCTGACAATGAGAGACCGCCATTTACAGTTGAAACATTGCATTTTGCTTCTAATTAAGTCGAAATTTTGAGTTCGAGACAGCTCTAAATGATTCTGGAGCATTCCAAAGGGTCTCTGAATCATTCCAAAGGGTTCTAGACAGTTCTAAACGACTCTGGAGCGTTCTAAATGGTTCTAAAGCATTCCAAACGAATCCGCAGCGCCCTCGGTGTATCGGACAGAGAACTGTTCACTCTACCCTCTCGTATCCAATCGAATCAACTCACTCCGATGTGAGCGGCCATTTTATCGGCGCAAATCTCCGCCACGTCTCTGCCCAACACGCCGTAGTACAACCCGTAGAACACGAACAACAAGCCGCAGTCCATCCACACGTGCGCCTTGGCGTTGAACACGAAATTCAAACCGAAGAACGTGGCCATCATGACGAAATAACCGATCAGTCCGAGGACGTAGCTGAGCTTGTGCAGCAACAGGAACCATTTGTATACTAACCTGTAAACGAAAAGGATATAATGATACGAAACGAATTGATTAATTTACGATTCGTTGTTTACCTAGGGGTGGTTTGATTGATCGGTTTTTGTATGGCCTTTCTAACGATAAGACTAGTAATGCAGGAGAACAGCAACCATATGAATATGAATCTCCAGTAGCGGCTGCGTAGGGAGAGGCCGAGTGGCACTAGCCACATTCCGAGAAGCGTTACCAACTAAAAAATTATAAATTAAAATTATTATACGAATAATCGTTATGCAAATATTTACTACCAACTATCGTAGTACATCGAAATTAACCTTTTTTTATTGTATGATAACGAGTAGATAAAAGGTTTCGTAATTAACATTATTTACCGAGTAACTCCTATAATGGCGTTTCTTCCATTCTATTAAACACAGTTGCACTACTACCAGAGTTACGACCGATATCAGTACCATTTCGGCGTGCATTTTCTCGTGCCCCCGGTGCTCTTCGTGCATCTTCTGATGTTCTAATCTTAAAAATAAAAGAAATCAGTCTTTCTATATTCGCGCCTTTTTCGCTTATTTTACCTGTACTTTTCTTCAGAGCTCAACTGATCGACGGTCTGCAATTGAAAAATCGATTTTCGTATCTTATGCGACAACATATCCCACAATACTCACCCTATTCCCCATAATAACTGGCTGGTGTAGGTCCATCTTGTCCAAAAGAATGTATCACATTCGATACTTACAATCCCGCGTGAAAATTTTACGTTTATTAATCCATTACTAATTATATAGGATTTAACAGGTTTCCAATCATCGCTTATCAATTTCTTGAGCAAAACACCGAAGGTTAAATAATTCTTCTTTTTGACAAATTTGAATTGTCATTTTGTATGTGAAGTGTGGCCTTTTACTGTTATGGTAATTTTGTGAGGGCGCAAAAATTTAATTTGTAAATGGAAAAGGTGAATTGCATTTGAATTAAAAAATGAATTAGGGATATAATTAACAGCACGAGTCAATATCACGCAACAATTAATTAATTTAGTAGGTGGTGTATTATAATGTGACACTAGAGTACACTAAAGTTACACTAACATTATAATAAATATAATTATTTGTTAAATTATGAATTAAATGATGTTAAAAAGAATAGTATACGCAATAGTTTGATATTTGAGTATTATAATTATTTAGAATAATGTAATAAATTTTTGTTGGTGTTGCTCTAGTGTGGACCGGTGTAAGATACTTTAACGAAGTAATCTGGGCCAATGATAAAAATGGTCGAATTCAAACAAGTCGGCGTAAAATTTTGTTTTCCCGTATCCAAGCGTACGTACACAATAATTTTTGTCTAAAAAAAAGCACAAGAAAAAAAATATGTATTTTTGATTTAATTTAGTAAATAATAAGTTGAATAATAGTGTATTAAAACATAAGCGAGCGCGTTTAAATAGATAATAAAATAATATAAAATATAAGGACAAAAATATGAGCATCCCCCAAGGAGTGATGTTCCCGACGGGGTCCCTCTACGTGGGCGATCTCCACCCGGACGTGACCGAAGCCATGCTCTACGAGAAATTCACCACCGCCGGACAGGTGCTGTCCCTGCGCGTCTGCCGCGACACCAGAACCAAGCAGTCCCTCGGCTACGGCTACGTGAACTTCAGCCAAACGCAGGACGCCGAGCGCGCCCTCGACACCATGAACTTCGACATCCTCAAGGGCAAGCCCATACGCATCATGTGGTGCCAGCGCGATCCGGCCCTCCGCAAATCGGGCGTCGGCAACGTGTTCATCAAGAACTTGGACAAGAACATCGACAACAAGGCGATGTTCGACACGTTCTCGGCCTTCGGCAACATCCTCAGCTGCAAGGTGGCCCTCGACGAGAACGGCTACTCGAAGGGCTACGGCTTCGTGCACTTCGAGAGCGAAGACGCCGCCAACAAGGCCATCGAGAAGGTCAACGGCATGCTGTTGAACAACAAGAAGGTGTACGTGGGCAAGTTCATACCGCGCGCCGAGCGCGAAAAGGAGCTGGGCGAGCGCGCCAAGCAGTTCACCAACATCTACGTGAAGAACTTCGGGCCGTGCATGTCCGACGACAAGTTCAACGAGATGTTCGGCAAATTCGGCGAGATCACCAGCTGCGTGGTGATGCGCACCGTCGACGGCTCGTCGAAGGGCTTCGGTTTCGTGGCGTTCGCCGACGCCAAATCGGCGGAGCGCGCCGTCGACGAGTGGAACGGCAAGGAGCTGGACGGCAACGTGTTGTACGTCGGCAGGGCCCAGAAGAAGACCGAGCGCATCAACGAGCTGAAGAAGAAGTACGAACAGTTGCGCTTGGAGCGCTACAATCGCTTCCAAGGCGTCAATTTGTACATCAAAAATTTGGACGATTCGTTCGACGACGAGAAGCTGCGCAAGGAATTCGCCAATTTCGGCACCATCACCTCCGCCAAAGTGATGACGGAGAACGGCAGAAGCAAAGGATTCGGCTTCGTGTGCTTCACCTCGCCGGAGGAGACCACCAAAGCCGTATCGGAGATGAACGGTCGAATGGTGGGTAGCAAACCGCTGTACGTGGCTTTGGCCCAACGCAAGGAAGACCGCAGGGCATTCCTCAACAGCCAATACATGCAGCGGGCGCAGGCGCTGCGCCACCAGAACAGCATCAACTTCCCCACCACCACGCCGCCGTTTATCATACCGGCCGTCGGGCAGGGACCGCGATTCTTCAACCACTTGAACCCGCTGAACCACATCAGACCGGCGCCCCGTTGGCCGGCGGCGCCGAACATCCGCCCCAACGGCACCTACAGCCTGTCGCTGTTGAACTCGCCCTACAGGACGACGTCGCGCTCGTCGATCAACGTGCGCAACGCGATCCACGCGAGGCCCATCACCGGGCAACAGACGCCGCCCAGCCGGCCCAACAGCAAGTTCACCAATTCGACCAACAATTCGGTGCGGCCGTTGAACGTGGGCATCGGCAACGGCGGCGACATACCGTTGAATCCGAACGTGCTGGCGGGGGCGGCGCCGCAGGAGCAGAAGCAGATCATCGGCGAGAAGCTGTTTAGGGTCGTGGAGAAGATGTATCCGGACATTGCCGGGAAGATAACGGGCATGTTGTTGGAAATCGACAATTCGGAGTTGATTCACATGATCGAAAACAAGGATTCGCTGCGGGCCAAGGTGGAGGAGGCCATCGCCGTGTTGCAGGCCCACCAGGCCAACACCAAGAAGGGGATCGTAGTTCAAGATTAATTTTTGGCGTTTTTTTTGCTTTTATTTTCGTGTTTTTTTTTATATTTATTTATTGCCGTATGATTTAAAGTGTTTCTTTTATTTAATTTCGTAATATTTATTATATTGTAGGGTTTTAGGAAACGTGTGTTATCGACGTGTAACATTGAAAAATTGCAAAAAAATTTATATTTTTCAACAGGTATTGTTAATTTTATTGAAAATTGTATTTCATTGAAAAATAATAAATAGTTAATAATAGATTTCTTTATCTGTTCAGTTTATTTCTACCTTACCCTGTTTCAGGCAACAAATTTAAATAATTTTTGGATTTTTATAACACTTCAATTCGATTTTTCAAAATAAAAAGCCAAATTGAATTTTCACCTCCACCTACCTAAACTAGCTGACTTCTATACTAAATGAAGGCCAAATGCCATCGACAAAAATAAATTAAGTTGGTACACCTGGACTGGCCTACGCGCATGCTCATTACAGTGATTATACACCCATTTTTTCATCCGATTCCGAATTTCGTTTATTTTTTTTCTAATTTTAAACAGTTTTTTGTGTTACTTTCGTTGCATTAATACCGAGTAGAGTGAGTATTACTTTCGCATATAACGAAAAAGGGGCCATTTTCCCATCTAGTACAGTTAATTTTACCTCAACAACTAAACAAACCGTTAAAATTTTATCAATCTTGAATCTTTCACGCAGCCACATATCTGTTATCATTTACTAACTACATTTTATAGGCTACTGAAAACCAGTTATTGAATCCAAAATATAAATAAAGGTTCGTACGTTTCGTTGAAAATTGCAAATACAGAGGTTATGTTACACCTCATAAATCAACTTTATTACTTAAATATTAAGATAATTAATAATTTACCGGCAATATTATGCATGTTTTAATTATTACGCAGCGCTTCAGTCGAATTTATCGTAGGTAGAATGTCGGCCGGAGACGAACCAGTAACAACTCCCGATGACTTCGAACATGAAAACGAAACGAACTACAAACCGCCCCCGGAGAAGTCCATCGAGGAGATCCTGCAGATCGACCAAGAGGACGAGAGCCTCAGGAAATACAAGGAGACCCTGCTGGGACAAGCCCAAACGGGCCCCATTATCGTCGGTACGTACCCAAAACAAACTCCCGAAACACACAAAAATCCTAACCGCAATCTCCCCCAGAGCCCGACAATCCCCGAAAGGTAATCGTCAAGCGACTGGTCCTCGTGGTAGCCGACCGACCCGAAGTGGCCCTCGACCTAACCGGAGACCTGTCGAAGCTGAAAAAGGAGACCTTCACCATCAAAGAGGGCGTTTCGTACAGAATAAGAATCGAGTTTATCGTTCAAAGGGAAATCGTACACGGGCTGAAATACATACAGAAGACCAGCAAATTGGGACTACCCGGTTTGTAAACAACCCTATACGAGGGTAGACTGTAAAGTTCTCGTCCTGTTACACTGAGGGCGCTTCAAGAATCATTCAGAACTGTCGTCAGGCCGGGAACTTTTCACATTACCCTCGTACGCTGATAGAATTTAAAAAATAACGCCGTTTAATCGATTCGTAGTGGACAAAATGACCCACATGGTGGGTTCGTTCGCGCCCAAGACTGAAATACAATCGTACACCACCGCCGCTGAGGACGCCCCCTCGGGGCTGATGGCCAGGGGCGGTTATTCGGTGCATTCTCTGTTCACCGACGACGATAAAAACGAGCATTTGAAGTGGGAATGGTCGTTCGAAATCAAGAAGGATTGGAAAGACTGAGGTAAATAGATAATATTGCTCAAACGGATCTACAGGGTGTCTCAAAAATGTTGGGATACGGCTTAACTGTGTGTACTTCTGATGCGAAATTAAGGTGGTTCTGGCTAATATAGTAATTTCGAAAAGTATTAACAATGTGTTAATACAGAATACTTGTAGAAAATGTTAAAATTAGATTCATAAAAACTATTCAATTTGTGTAGTTGAGCCATCTCCCAGCCCTTTTGCGATGCCCTGTATATGAGGTACTTATCGATTACGCCTCATATGTTCGAGTGAAGATTAAAGTGTTTTTTTTTTGTTTTCCAGCGACCTCTGGATACGCTTCAAAACAATTCAGGGTATTATTTTGATCCTAATTATTACATAAACAAAATAACGATTTTCTTCGCTAAAATACCAAAATATTCATTCAATTAAATTGCTCATATTATTTTATTTCGCTTTTGTATAGTATTTAGCGTTTATTTTCGTTTTATCTATTAATTTCGATCAGTGTGCGTGTGTATATTAGGAGTTGTATTAATATATTTCGATTACGGACCTTATTTTAAAGATGCAATTGAATTTAATTTAACATTTTTTTTATGTATAACAGGATGGATTAATTATTTTAGATTACGTATAAATATAGCACAAAAAAAGTATTCATGTTTTTTGTGGCGCTTTATTAAGTAATAAGGATTTTGAAATATATAGAGTGACGCATTAAAGTGTATCACCCTGTAGATTTATCTGTCAATTTGCATTTAATCAAATCAAAATGGAAACATGCCAAACTTTATAGCATTTACATGCTTTAATATCGATGTATTTATACCTTACATTTGCTCTAATAAACGTTTTATTTATACATTTACAGCCATCCAATTTTAAGATATAGTCAAGTTTTCTATATGCTTGATGAGATCAGTATGCTTGAATTTATCCGGTTCGTTGGTGAACACTTCCATGAGTTCCTTCTTCTCCAGATCCTCCTGCACGTAATACATTTGCAGCTGATTGGCCAGGCATTGGGCCTCCTGTGGGTTGATGACGTTCTTGTCGTACTCGCCGCGCATCAGGACGAGGCCTTTGTCCTCTTTGAATTCATCGTAGTGGGTGATGGTGAGGCATTCGGGCGCGTTCTCCTTGTGCACTTGGTAGTAGAGTAGAGGCGTAAAGTGCACGGAGTTTTGGGCGAATTGGCACATTATGAACTCGAAGCCCTGCGATCGGGGCAGGGCGAATAGGAAAGTGGGGTATTTGGCGGCGTTTTCGGTTAGTTTATCGAAGTGCTGCGATGGTATCGTGGCTGCTATGCAGTGGTCTTTGTGCTTGTGGTATTCCAGCCAAATGGAGGTTATTTCTTCGCTGGTTTTGTCTTTGATCAATTCGGTTTTCATTATTTTATCGAGCGGTTCTCGTTTTAGTTGGTACTCGTCGGCGATGCGGGTTTTGGGTTGGAGCAGTTGTGAGAACTGTCTTCCGTCCCGTTTGGGGCTTTCGATTTTGTTATTTTTTATCGCATCGACATCTTCGAGTCGGGCGTTGAATTCGCCGGGGTTCTCTTTTTGTAGTTTGGCTATTTTCGAAGCGTATTTGTCGTAGTACGGATTGCCTTTGAGCTCGTCCACCACTTCTTGGAGCTTTCGAGGAGTAGTCATTATCGTTTTGTTGGTTAATCTAAACGTAGCCCTGTAGAGAACTGTTCTCATGAGAGATGTTAGATGCATTCTAACAGCAGTGAAGCATATCTCTACAAAAATTACTTATTATTTAATGTATAAAAGGTAATGTAACTAAAATAAATACCTTTCAAGTTCACTTAACCTATAAATAAAAATTTAATTTGTGACGTTTTGTTCAAGTGACATTTTACATTTTCTTCTTTTTTCTAAACTTTAACCGTAGAATCACATAGAAGTAGATCTAAATTAACCTTTAAGTCACCTGTCATTACTGTCAAAACTTCGTTTGCATTTTTTGGTTTGATGACTTGTGTTTTTAATTTTTGAGCAAGAATATTCCGAATTTAACGAATCGAAAATACATTTTCCTACTAAGGTACATACTAAACAATTTGAATTAATAATTATTTACGTTCGTTTTCTTCGTAGCGATTCGTACCGTTCATTCACAATGGAGGCTTTGGCGACGGATTCCGGTAAAATTATCAAAATGGAAGTGGATTACAGCGGAGCGTGCGACGAGAAAATACCCGAATGCCAGAAACTGGCGAAGGCCGGTAAACTGCACGATGCCCTCGATCAATTGCTCGCCTTGGAAAAGCAAACCAGAACGGGAGCCGATATGATATCGACCGGAAGGGTGCTGGTGGCTATTTGCCAGCTTTGCAAAGAGGCCAAAAATTGGAGCGCCCTCAACGAGCACATCATCCTATTGACCAAGAGACGATCTCAATTGAAACAAGCCGTGGCCAAAATGGTGCAGGAATGTTGCACGTACGTCGACGAAACGCCCGATAAAGAAACCAAAGTGAAGCTCATCGATACTTTGAGGTAACTCGAATTATTAGTCGAATCTCGCCACAGTTTGTGTACACTAAAATTATCGTTTACAGACAAGTAACCGAAGGGAAAATCTACGTGGAAGTGGAACGGGCTCGTCTGACGCACAAGCTGGCCAAAATCCGCGAGGAAGAAGGCAACGTCCAACAAGCCGCCGATATCATACAGGAACTGCAAGTGGAAACGTACGGCTCGATGGAGAAACGCGAAAAAGTCGAGCTGATCCTCGAACAGATGAGATTGTGCCTGGCCAAGCAGGATTACATTCGTACGCAGATCATCTCCAAGAAAATCAACACGAAATTCTTCGACGAAGAAAGCACGTCCGATTTAAAATTGAAATACTATCGATTGATGATGGAGGTCGATCAACACGAGGGCTCCTATTTGGCCACTTGCAAACATTATCGTGCCGTACTCAACACGCCTAGTATTATGGCGGCGCCGGAAGAGAGACAATCTGTAGCCAAAGCCGTCGTTTTGTTCCTTATTTTAGCGCCACACGATAATGAACAAGTGAGTAGTATTTATATGCGAGTATAGAGCCTCTCTAGAACCATTTAAAACGCTTCAGAAGAGTTTAGAACACTCCAGAACTGTTAAGAACGTCCCAGATTCATTTAGAACAGTCTAGAATCATTTATAACGCTCCAGAACTGTTTTGAAACTGTCTAGAACGGCCCAAATTCATATAGAACGTTTCAGAATCGATTAGAATAGTCTCGAACTAAAGATTTCGACATAATAAGAAGAATAATGAAATTTTTCAATTGAAAATCCCTGTCTTTCATTATCAGGTCGAGGACTCTTCGCCTTACCCTTCTAGAAACAAATACGATGCAGAATTGTTTAATAGTAAATGTGTTTTTAGGTTGATTTAACCCACCGAGTGCTGACCGATAAAGTATTGGAAGAAATACCGTTATACAAGCAACTTTTGAAGTTGTTCACCACACCGGAATTGATAAAATGGTCGGGATTGTGCGATTTGTACGAGAAACCGCTGAAAGCCACCCCGATTTTCGCCAAGAACGATCAAGGTCAGAAGAGATGGGCGGATTTGAGGTAAATAAAAATGAAATATTTAGGAAAAAAAACGCCGCCAAACTGTACATCATTACAACCTCCGATCGATCGTTTCGCAGATCGAGAGTGGTCGAACACAACATCCGAGTAATGGCGAAATACTACACGAGAATATCCATCAACCGCATCGCCGAATTGCTGGATCTGTCCAACAGCGAGACGGAGGAGTTCCTCTCGCAGATGGTGGTGAGCAAGACCGTGCAGGCGAAGACCGATCGACCGGCGGGCGTTGTGCACTTCCAACAGAGCAAAGACCCCAGCGACGTGCTGAACGATTGGGCGCACGATTTGACCCAACTGATGCAGCTGGTGAACAAGATCACGCACCTGATCAACAAGGAGGAGTGCGTGCACAAGCACCTCCAAAGCACCAACGCTTGATTCTGTCCGTTTCGATGCGTTTATCGGATTATAGAGTTGATGTAATTGATTTTTTTTTTGTAACTCGATGTTAAACTGGAGGTTTGTAAATTTTTGTTTGTTTCTATTTGGTCCCACTAAAAGCGGTGTTTAACAGAATTAAATTAATGTATATTTAGGTAACGGTGCTAGGATTTGTACAATCATTGCGATTTGCTGCTTTTTCGATTCTTTAAAATGTTTGTTATGAAGAATTCTCCGGCTTTGTAGGAGCTCCTCACCAGAGGGCCGCTGGCTACGTACAGGAATCCCATTTCGATGCCCACCTCTTCCCAGTGCTTGAATTTAGCCGGTGTCACGTACTCCACCACTTTCAAGTGCCGTTTGGTCGGTTGCATGTATTGCCCCAACGTTACGCAATCCACTTTGCTGTCTCTCAAGTCCTCCAAAGTCTGTCGGATTTGCTCGTCGGTCTCGCCTAATCCCAGCATTATGGAGGATTTGGTGATTAAATCGGAGTTGAATTCTTTAGCCGCTTTCAGCATATCCATCGATTGCCTGTACTTGGCTCTGCGGTCTCGTACGTAAGGTGTTAGAGCTTCTACGGTTTCGATGTTGTGCGCGTACACGTCGAGTCCGCATTCGGTGATTGTTTTTACAGCGTGTACGTCCCCCCTGAAATCGGGTACCAAACACTCGACTAGTATGTTGCTGTTTTGGTTCTTGATCTCTCGTACGGTTTCAGCGAAATGGTTGGAACCCCCGTCGGGTAAATCGTCTCTATCGACTGACGTAAGCACCACGTAGTCGAGGCCCCAGGATACGATCGCTTTGGCCGTGTTGGTCGGTTCGTTGGGGTCGGGCGGCGGCGGGGCCCTCGAGGTCTTCACCGAACAGAACCTGCAACCTCTGGTGCACGTGTCGCCTAGCAGCATTATGGTAGCGGTGGCGGTGGCGTGTTCCCCGCCGCCCCAGCACTCTCCGATGTTGGGGCATCGGGCCTCCTCGCAGACGGTGTGCAAGTTGAGGTCTCGCAGTTGCTCCTTGATTTTGCTGTAGTTTTTACCGATGGGTATCGTCCGCTTGAGCCAGGGGGGCAGTCGCAGGCGCTGCTCTTCGCCCTTGTCGCGCTTCAGTTTGCCTTCGTACTGCGACCAGTCGTCGCCCTCGACGAACTCTTGCAGCGTCGGGCCGTCTTTGATTCGTTCTTTTAGCGTTTCGAAGTTCGATTTTGGCCTTATTTTGTTCCATAGAGGCGTGCGTAGTTTGAATAATGTCGATTGGTTCATTATTTTTCGTGGAAAATTGTGTTGAATTTTTTCCAAGGTTAAATTAGAGGTTATGTTTATATTTGCCAATGTCAAATAATGCGAGTCACGGAACTTCGTAAATGTCAATTTGATTCTTCTTTTTGGTTGTTTTAAATGGTCTTTTACTGATAGGAAATAAATTTAAAAACATTTTTGGTAGTTCATATGAATAGAATATAAAAAAAAAACGAATTTAATTTCCACTTACAATCATTTGTAAATAATAATCAACAATTAATTAGTCAGATAATATAAAAAATAACACTAATACACCATTTGTTTGGATATTTTCAGTATTTATAACGGTGAGTCCTGCTGCGGGTAGCTCCGTACGAAGACAAATCTACAACAAAAAACAAACCATTTCAACTTACATTCAGCCCCCCAAACACACAAAAACTAACCCGAAGAAGCCACCACCGATGGAGGCGGAGGCGGCGGTACGGCCGCCGCCAATTGATAGTGCCCCAAATTGTGCACCATCTGCATGTGAGAATCGGGCATCGGATGCACGTAGGAATTCAACGGCGAATTGAACACCTGCTGGTTCTGATTGGCCAGCATGTACGGATGAACGGCGGTCTTCAAACGCGGCGGGAACACGTGCGGCGGCGGCGAACCGGGAGGCGGCGGCGGCGGAGACCGATCCTCCACCTCGTCGCTGTCTTCCCCGTTGTAATGTTCCTCTTCGAAAGTCTTGCTCTCCGTATTGCATTTGATGATTTTAACCTGAAAGTAAGTAATAAGGCGAGTTATTTATACTCCGTTCGCTATCGAGGAGGCGGTAATAAAACGTTATTTCGTACGCAAAAGGTTTTATTACCGTTACCATAGCGAATATAGTTGAATTTTCTTTACCTTTACTTTCTTTTTGGCGTTTCCCGCCGCTCGCAGTTTCGTTTTCGTGTAGCGCTTCTCTTTGGGTAGAACTCGCGAAGGGGGCGGCGAGCCGAAGTCTTCTCCCGCTGAAGGGGATGTTCCTTCGCCCGGCCGAACGCCATCGGCGAATTGAACATTTTTCGATCTACTCGATTTTCTAGTAAATAAATAAGATAACAATGAAATAATACGATACAAATTTAATTATAAACTCACTGTTTTCCTCTTACGAGTATACTCCTGTTTATCGTGGTATCCTTCGAGCCGGTTACAGCCAAAGTCGGAGGCCAGTGAGTCGTCGACTCGTTCAATTCCTCTCCGATTTCATCGTTATTTTCCACTTCTAATTGCAACGCTTTCTACAACACCACAAAGATTTTACTTTATTGTTTTGAAATCGTTTCGTTCGACTCACCATTATCATATTTTCCGTTTTCTGTTGCGCCTTGAGGAGCCTACGTTTCTCCTTTTCCCTCCTCTTGTTCTCTTTCTCCTTCCGTCTCGCCTCCCTTTCCTTTTTCCTCTTTTCTTTCTCGGCGCGCCGTTCTAACATTTTATTTTTCATTTCCACCGCTACTAGATTGTTGCCCTCCATCTGACACGCGGGATCCGCATAGGAAGAGGCCTCGCCCGGATACCCCATTGGTATATCGGCCGGTACAATTTGCAATACGTTACCAACCTATTAAAAAAAAAAGATAATGATTCAATGTTAATTAGCGTAGTAATTAATTAATTCACCTGCACAATTTGCGATTTATTCTCGGCGTGAAATTGCCTATCGATTTCGGAGAAATCCTTCGGTACGATCTGCACCATATTACCCACTTGCACGAAGTTCGTCGAATAATCCGGCTCTTGCGGATACCCACCGTGATGGTACCTATTCGAATCGTACTGATGGTAGCCGTCGTACGTGGTACTAATCGGCGCGGCCTCTTCCTTACCGCCGCCCCAGCCCAACTCCAAGTTGATCCGTTCGTCCAACGACAGCCGCTTCGCCGCCTCCGGCTTGGCGCCGGCGTAGTACCGCCCCAGCGGCGACGGCGCGTACTCGTCCAAAATGGCGGCGGGCAGCAGCGATTCGTCGGGTATCGTCGAATCGGCCACGCTGCGCTTGAGGCCCTCCAAGGGCGAGGCCGCGCTCGGCGATTTCCGGTCAGCGTCGCCCTTGGAAGGGCGCCTCTTCGAGCGGCTCTTGGGCGACGGGCTGCGTCGCGGCGAGCGCCTGCGCGGCGAGTACGACACGGGGCTGCGGTGCGACGGGTACCTCCTTCCGCCTGAAAAATATTATAGAGGTTTTAGAGGACTCCGGAGCGTTCTATAAGTGGTTCTAGACAGTTTCGAATGCTTCTGAAGCGTTCTAGAAGGTTCTAGGACAGTTTCAAATGCTTCTGAAGCGTTCTAAAGGGTTCTAGGACAGTTTCAAATGCTTCTGAAGCGTTTTAGAAGGTTCTAGGACAGTTTCAAATGCTTCTGAAGCATTCTAAAAGGTTCTAGGACAGTTTCAAATGCTTCTGAAGCAGTTCTGAATGGTTCTGGAACCATTTATAGGGGGAAAGGGGAATTAAAACGTACCTGTGCTCTTCCTTCTGCCGTCGCGATCTCTGTCCCTCAGGTCTCTGTCTCGGTACCTCTCCGGCGATCTGGACGATCTTCGGCGGCGCTTCGGTGAATCCCGGCTCCGTTGCCTCGGCGATCGCTCCCTCTTCTTGCTCTTCTTCGTCGAATCCGATTTTTTGTCGCTTTTGTTCACTTCGACGGGCTTTTCGGCCGCAGGTTTCTTCGCATCGACGATCGGTTCTCTCGGTTTCTCCGGTTTTTCGGCCGGTTTCTTGACCACGTCCTCGTCCGAATCGTCCAGTTTCAAATTCGAATTGTCCAATAGAGATTTCTTGGCGGGCAGCACCAAACTGGCGAACGTCAGCGGTTTGGTTTCGGTGCTGTCGATGAGGTTTTCGTCGAGTTTCGCTTCGATTTTATCGGTATTCGATTCGACCATCGCGGAAGTGGTTTCCTCCGGTACGAAGCCGAAGGTTACCGGCGAATTGGACTCGATGCCCGACGAATTGGCGGTTTCTTCGGGCACGAATCCGATTCCCGCAGACGAACTGGTCGTCTCGATACATTCAGGAGTCGCTACAAATTCGATTCCTGCAGTCGAATTATCGTTGAAACTAGTAATAACAGGTTCCTCTGGTACTACAATTGCATCGCCTACATCGGCACCATCTTTCGGTACAACTTCAGCAACAACCGATGCACCATTCGTGCTAATACCAGCATCTTCCGGTACTATTGCGGTTACTAAATTGACGTTCACCGGATGCGGTACCGGCGCCGGTACATCATCAGGCATCGGTATAGACGGTACGTCGTTCGTCACCGCCTTTATGAACTCCACGTACTCGTTCTCCAACGCATTCTTCTCGTCCAGAGGGCGCGGCAGGCTCAACGAATCGATGTCGAAGTTATTAATGTCGCGTTTCTTGAACGGTTTTATGTTGAGGGGTATCTCGAGCTCCAGGTCCATCAGATCGTAGTTCCTGGTGGTGTGCGTGGGTCGCTCCTGCGGCTCGCGCACCGCCACCTCCTCGTCGCTCTCCCACGACGAGCTCGGCTTGGTCTTCGAGAGGTTGTTGTCCAGCGAGTCGTTCTCCCAATCGGGTTTTTTGGGCTCCAATTCGGACTCCGTTTTGGACTCCGGTAGGGTTAAGGGGGGCGTGTTGGAATCGTCGTTGTCGGGCGATTCGCTGCGTTGTACATTCTTTTTCTTGTCGTTGCCGGTGGTGCTCGAGGAGGTGCTCCTGCGGGAGCGTTTCGCCCGTTTCGAGCGATCCGTTTTCCTGCGTTTGCGCTCCTTTTCGTCGCGTTTTTTGGTCTTTTTCTTGCCCTTTCTCGACGTTTTGGATTCGTCCGAACTTTCTGTGATTCCATCGCTGTCCGCGCGCCGTTTGCGTTTCTTCTTTTTCTTCTTCTTCGGCGGACTGTCCGTTTTCTTCTTGGCGTGCTTCTTCGCCTCGTCGTTTTCGAGCAGGTTCGCGGGCAGCGGCAATTCGGGCGTTAGATTGCCCGAATCCTCGTCGCCCAACGTGAATTCGAATTCGTCGCAGTTTATTTTGGTTTCTGCGTTGGTAATACTGCTGCATACGAGCACTTCTTCGGCCTCGTTTTCTTCTTCTTCGTCCGAGTAGGTTTGTAGAAACGACAAACCCACCGAATTTTCGAGAATCTTGCATTCCGCGTCCGAATGTTTCCTCCATATCTTGTTGTACCACGATCGGCTCTCCGTCTTCTTAATCAATGGCTGCAATCTGGTATTAAATTGTATTTCATTAATCAAATACTAGCCATTTATATATGGGTAAATGCAAATTTGTTCCCAATATGGTCGATTAATATCAAAAACCCTAACAATGATTAAAGTGAGATTGTTGTAATCTCTCCATAATATTACTTGTGCTACTACTGCTAGGAGGATGCTACTTGGTAGACTTCAAGACGAGACTTGAGGCTATGTTTGGTGAAAATTTCACATGTCTAGTTCGATTATAGGCAATTTTATAACTTTCCATACACCACATTGCGTACAAATTTGCACTTATATGTACACTTACTTGGAATGAGAGTTTACTATATTCCTAATTATTTGACATCGTTTATCCGGAATCAATTCGAACAGTTGCTCTCTGGTTAGAAAACCGTCTTTAACTTTCTGATAATTCACGCTGTACACTATGGAAGGAGTCGCCTTCGTTCGTCTACAAACAACCCATTTAAAATCAAACTCTACCTATAAATCTACAAATTTACTTCAGATAAAAAAGCGGCACCTCCTTGGACCCCTTCTCCATCGAACACTTAAACGATTCGACACTCGTAGAATTAGCTTCGAAGCTGTACAAATCGTTTAAAGTCTCGTCGACGGGCCTCCTCTTCGAGTCGCTTCTACCGCTCGTCTTTCGCTCGGTGCTCGATTTGTACTCGGCCCAGCTCTTCGGGCAGCTCTCGGCCGCCTGGGGGCTGGACGAGGCGCCGCGGCGGCGACGCTCCCCCGGCGACGGCGACTTGGACGCCTTCGTTTCGCTGTCGGTGCGCCGGTAGTTTCGCTGCTTGATCTCGCGCTTCTTGAACTGCTCCGCGGCGTCTGCAAATAGTAACCGATGTTATCGAACGATTCGTTCGAGTTGTTGGTAAGAGTTTGTACCTCTCGATAGGTAGTGGTCGGTGAACGGTTGGTGGTTTTTAATCAGCAATTGGCGCCTGTTGTTGTGCTCCAGTTCCCTCCGTTTCTCCTCTTCGATCTCCTTTATCACGGCTTTGGCTTTTTCGTGGTGGAACATGTCTGGAATAAGGGGGGGCGCTTGTGAGGGAAATTGACAATTACGTGACACTTACCTCTCTTTTTCTTCGACGGGGGCACCTCGGGCTGCTTGTCTTTCGCTTCGGCTTTGAGATCTTTAATTGGCGCCCGGGCGATTTGTTTGCTGTAAGCCTGTAACCTCTTTTTGGCCAAGTTGATTTTGGCCGCATTTTTGGCGATTTTCTCGGTTTTTAGCTGGATATCGGCCAGGCTTTCCTGCGAGTCGCCCGATATTTGGGCATTTTCGCTATCGACGCAATTGCTCGCCGGATTAGGAACGTCTCCCTTGCACGGGTCGTATGTGAACTCTAAATTCAAAGACTCCATTTGTGTGAATAACAAATTTCATATTTCGGTGATAAATTAGCCTAAATACGTCTAAATGAACTCAATTAATTCGAGATAAGTTCATTTTTCTAATGCAATTAATCTATTTTAATTTAATTCATTGTACAATTATTTTATTTTGATGAATAAATATGAACACTAGGCACTAGACTACACAAAAACAAATATAACTGTTAGGTTGGTAACACATATTCCACCAACCGTACATTTATCGCCTTTCGTTTTTTATCACGAGAGTAAAACAGAGACAAAATGTGAAAGTGTCAAAATGAAACTGTCAAACTTGTCAAAAAACCCCCACACAAAGCTGAAAGCAGCCATATTTGTAAATAGGTTATTCTAAATATACATTTTGTGCGTGTTCCTTAATTTAAACAATTATTCCGGATTAATAGAAAAATGAATAAGGTACGTATCGAAACGAAAACACAACGAACGCGTTCCTTAATTTCTAATTCCGTCGTAGATACCAGCTTCAGACGAAGACGACGATATAGAAAGCTTGAGACTGGCAGCATTACAGTCGCTGAAAAAGAAAAACTCCTTTCCCGAATTCCCCGACAGTTCCTCCAGGAATCCGGACGTTACCCCGCATTTCCGCGGAAAACCCGGCCGAAACAAATGGGGCCGTTTCGGGGCCCATCAAAGACCCAAAACTGTAAATATTTTTCACTATTCCGTACATTTACAAGGGCCAAGTGAAAAGTTCTCGGCCTAACAATGAAAGAACGCGATTTTTAGTTGGAAAATTATATTATTCTTCTTATTAAGTCAAAATGATCAGTTCTAGACAGTTCTAAATGAATCTGGAGCATGCTAAATGATTCTAGAGAGTTCTAATTGATTCTGGAGCATTCTAAATGATTCTGAAGGCTGAGAACATTTCACCCTACCCTCGTACATACCTATTGAACTACTTACGATACGTGCCAATTGCAGGGTCACTTTAATCGACAACGAAACACCAATTTGATTCCCATCACTCCGATAGCCTCGGACGCCTCGGAGGATTCTCGGAAAGCGACCGATAACGAGCCGCAGAAAGAGGAGGAATGCAGCAAATTTAACCGGTACGATAAATCGGACAAATCGGACAGCGAGTCCGAGACGGAGGAGGAGAAGAAATCTCGACCGGGCGCTCTGAAGAAATCGGACAGTCTCGAAGCTCTCATGCAGGAATTGGACGAGGTGATAATCGGGAAAACCGGCGAAGAAGATACCAAAGGCGAAACCGACGAAGTTAAACCGACCGAACAAAGTCCCGAAGACAACGATAGCGTTAACGCGAACAAGAACAAAGAAGAGAGCAGCAAACCGATCGATGCGAATGCCGGTAAACCCAACGAAACCGAACAACAACCGGTCAAAACGTACCCTCGAAGGCCGTTCCGGGGCCGGTCGCCCAACAACCGGTTCTACCCGAAACCTCGTCGGACGTTCCCGCCTCCGAATAACTTCGTACCGATGGTACCGCCGTACTTCCGCGACGACTTCAGGCCGCTACCGATGCCCTACAATCGCCCTCTGTCGCCTCTCGCCATCAACGTGGAGTCCCTTGCAACCGTCACGATGGCCCCCTTATCGCCGAGAAGCGCCCGCTTCGTGCTCGAGAATCGCGCCATTATAGAGCGCAGGAAGCGCCGATCGTACTCGCGGAGCCCCTCGTACTCGCCCAGCCCGCCCCCGAGGCGGTTCCGACGGTCCGTTTCGCCCCGGAGGCTGTCGAGATCGCCGCGAAGGAAACGATCGTTGTCTCCCAGACGCCGGTCGCCCTCCCCTAAGAAACCTATCCCCGCCTCCAAACCCAAAATCGAAGAACCTAAAGAACCTAAGGAAGCTAAAGTGCAAGAAGAAGAGGAAACGAAAGTATTGGATCCCGTGCTGTTGGCACGCAAACGAAAGTTCGAAAGTAACGAAATCAAAAAGAAGGAAGGCATCATTCGATTGAAACCGAAAGAATGCAACGAAACGAAAGACGTCAAAGAAGAGCAAATCGACGACGATTTGGAGTTCCAGGAGCTCGAGAAGCTGCTCAACGACGACCATCGATCCGAAGAGACGAAAGTGGTGGATATCTTCTCGGACGAGGAGTCCGATTCGGACAACGAGGGTCGCTTCAAGACGAAGCGCCATCGAGAGAAGGGGCCCGCGCCCGTCGTGTCTTTCGCCAAATTGCTCGACGGGCCCAAGTTGGACGTGGATCCGGAACCGTTGCCGGACTCGTCGACGGCGAGGAAATCGGCGAAAAGGAGCGGCGAGAGGGCGCGTACGAGGGACGCGGGCCGCACCAAACGGCAGAAGATCACGTTCGAGGAGAAGCCGGAGAGGAAACGGGAGAAGGTTAAAATGGCGGAGGAGCCGAAGAAAGCGGAGGAAATCGAACCGATCGAATCGACAACGATCGAAGAGGTCGAAATCGACGAAAGCGGAGACGAGGAGAACGCCGTCGTCAAAGAAGGTAATTGTGACGCTTTGAATTTTATTCGATATTCGATAAATACCTGTTTTATTCGAGCGTGATAAATAACGGTTATTTAGTAACGTTTACAACGCCATCTCTATTCCATAAAGTCAGTTCCCAACTCTATTATCGACTTGTCATTAGTGTCATATTTGACAGTTATGTGTTTTTTTACTGTGTTGATTAATTAATGATTACGAATTAATTACCCCAGTAATTGATATAGTAGTAACCGCATCGGTTGGTTTGTTTTTAGGCGATCTCCGAGCTCAGCTCAGCAGGAAGAGGGCGGAGAAATTATGCAAAATTCCTGCCGAAGAAGTGTCGACGAGAATACTGAAATTCGCTTTGGAGGGTGCCGGGTTCAAAAAGACGAAGAAAAAGTCCAAAAAGAAAAGTGTTATAGGTGAGTTGGATAATAGTTATAGATTGAAACTAATCAATTTATCCATGGATACAGTGTGTCCCTAAAGAAATCTAATGAACGTGTATGATAGAGTTTGGTTTTTTTTATTTTAACAGAAGGAAAACTGCCGATTCATCTGCGCTTGGGCGTCAACAATGGTTCGAAGAAGGAGCAGGAGGTGCCGGAAGGTGGAACGAAAGCGAAAAAGAAAAGCAAAAAAAAAGGGAAATCACGCGACGTATCCGAGCAGGTATATTTTCTTTTGTTGCGCGATCTCGTTTCATAAACGATGTAAAATATTTGCAAATTATATTATTTTTTTTCCTTCTCTATATATATATATAATACATATGCCCGAAAATGGCGGTTTATTCGGTATACATTCGTCTCGTTTCGAATTGATTATCTTTCTTGTGATCGATTTATTTGTTGTAGTTTTAAACAGGAACAAAAAAAATAATAACTAGGCTGTGAATATTTTTGTACTACTTTATGAATTCTGTGATATTATTATGCATGTTTTATTTTATTTGATTGTGTGAATGATTTACAGGGTGTCTTTTCATTGGGACAGCCTGTATTTATCGAATGATTGGAGTTTTTTTTATCTATTTTAACGACAGTTTTGGTTTAGTGATTTTTTATTTTTAGTTTCTTTTTTAATTCCTTTTTCGATCCATTTTTTATCCTTCTAGTCATTTTATTTATCGGTGGGGGAATTTTCGATTTCCCTTAATTAATTTGTGATATTTTTACAATTAAAATTAAACGCTGTGATTTTTTTGAAACGATTGTACAAAACGTATGTATTTATCTAGTTTAATTTGTAGTTATTTTTTTTATCTATTTATTAACCTACTGGGTGATTTTTTTATATAAAATTATCATTTTATAAAATTAGTTTTATAAAAAAAGCATCATCCTGTAGGGATTCGTTTATAGGGTAACTGGTGGGAAGATGCCAATACAGCAATATAAGATTATTCCTATTTCTAAACGTTGTAAAATGTAACTGTTGTAATCGATTATTTTTTTGTACATTTTAATAATTGTAGATTTTTCGAAAGTATTCTTTTGCAGGAATTTAGGTAGTAAATAAACCAAATAAATTCAGGTAGGTGAAGGATTTTACTATCGATTATTTACTGTAGTTTATTTTTAAGATGTACGAGGATAAGGTGAAAATTTCTTGTTTCCTCTTTGGGACATTTATAATTAATTCTAGAACTGTCCAGAACCATTTAAAACGCTCCCGTATCAACTAGAACCATTCAGAATGCACCAGGATCATTTAGAACACTCCAGAATCAATTAGAAACACTTCACATTAAGGACACTTCACAACCATTTAAAAACAGCATTTAAAATAAATTTAAATAGCATTTAAAACTGTCTAGAACCATTTAGAACGCTCCATACTCATTTAGAACATTCCAGAATCATTTAGAATACTCCATAGTCATTTATAACGCTCCAGAATCGTTTAGAACTGTCTCGGAACTAAACATTTCGACTTAATAAGAAGAATAACGTAATTTTTCTACTAAAAACCGTCAAGTCGAGAACTTTTCACCTTACCCTCGTATCGTTTAATCGAATTTGTTTTCGGGGAAGATGCCATACTATTCCGAAATGCCATTTATACTTACGTCCCCATTTTTCTTCCTGTATTATTTTATTTGTATTCAAAAAAAATAAAGCAAAGTATGGCATCTTCTTCCCAGTTACCCTATGTCAAAATGATGGAATTTGAATCGTGTCTGTGTGTATGTATAATTTAATTAATTGTTCTTTTTTTCTTTGAATTGTGTTAAACGTACAGGTATAAATCGACTATCAATATCCGCCGCTCTCGACCCGTCCCGGGTAAACACGAAGGAACCTTCAACTCGAGTGAATTAACTAAAAAAAATTAGAGACTGTTTCCTTAACTCTTAGATAAATAATTAATTGATTAGTAAGAAGAAACAAAAAAAAATTCAACCAGAAATATTCGAATTAGGTACTGTAAAAGTGTAAAATGTACTGTAAATTTTTACTTTAAACTTAAACGATCGATTGCAATTTGATTTTATTCGTATTGTTTATTTTTCTTTTTGTTTACAATATTAGTTTATATCCGATTATGTATTATGGAATTAATAATTGCTTGTAGGTTTGAAATTCTTTCACTTCGAAATATCCTCATTATATGAATTTTTTCTGCCTTAAAAATATATAGGTGTCTACGATAAGAATTAAATTTTTTTACCCTATTATAATTTTACCCTTTGTACATATTATATACATACAAATTTTATAACTGTTGATGTATTTTATTTATTAAAAAAACACTATTTCTTACATACTGTTGTTTTATTACAAATTGTGTTATAATTCATTTTAGAACAGCCTAGGACCATTTAGAACGCTTGAGAAGCATTTAAAACTGTCTAGAATCCTTTAGAAGACTCCAGAATCATTTGGAACTGTCTAGAACCATTTAGAAGGGAATCGCACCGTAATCTGATGCCAGATATTTTTATCCGGTAAATAAATTCTACACCGAACTGATAGATTAGGTAATTTCACCGGTAGACTTTAGTAACATCTATTTAAATGTAGGAAATTTGAATAAATAATAAACCATTAAAAATATGGGTGTAATTTGCGTTAGTTTCTGGGTATTTAATTCAATCCTATCCCATGAAATTACTGTAAGAAACCATAATAAATATAATAACTTGTATTTCGTTAATATACCACATACATTTTTTTGTATTTTAGACCGCCTAGTACTCCGGTAGACCGAATGAATTAGGTTGGTAGACCGCATTTTAAACATATGGGCACCGAATGGATCTCGTCTGTGGAATTCTCGAAAGGAAAGTCCCCGAAACGGGAAACTTCGTCCGATGTTAATGACCTTAGTTCAATACCGGGCGCCTTATTCAATGATGTTTCTCTCACGAACTTACCCGGTAGACTTTCATATTTCAATTGTCCCCCCGGGGCCATTTTCGATTAACTGCATTACACGTACGGGACACGGAACACTTCCGGACGGGGCGACATCCATTCGCTTTCTTGTGTAAATCACACCGGCGAATGCAAAAATACAATTAAACGAAATTGTCGGAATAGAAATTCGAAGTGTTAATTAAAATTTACAGGCGGCTGTTTTTAATTTTTTTTCTTTCTTTTTTTTCGAATAAGGTCAATTTCACCGCGTTTATTGTAATGTAATTACCCATTCGAATTTTTCGCTTCCACATAATTGGAAACAATAAAGAATGTAATTAAGAGTAATATCTTCCATCTGAAAGTATTACGAAACAACGCCAGTATTTTTTGTGTATTATACAACACTCACTATACTATACAGGGTGTGTATGTCCCGACGACCATAAACCGTCTGTATACAAGGGTAAGGTGAAAAGCTCTCGGCCTGACAATGAAATATCGCGATTTTCAGTTAAAAAATTACGTTATTCTTTTTATTAATTCAAAATCTTTAGTTCTAGGCAGTTCTATAAATGATTCTAGCCGTTCTGAAGCATTCTTAATGATCCTGGAGTACTCTGAATGGTTCTAGTTGATTCTGGAGCGTTCTAAATGGTTCTAAATGGTTCTGAAGCTTTCTAAATTATTCTGGACAGTTTTAGAATTAATTATAAATGTCCCAAAGAGAAAACAAGAATATTTGCTGATAGAACTTTACAAGCTACCCTCGTAGATGAGACACCCTGTATATGAGTAGGATCCTTTTCACAAGAGTCCTTAAAAGAGCGACAGTTATATTAATTATTCAGTTAAAGACACTTTCTTGGTGTTGATGCGATCGAAGACACCCTATTAGGAAATGCACATCTTCTAATATTATAAGAAAAAGTTGCTACAACAGTTGGCATTATTTGAGCCACCCTGTAGTACGTATTAATTTTTTTCCTAGGCAAACATTGAGCTAATAAATCACTATAATTATTTTTTTTTCAGCGTTCGTATCGCAAAATCCCATCTATCCGATGAGGAAACTCTTCGCATATACAACGAACAACACGAAACGAAAGTCTTGCATAACCATCGACGGACAATAAAAATAATAAATGCAACGCCGGTGCGAACGGGACGCGAAGAAATGGAAAGAAAGTGAACTCGAATTGCCCATTAGTGCGTATATTGTGAGATGATTCAATGAACTCATCCCCGGCCCTTTCACTTTCCATCATCGGCTAACCGAATAAACGACTAGGTCACGGCCGTTTACGCGGATTCGTGTGTATCCCCCGCGCGGATTTTCCCACTCGCCGAGCGATCGTGAGCGTATAAAATCGTCTTTATTTAATTACGAACGGGGTAGTTGTAGTTGTAGCTTCGTGTAGAAGAGGCGCACCGACGATGAGGCGAAATTCCAAATTTCTGTTTGTCGTAAGTGTATTTTTATGTTTCTAAAATAAGTAACCGAATGTAGGTTGAGCAAAAGGCCTCTGGTATAGGGGTGAGTTTTGACGTATAGGCAACCAGTATTACAATTCATTTTTTTTTAATTCACTATCATTCATAACTTCTCCACAAAAATTTAATTATTTTCGAAAATCTTTTTACAGTTACTTCTTAATTTATCATCACTGGCTGTATACACTTCAGCAGGCAGCCTGGGAAAAGAACAGTGAGTACTTTCATTCATATAATACACCATTTCATATTAACACTTTAAAAATATATTTTTTCAGTGTACATATAAGAGTTCATTTGCCGCAAGGCGACCACGGTGGCGGTCACGGCGGCGGCCACGGAGGTGGTGGAGGTTACGGAGGCGGTTTCGGAGGTGGACACGACGATCACGGTATAGAAAAATATACAACATCGAATTGTAAATGGTTTCTTACGATTTATTTTAATTTTCTAGGCTTCGGAGGCGGCGGAGGATACGGCGGCGGTGGTGGTGGCCATGGAGGCGGACATGGCGGCGGTGCCTCGCACACGATTGTTCTTAGCGGAGGTGGCGGTCACGGAGGCGGTCATGGAGGTGGTTACGGCGGAGGATTCGGTGGTGGACATGGAGGAGGAGGAGGAGGAGGTTACGGCGGTGGTCATGGCGGTGGACATGGCGGTGGACATGGAGGCGGCCACGGAGGCGGTAAAGTCATAGTACTACACGGTGGTGACCCGTTACCAAGTGGAGGTATGTGTTTCTTAATTTTCCATTGAAATTCAAATTAGGTAATAATTTATTAAATGTTCACCAGGAGGCCACGGTGGAGGTGGCTACGGAGGCGGCGGTGGATTCGGAGGAGGATTTGGCGGAGGTCACGACGATCACCACGGCGGTGGTGGTGGATTCGGAGGCGGAGGAGGCTTCGGAGGTGGATTTGGTGGAGGTCACGATGACCACCACGGCGGCGGCGGCGGAGGAGGAGGAGGATACGGAGGCGGTGGTGGTTTCGGAGGTGGATTTGGCGGCGGTCACGACGACCACCACGGAGGCGGCGGAGGAGGATACGGAGGCGGTGGTGGATTTGGCGGCGGAAGTGGATTCGGAGGAGGACACGACGATCACCATGGCGGTGGTGGCGGAGGATACGGAGGCGGCGGCGGCGGCGGCGGTTTTGGAGGTGGATTTGGCGGAGGTCACGATGATCACCACGGCGGCGGCGGATTTGGAGGAGGTGGTGGATTCGGAGGCGGACACGGCGGTGGATTCGGTGGAGGATCAGGATTTGGAGGCGGTGATCACCATTCGCACGGAGGAGGAGGAGGAGGCGGATATGGTGGAGGCGGCGGCCACGGAGGCGGAGGTGGTCATGGATCTGGAGGTTTTGTAGGCATTATACACGATCACCTTTCTGACGGTGGCGGTCACGGAGGAGGTTTCGGAGGCGGTCACGGAGGAGGACACGGTGGTGGCCACGGCAGTAGTTTTGGAGGGTATCCGTAGTGTTAAATGTATGCCATTAATAGGTAATTAATTTATTTGTTGTAATTGTTGTTATACTGAATTATTAGATTGTACATACAAAGAATAAATGGTTTTGTTATAAATTTTTGCTTTTTTCTCCCTGAAACATACAGAAAAAAATAATTTTGGATATTTCTACGGTTCCTTATAATGGGGAATAGAAAGTTTCCTACATTAGTTTTATTATTAGATGGCGCCACGTGCTTTTACAAATTTATTAAATAGACATGTCGGCGGCCGGAGCGCTCAGTACCTCCTTTGCCACGGTAGGGGTATGTTGCTCTTTTACGAATAAAAAAAACACGATAGTAATTCTTGATGAAACTCATCTCATCTTCATAAATGAATGGTAGAAATGGTAGAAGTATGAAATTGGAAAGTTGTATTTGCGCTCCCAAGCCTCCCCCGCCGGTCCCACCCCGTAGCTATACTTTCTTAAGTAACCTAACCATACGCTAACGTGCGCGATGTCTTAACAAAAAGTTTTGGCGCCATCTGTTATATTTTTATCGAACCCTACGATTAGACGTGCGGAGAATTTTAAGGATAGGTTTAATGATGGGTTATTCGATTAACTGTGTCTTTTCAACGGTTTTTTTTCTCATTTACAGCCTTCACGAAAACGAAACGATAAGATCTATACCACTTTATTCACTTACAACGCTATAAACTGAACAATATATAAATAAAAATTCTCCATTCGTTAATAGTAGAAAAAGTACAAAACGAAATATATTACATAATTATCACAATTAAATATAGAATTCAATCAAAGTTTTTTAACAAATGTATCCGTATTCATCGTTAAACTAAAAAAAATGATAAAATTACTTTGATTTCGAGGCTTTTTCTTTCTTCCATATTCGAATTTTCTCTTTCAAATCGTCGGCTGTAACAAACGAAAAATCACAAGTTATAACTTACAATCGAGCGAGAGAAGTATGTTCACTTATACCCCAACAAACGTAGCTTGACATTCGAAAATTCCACAAACGAGAAATATTCACAAAATCTCAAAATACATTTATAACTTCTTACCCTCCAACTTCAACCATTCTACCTCCACCGTCAACATCTCAAAAATCCCAACTGTCAAGCTACATTCGACAAGGTATAATTCGTATCAAATTTACCCGGTATCAGCATTTCCTCAGTCAACAATTGCCTGTTAAACGGATCGGTATTACTGTTCAACAAATGCCTCATTATGACCGATCTGTCCATAATCTGACCGCTCGGCAACAACACTGGATCCGACATAAGCGTATCCATCAGTGGATCTTTGAATTCTTCGGGAGCGTCCGCCATCCAATCCTCCGATTTCCTCTTGTTCTCCAATATCCTCAGAGCCTTCCCGGCCAGCGCTCTAAATTGCTCTATTTGTACGCTCGTTTTTATCGAAATCCGCTCCAAACGGGCCGCGGCCACTTCGAACAACTCCTTCTTGAAGGATCTCTACGAATAACACAAAACAATGCGGTCAAAAACGATTTACAAACAAAAAGTTCTCGGTCATTTAAAACTAGGATCATTTAGAACTGACTAGGACAATCCAGAACACATAAGAAATGTTCAGAACTATTTAGGACGCTTTAGAACTGACCAAGACAATCTAGAACACATTAGAAGTCTTTAAAAATTTCAATTACCTCGTCTCCGGCGAGAGCCTCGGCGAATTTGTCGCAGTCCAAATGCAAATAAATGTCGACCAATTGGCTGAGCAACCTTCTCGGTTCCCAATCGTATTTCTCCGGATGGCGCACTTTCAAGTCCTTGCACTTCTTGCCGCAGAGCTGTTGCAAGTTGAAATTCAACATCGACGCTAACCTACAAATCAACATAATTTCGAAAAATTCTATAACGCAGCGCAAAACCAAAAGCCCAGCTTCTTCACTACCATCTCCTGAACGCGAACGGAGTATAACAAACCATTTATAGTCCGTTCGCTATAAGGCAGCGCCAAAGCCCTGCTTATTCTACTATAGAGCCATCTCCCGATAGTGAACGGACTATAAACCGATTAACAATCGACTCACCTATCGACCAATTCGGGCTTGAGAAACGGCTCCTTGATCGCAACAGTCAAATAATGAAACATATCGACGGTCTCCCGGGCCAGCGTCATGTACGACCTGCACTGGCGCTCGTCCGAATTCAACTGTCTCATGGTCGTTTGTTGTTGATCGGACGCCATCTTGGCCCATTTCTCCTCGTCCCTGATCAACTCCTGCACCTCGTGTATGCGTTTGAGGGACTCCAACGATTCGTCCAGCAGGAACGTCATGTCGTTCATCAGCATGTTGACGAACTTGACGAATTGATGGCCGCCCCGCGACTCGTTGATCAGGCTCTGCCGGTGTACCGGGGAATACCACATTTCTGCGAAAAGAAGAAGAAAAAAAACGTAAGAAGAACGCTCTGGAATCCTTTAAAAATTGTCTACAACGATTTAGAATGCTCCAGAATCATTTAGAACTGTATAGAACCGTTTAGAACGCTCTCCAGAATCATTTTGAACTGTATAGAATCATTTAGTCTAGATTCTTGAACAATTTAGAATGCTCCAGAATCATTTAGAACTGTATAGAACCGTTTAGAACGCTCCAGAATCCTTTTCAACTGTACAGAACCATTGAGAACGGTCAGAACCATCCAGTCTAGAACAATTTAGAACACTCCAGAATCAATTAGAATTGTTTAGAACGCTCTAAAATAATTTAAAACTGTCTGGAACCATTTGGAATGCTCTAGGATCATTTTGAACTGTATAGAACAATTTAGAACGCTCCAGAATCATTTGGAACTGTCCAGAATCATTTAGAACGCTCCAGAATAATCGCGGTCTTTCGTTATCAGGTCGCAGAAACCTTTTTCATCCATTATACCCTCGGTATAGGAGTTTCGTACGTACTTTTTATTATCAAACTGATGTGATACCGTATGGAGAATTTATCGTAAAACTCCGAACTGGATCCGGTCGTTTCCACGTCGGTGTAGAACTTCATCAGCGAACTGGGCAGGATCGTTTGCGATATGGGATGGTTCATGATGCGCGAGTACAACGCCTCGCAGCGCGGCTGTATCGACGGCAGTATCACGAACACGACCTCCACCAATTTGGCCACCAGATAGGGATTTTTGATCATGTTCGACGAGCATATGGTCACCAACAGCCACGATATCATCGAGTCCTCCATGTTGTCGGCTATCACCGTCGGGAAGTATCTGCGAAAATTTAAAACGGACGTGAAAAATAACGGTTATTTTGTAACGTTTTATAACGAACATCTCTATGCCGCGAAATCGATTTCCAACTCTATTATCGACTTGTCATTAGTGTCAAATTTGACAGTTTTCGAGTTTGTTTACATTAGAGTATCATCGCACGCAACTTAAATTCCTAATGCACCAAAGAAATAGAAATACCGACTACATGAGCGAATAGCGGTAAGATACTTACTGTAAGGCGAATAGCAAAAACTCGGCAATATCCTCCACGTACCACTCGGGCATGGAAAAAAACATGGGCGCCGAGCTGGTGAACGGTAGATCCGGTAGATCATCACCTGGCGCGGTATTCGTCAACAAGCTCAGCAGAAACTCGGAAACGGCAGTATAAAATACCAGCGATCTTCTGATCACGTTCTTGTCCAATATACCGGCGTCCGCGCAAATTTTCGACCTAAAAAAAAAACGACCAATTACCTTAAAATAGGCAACACACATTACACTTATAGTACAGTAAGGATAGTCCTATTATTAGGTACTAGTTTATAAAACTGAACAGATTACTATAAAGATTTAAGTGATTATGCACCTTAAAATAGGCAACACACATTACACTTATAGTACAATAAGGGTTTGTTCCGATACTACGAAACACTCCGAACTAAATATTCTAGTTTCCGGAGTACAGAAATACAATTCGACTTGCTTTTTGAGTTTCTTCAATTGCTGTTTCCAGCGCTTGATGAACTGCCGGTTTCTGATGGCGAACGGCGTGTTACGCCATTGGGCCTCGGCCGCCTCGGTCTCGTCGAGCAGCTTCTCCAGGTCCTTGATGGCGCGCAATTTCCTCTGGTACTTTTGCAGCGCCGGCAACAGCGCCAGATGGTGGCAGTGCAACGTCAGGAACCAACAGATCGTCGAAAAGTTCGGTTTTTGGTACTCTCGAGACGCGCCTTTTCGGAGAGAATCGAGTTAGTTGAAAGGTAAAAAAATGGGGAAATATGTACGAGGGCGAGGCGGAAAGTTTTGTCGGGCGATTTTCGATTGCAAATTGGATTAGTCTTCTTGTTAAGTCGAAATGTTTAGTTCTAGACAACTTTTCACCCTACCCTCGTACAGACCAAGAGATTTTTCAGTGGTAAATTTTTACCGTATTCTTTTATCCAATCGGCGACTTCTTGAGAGGCGAATTTCAGTCTGGTATCGTTGGCGATATTCACGAGCGTCTCGGGATGGAACGGGTACATAAAATCCACTTTGGTCAATTTGATTTTGACCGATAACAGCTGCATCACGCTCAGCAAATTCAACATGAAACCGTCGCCAGCTACGGCCCTTTCTTCGATTTGCAATTGAGATCTAAAACGGATTGTTCGGGTGAAAAAATCGATTATATGTATTTCCTAAAAACCCACCGTTTTTCGTTGTGCTTCAACACCTGGGCGATGTAATGCAAACAGGCGTCCCTGCTGTCCTGGTTCACCATCAAATAGTGGAATATCTTGTGTTGCACGCGCCTCGTGTACTCCAACTCCGATTGCACCAAGCTCTTGTCGCTCGACGCGTTGCCGCCGAAGAACTTCTCGGCCACCTTCGGCTCGTCCTCGGCGAACACCGATATGTTGAGAAACGGCCCCAGAAACGAGCAACGGACGATCTCCCGTCCGGCCGCCGGCGTGCACACCGTCGGCACGAACTGCGCCTGTTTGACCAGCAACGAGCAAATCGGCCTCGGTCCGCACCGGACGTCGGTCAGCTCGAACAACGTCTGTATGGGCGCGCGGTGCTCGTCGCCCACGATGCTGGCCTGTTGCATCGTCTTGTAGAGGCCCTGCAGGATCGGATTGAACACGCCGGCGAACAGACGCTCGTTGGCGTGAATCGCCGTGATCAAATCGGTGAGGAAGCCGCGCGGCATCGATTGCTGTAGTACCGGATACAACAACGGCGAGCTCGCTTTGCTCTCCGATACCAACAAACCTACAACACAACCGTAGATCTATTAATCATGGACTTATTTTAAAGGTATAAAGAGCTTATAGAGCTTCGAAATACATATCTTTATATGAACTTTTCGACTCAAAACAAGCTCAAGAATCACCAATTAAAGTACATTGCATTATTAAACACCTTCTATTAATAGAGTGTAAATTACCTTGAACAACGACGGTAGTATAATGAATAATTTGAGTCCTAAGTTCGGTTAATATATCACACATAAGAGGAACGCTCAATTTCTTCGGATTGTTTCGCACTTCCACGCTGACCCTATTGTACGAGTCCATCAAATAATTAATGGCCAGCGTGTCGTTGTTGTGCTCGGCGTTGTTGTTGTTGCTGTTCTTTAGGGTCAACAACGGTATGGGACAACCTTCGGCCATCGGGCTCGACGAGGGGCTCAAATTGGCCGGGCTCGAGCCCAAGCTGGTCGCATCGTAGGCGTCCAAAGCGGGCCGAGGCACGTTCTTGAAGGGATTCTCCCCTCTGGCGAATTTGAACATAACCTCCATCAAGGAGTTCGAAGTGAGGTCGCGTACGCTCATCGAAGGGTTGTCTCGGAGCACTTCGGCGGTTTCCGGTAAGTACAGACCTCCGTCCGATGCCTCCGTGTAACTCACGTGCAACACTCGAGCGACACACGACTGAAGTTGCTGCAACGTTATCTCCGTCGATTCGGCTTGTTTACGTTGATTCTTTTGCACATCCAATTCGTCCACCTAAAAAAACGCGATTATTCGACTCGATACAATTCGCGAATCGATCGACTCACTTCCATGTTCTCGAATCCCGAATCGATGTCGGTGTTGGCGCTGATCTTGTCGGCGCCCGAGAGGTTGTCGTCGACCTCCATGTGCACGGAGCTGGTCTCGGAGTCGCTGCGTTGGGGCGGAGCGCGCGATCGTGCTTTGGAGCTCGAGGGCGTGTGGATGTCGATGGGTTTGGAGGGTTCCTTGAAGACGTCGCCGATGCGCTTCTCGGGCTCGAGGGGTTCCGGTTTGGGCTTGTCGGGGAGGTGGGGCCGGATGTCGGGCGGCTGGATCGACGGGGAGTTGAGGGGCGACTGGGAGGGGGTCATCGGGGGCGATAGGGAGGTGGATGGGGACGTGGATTCCCTGGCTGTTAGTCTGGCTAATCGCCTTCGTCTTATCTACGAATCGAATTAGTATGGAATAGTATATAAAATTTCCTTTATTTAGTAGAAATATGCTAATACGCACTTTTTTTTTGTTCAATACAACAAACAAAGAAATCTAAATATAAAGATATGCGTTTAAAACAACGACGATAAAGGACGCGATGATTGCCCACTAGTAATTAACATATCAGTGAAAATGAAATAAATATTACAACTTCTCTTTGATATTACTATGAGAAAAAATCTTTTTGTTTATCATGGTGTTGTGAAAAAAATCGAATGTAACGTTCGTTTTGAAAATTAAAACTTACTTCCTCTTGACTCAGTTCGCTCATGGTGGATCGTTTTTTTGTTAAATGAACGTGATTTCAGTTAAAACTTGCACGAAAATCCTTTCAATTTAATTAATTTACTGTAAACTTGTACTAAACAACCATCGACAAAACCAAAATGAATACGTCAACGTCAAGCGAAACGTCAAAATCCAAAATCGTACAGTCATGTCATCTATTTACATATGTCTAAATGCAGGTTAGAATCCAGCGTTGCCAGATGTAATTTTTTTGGTGTGAACGTAATGCTTAACAGTTAGAGGCCATTAAAAGTCAACACTCAACTGTCAAGAATGTCAAGATAGTGTTGGCGTATCAAATTTTGGATGTTTGTGTAGAGAAATGTTATCATTTTGAGTTGTTTTTATACGTAAATAACTAATTAACTTGGTTTTTTAGAGCTTCCAAGGTAATTGTTAAGAGCCAACCGACCAATTTAATAAACGTACAATTTCAGCATACGTTTCGAGATGGACAAATTGAAAAGGGTATTGAGTGGTAACGAGTCCCCGGACGAAGAAAGCGGTATCATGTCTCAAGTAAATATACCCATTAGATAGACAAGTAGACTTCCGATCCACTAAATAGTAGACCTTATTATTTCGTATACCAGTTTAAGTTTTTTCGACAGGCACAATTCGTTTTTTTTTACAGTTAGATCAAGCTACCACCTTGAGTTGGTCGACACGATTAAAAGGCTTTTTGGCATGTTTCATAGTAGGCATTTTGTTATCGTTTTTGGGTTCGTTTGCTTTGTTTTTGCAAAGAGGCTTGCCGGTTTTCGCGGTGTTTTACACCCTCGGAAACCTCACGTCCATATTGAGCACCTGCTTCCTCATGGGACCCGTTAATCAAGTTAAGAAAATGTTTGCATCCAATAGATACATAGCTACGATATTAGTTATAGTTTCGTTCGTTTTAACATTGGTTGCTGCGATTGTAGTAAGTATTTTAATGGGTTTAACTATCCGTTCTGTTACTTCCTCCGTTTTGACTCGATCGTACAGCTACTTTATCGGGAAGTGATAGAACGAGTTATGATTCGATTTATAACTGTTTGATAACGTGTATTTATTTTATTTTAGCTAAAGAAAGCGTTGCTTGCGTTGTTGTTTATAATAATTCAATCGTTATCGATGACTTGGTATTCCCTGTCTTATATCCCGTATGCTCGAGATGCAGTAAGGAAAACTGTAATGACTTGCGTAGTGTGAATTAATTAGTGTTTAAGCGAGGATTTTGTTGGTCTACTTTATCGACTCACCATGTTCTGCACAAATTTTTCTTTTAAAAGATATTACTCAAACGATAGTTGAAAAAGTATATCGACAGTATTTTTCGAAATGTATTTTACGTGATTATATTTATTATAATAATATACTTGTCTACATAAAGTTATTGTATCAAAATGGGTTTGTTATTGAATTTTTGTATATTCGTATATATTTAATGTTAAAATGAAATTCCTAATGCGCTGTAATATACTTACATAAATATTTTACTTAGATGTTAACCGTAATTTTATGAAATATACTAGTTATTTTTTGAAAAATGTATTAAAATATAATGTGTAATTAGTATTTTGAATTCATCCGAATATTTTATGATTATAAGATTTAATTTAATAGACTGATCACATGAAATTTTTCTGTTATAAATATTTCTTATATTCATTTACAATGTACAATAAATATTTAATTTTTCTAATTGTCTTTATAGTGAGTTGTGTAAAATTGAAAATTACCTAGTAAAAGGCCTAGTTCCATTTCAACGGTATCATTTTTTTGTTGGAGGCACTGGGAGATGTACGGAAAAATATGTTATGCATGCTTGTTTTACTATTTAAGACTGTGAGTTTCTTGTAACATTAAAAGAGTTTATTATTTGGACTAATACTAAAAAAGTTTCATTTTGAACTTCCAACTAAATTTGCAGAATGCCTTTTAGAAACAGGCCACCAAAATTATTAAAAAAGAAGACAACACAAAATCACAAAACAACAACAATCAACTTCAAACGTCACATACGTCATATAAATATGAATTCGTTCAAATGTTGAAAATTCTCGGTGTTCGTTTCATCACATTTTCACAAGTAAACCTTCCTCGCTAATTCCCTTATGCTAAGAATCATCAAAACCTCCCTTTCCAGCCATCGCTCTTTGCCCCGTCATCATTCGCAAGACGCCAAAACATTGCTGCTTAACCTACTAGAAAACATGCCTAAGGATCGAAAACAAATAGCTGAGACCCAAATGCACCGGAAGAAAGTCAAAGAAAAACACTCCAAATACGTGCCGGGCAAAGTCACCCTGCAGGTACTAGGCACAGGAGCAGTAGGCGCCCCCAGATCGTTGTACATGTTCTCCGATCAAAGCAGGTAAATGCCCCTTTTTCCGCTCGCAACTCGCTATTAAATCACTCGTCTTGTACTTAGGTATCTGTTCAATTGCGGAGAAGGTACTCAGAGACTGGCGCACGAGCATAAAATGAAACTAGCCAAGCTAGAGCACATATTTATAACCCAACCGGTTTGGAGGAACATCGGTGGGCTACCCGGAATCGCCTTGACAATTCAGGACGTGGGCGTACCGGAAATCTCCCTACACGGCCCCCCCGGTTTGGTAACCAATCCTATTAGATACCATTACAACTTACTAATCGATAACGTTATCGTAGAATAACATTTTTACTGCGACGAAGAGGTTCGTGGTGTTGAAGAATCTCAAAATCAACATGGCCACCAGCGACGAAGACGTCAGCTTCTCCGATAACGTAATGACCGTGCACTACGTGCCTTTACTCGAAGCCGCTCCGGCGCCCGTTAAAGACGACAAAGTGGCTGCATCGGATGCCAAGCAAGAGACCACTCCGGCTACTGACTCCAGCGCGACCAAACCGACCGATACCTCCGCTAAGAATAAGGTTGTTTTAATTAATCGATGGTTAATCGAGCGTTAAATACGTTTGTTTTAGGATCACGTGTGTAGTTCGAAAAAGACTAAACTAAAGAATCGATTGTCTTCTTCCGTTGACTCTTCGATATCGAATTCCGATGACGAATTCAACGATAGCACGGATTACTACGCGTACGAACGTAAGAAAAAGAAACCCGAAAAACGCGTATCAAGATACTGTTACCGATTCCGACCCCGATCCCGTAGCGTCGGTAAAATATCCTACTTAACCCTATCGTGACGTCACGACCACCTTAACCCGAACGTACTATACATGTCCTATTCCTATTCCGAACGACAGCTCGTAAACTCTACGTACGAATCGATGTATTTGTTCGTGTTTTAGATAGCGCCGACGCGGGAGAGGATTCCAAATTCGCGTCGGGTTTGATCGAAGAGCAAACCAAAGTGAAAGGCGTCTCGATGGCGTACGTGTGCGTGCTGAAGTCCCGCCCGGGCGCACTAAATCTGGAGAAGTGCCTGCGGATGGGCGTCCGGCCGGGCCCTCTGTTGGGCAAATTGAAATCGGGCGAGGACGTGAAACTCGTCAACGGGAAGGTGGTCACCGCGCAGGACGTTTGCGAACCCGACGATCCCGGACTGATATTCATCGGTAATATATATTTATATGTACGAGGGTGACGTGAAAAGTACTCGAAGATCGGGATTTTTGGTTGGAAAATTACGTTGTTTTTTTTATTGAGTCAAATACGTTGGTTCGAGACGGTTCTAAATGATTCTGGAGCGTTCTAGACAGTTCTAAATGACTCTAGACAGTCCTAGAATCAATAATAAATGTGAGATTGTTCGCTGATGAGCTAGTGAGGCCGATAACTTTTCACTCTACTCTCGTATCTAACGGGTCGCTCGAGTAGTTGGGACCTACCGTTTTTTTTGGTATAATTGTTGTAGTTGTCGATTGTCCGAACGTGAACTACTTGGATTCGTTGCACGCGAAGGCCATTTTCAAGAAGCACCAAAAAACGGCCGCGCTGGAAAGGGACATCGCGAGCGTGGTGATCCATTTCACGCCCAAGGAAATCGTGAACAATCCGAGGTATCAAGAGTGGATGGAGAAGTTCCCTTTGTGTACGACGCATTTGATGCTGAACGAGTTTAACACGTGCATGGGGAGCGAAGCCGTGCACAGGATACAACATAAATTGAATTTATTATCGCCGGATATATTCCCTTTGTTGGGCGACAAAGGGAGTAAAATCAACGATAGCGTAAGTTGATTGTGTAGAAAATCCGAATTTGTATTACAGTGCGTTTTTGTATTAGCAACAAATCATCCCTGGCGCGTTCAAAAAACCGAAACTGGCGGACTCTTCCTATTTGCTATACAAAGACGAAGTGCCCGACGTGCGATTGAGTTCGCTCCAAAGGACTCCGACTTCTCCTACGAACAGCATAAGAGAACTGACGAAATCCGCCGCCGCCACGTCCTCGGCCGCTCCGGGAAAGGAATTGATGCTGTTCCCGAGGACCTTTTGCACCTACCACCTCCGGCCCAAGAAAGGGCTCGACAGGTAAATCGCGAGATCCGAGTTTGGGTGTAATTTACGCGAGCGAATTTCCGCAGGAGTTTGGAATTGGTGTTGAACCCGAACGAATACGTGCAGGAGAGCCTGACGATGGGCGAGCTGCAGGCGGAACTGAGGAAATTGAAGATAAAACTGTTGAAGAAAACCTTCCGGACCGATGATTTCCCGAAGCTGGTGTTCCTGGGGACCGGTTCTTGTATACCGAACAAAACGAGAAACACCAGCGGAATATTGCTATCCCTAAGGTGCGTAAATAACTGTAAAAAAAAACCTTTCGTTTAATTCCCCCAACGATCGATAGCACAAAGCAAAGGATCGTTAAGGAACCGATCGAGGACTTTTAACAGCTTTTTTTTCTATTTTAGCGGTTACGTCGAAAACAAGCACATGTTACTAGATTGCGGCGAAGGCACGTACGGTCAAATCATCCGGTTCTTCGGGGCCGGACCGGCCCAAAACGTCCTCGCCAATTTGAACGCCATCTACATATCGCACCTGCACGCCGATCATCACATCGGCCTGATCGGCGTGCTGCAGGGCCGTCGCCGGGCGTTGGATTTGCTCAAGCTCGAGAGACGGCCTCTCTATTTGTTCGCTCCGAAGCAAATCATGACGTGGCTCAGTTTCTACGATCGGTGCTTCGAGAACATCTGCGAGGAATTCGAGTTGGTGCCCAACGGGTCCATAGTGAGTGTACTAATTAGCGCGAGTTTGTTGTAAGAGGGTAGGGTGAAAAGTTGTCGGCCTGTAACAATTGTTATAGAACACTACAGAAGCGTTTAAAACTGTCTAGAACCATTTAGAACGCTCTAGAATCATATAGAACTACCTAGAACGCTTCAGAACTGTCTAGAATCATTTAGAATGCTTCAGAATCATTTAGAACGATCTAGAACCACATGGAACTGTCTAGAACGATTCAGAACAGTTTGGAACGCTTCAGAAACATTTAATCTAGAACCATTTAGATGTGTTGATCATGTATTTTTGTTCGTTTTAGGTACAAGGAGGTTGCCTGTTGCCCAAGAACGTAAAAGACACCGTTTTGAACAATATGAGCCTGCTGGATATCAACACGTGTCTGGTGAAGCATTGCCCGAACGCCTTCGGGGTGAGCATAACCTGCAGGAACGGTTACAAAGTAACTTATTCGGGCGATACGATGCCCTGCGAGGCTCTGATATCTTTGGGTAAAACGATTGATTAGGGAATTTCGGGTGTTTAGTTAATGATTGTATGTGTTTGGTAGGTATCGGTAGTGATATATTAATACACGAAGCTACAATGGAAGACGAGCTTTGTCACGAGGCTACCATTAAAATGCATTCTACCACGAATCAAGCGATAACTATCGGTAAACGGATGAGGGCGAAGCATATTATTTTGACGCATTTCAGCCAAAGGTACGCCAAATTGCCGAGGTTCACGGAGAATTTCTGTACTAACGTCGGTATAGCTTTCGATAATATGCAAGTAAGTTGGTTTAAAATCGCTTTGAAAACGCGTTAAAATGGCGATTTTTTTCTCTTGTAGATTAGCACGTCCGATTTGTCGCTGATGCCCGATTTGTTCCCGGCATTGAAGCTGCTCTTCGCGGAACAGTACGAGGAATTGGAGAACAAGGCGCTGAAGAGGCAGGTGAAAGAGCACGCCAAAAGGAAACTGACTAGTTGATATCGCTGTACATAAAATAAATTATTCATTTAATCCTGTTTATTTCGCTAATTCGAAAAATCGTGTTTATTCCTCTAATTCGTTGCTGCACAAGGAATTTAAGTCGCGTGTAAATACACGACGGTGATTTAAGTTGCGTGCGATGATACCCGAATGTAAACAAACGCACAACTGTCAAATATGACACTAATGACAAGTCGATAATAGAGTTGGGAACCGTTTGTATGTAATAGAGATGTCGTTATTAACGTTACAAAATAGCCGTTATTTATCACGCTCAAATAAAACAAGTATTTATCGAATATCGAAAAAAATAAACAAGTTTTTGGAAAAATACGAAAAATTGTGTTAATTCAATTAATCGTTCGCAGAAATTATTTATTATCGCTCTAATCTAATTAATATAGTGAAATCTGATTCGATTTTTGAGAAAAGGAGTAAAAAAACTAGAGTGCGATGATAAAATACTCGAATGTATACAAACAGAACTGTCAAATATGACACTAATGACAGGAGTTGGGAATCGATTTAATGGAATAGAGGTGTCGTTATAAACGTTACTAAATAACCGTTATTTATCACGCTCGAATAAAACGAGTATTTATCGAACATCGAATGAAATAAGCCGTTGGAAAAATAGGAAAGATCGTGGTGTAGTTGTCGAACGATTATCGGGGTCGGAGCTCGGCGATTTATTCCTTTTATTTCTCCCGTTTTCGCCGAGCCCTCGAATTCGTTTAATTCGACCTTTCGCCCGACGCGTTTCCTGTAGGTGAAGCAAAAAGGCGGTCGCGATGGCGTCATCAAGTCCTTATTTTTATTCTTATCGGAAAAAAAGCTGACCGGGCTTTTCCGATCAACCGCACCGAACAGAAAAAAAATATATATTCGAGAATTATTCATTTATCATCGCTCGCAGAAATAATTTATTATCCCGCTAATATAGTTAATTGAATGAGATTCGATTCGATTTTTAAGAAAAGGAGTGAAAAAATTTACATTTTTCTTTAATTCGTTGATGCAGTAGAAATTTAAGTTGCGTGCGATGATACACTAATATAAACAAACGCAAAAACTGTCAAATATGACACTAATGACAAGTCGATAATAGAGTTGGGAACCCATTTTATGTAATAGAGATGTCGTTATAAACGTTACTAAATAACCGTTTATTTCTCACGCTCCAATAAAACGAGAGGTATTTTAGAAATTTATCGCCCGTTTCGAATCAATTTCACGGCCTACATCGATTCGTAGTCCAAATAAAAAAGGGCGAAAAGCCACCATCATCCCCGACTCTCCCATATTTCCCCGGAATATTAACACCGGTTTTACAGCCGTATTTATGCGCCGGTATATAGGCGTCCCGAGTCGACGCCTCGGGCGTCCAGGTGCCGTGATTGGGGACCCGAAGCGCCTGTATAATTAAACAGAGGGAAATCGACGCGGCGCCGAAACCGGCAATTTTTCAGCTATGAATTTTTCAAAATAAAAAAAAAAAAACCGCACAGGTTTTTCCCCGCGTACGATTCTAAAAAAAAATTGACGATGCTCGAATGCTCGAATGGAAAAAATGCCTAAAATTAGATTTGTTGATTAGACATACAAACAATGTAATAATTGGGGACTTTTTCGTCGTCGAAATACTGCGATAATTAAATTATATACAGTTATTATCCTGTAATTCCCCGCGCGCTCTCGTGATTATGGTTAATGTTTCGTATAACACGCATTTCCCCGCATTTCCCCCGCATTTCCCCCGCACGAATCTCATCCCTTTTGAAGTACACAGACTTTTACAAAGTTTCGCTGCATACCTACTTATATAAATTATTTAAATACCCAAATTGCAGTCGGATGAAAACGTACATGCTTGGATTTCCCGACGTATTTTTAAATATACGGTTGCAGGAAAATCGTAAAGCGTGTATGGTCGACTTTAAATCAAAAAATTATTTAGGGGGGCGAACGTAATTGCGCCAGTGATACGGAAATGTAATCACAATCACCGACCCGCGGCGCGTTTTACAGGCACCTAAAATTTTCTAATGATTGTCGTTTAAAGCCGGCCATACACGCGAAATAATAATCACAGTTCGTGCACCCGAATTGATAAAAAAAAGCAAAGAAAATCGACCCCCGTTTCGTTTTTTTCCGCATCCTCGAGAAGAGGCCTCGAGAAGAGCCGTACAGAGATCATAACTTCTCGTCCTCAACCTTCGAGTGGGTCATGTATAATACATCTCGCGGGCCAGGACAGGTCGGGTCCGGTAAAATCGATCGCGGGGCGCGCGCGCGCGCCTCCCCCTTTCGCTCGCGCTCCGCCGTCCCGGAGCCGCAGTTTCGTCCGGTGCCCTGCCAGCGTCGCGTCGCCGCCGCCGCCACCGACTAGCAGCGCCCACTTGCACGAGAACCGGCTGGGGGGGCCCCGTCCAGCCGCCCGCCAGGTGCCCGAAGGAGCGCCGGTCGCGCCGCCAGCGAGCGAAGGGGGCGCCCCACGGGGGCACAGTTCCGCGCCGCCCCCGATGCCGATCGGGCTCTGAGCCGCGGGGCGGAGGGCCCGAACGCAGGTGCCTATCGACATTTTCTCCAGGTGGATTTTTTCGTATGTATCGACGATTTTTTTTACGATTTTTTTTTTGAAGGGGTTGTTGAGTGTCTGCGGGGGTTGCGGAATTGTTTGTTTGCTTCGTAAATATTGGCAGGATTGTTTATTGACAATAATAAATAGAAATGGAGGATGTGGTGCAAATAATAGTTTAAATAGGTCAATTTAAATGATACAACTCCTAATTATTGCGCTATTTTATATTAGTAGAAGTAGTGCATGGCAAACTTTATATTAATGTGAAAATTAAAGGAGAATGTCAATTGCGCCATAAGTGATTGTTTAATTGCTCATAATAATTTGATAAGGAGTAAATAAATAGAAATAGAAGACTTGGTGCAAATAATAGTTTATGCAAAGGTTTAAATAGGTCAATTTAATGATACAACCCCTAATTATTGCACTATTTTATATAAGTAGAAGTAGTGCTTGGTAAACTTTATATTTACCTATATGAAAAATAAGGGAGAATGTTAATTGCGCCATAAGTGATTGTTTAATTTGCTTCATAATAAGTTGATAAGGTGTAAATAATTAGAAATGGAAAACGTGGTGCAAATATAGTTTATGGAAAGGTTTAAATAGGTCAACTTAATGATACAAATCCTAAATTTTTACACTATTTTATATAAAAGTAGTGCATGGTATACTTTTATATTTATGTGGATGTGTAAATAAATAATGGAGAATGTGTTGCAAATATAATATATGCAAAAGTTTAAAAATAGGTCCATTTAGTGACACAACTCCTAATTATTGCAATATTTTATGCAGAAGTAGTGCATGGTAAACTTTATATTTATGTGAAAAATAAGGGTGAATGTTAATTGCGCCATGTTTGTTTAATTGCTTCATAATAATTTGATAAGGTGTAAATAAATAATGGATGTGTTGCAAATGTAGTTTAAGGTATAAATAGGTCAAATTTCAATTAATAATTTGCACTAACCTCCAATTATAACACTATTTCAACTAGGTAAAATAAAAGTAGTGGATGGTATACTTTATATTAAATTTATGATTTATGCGAAAAATAAGGAAGAATGTCAATTGCACCCTTCGTAATAATAACTCCTTTTAAAGCAGATACTAATTCAAATAGGTCAATATTTATTAAAGTAAATCTTCCATTAACAGAAAAATAGTGTATGGCACGCTTTATACTAATAGAAAATTTACGAATTGATTTCTAAATCTTCTAATTCGTGAATCAACGATGCAAATATTTTCTTACGAACGTTACGCAACTATACGAGGGTTGATCGGTGATTTTTCCCCAATTAATTTTTCCCCCAACGTTGATTAAGTTCTCGATATAAAGTCGACCGTACACGTAACGATTCGTTCGCTATAGTATTGCGAAAATTCCTCGTCCTTGCGCGATTTCGTCCTTAAATCATGCGTTAATAATTAAATCTTAATTATAGGAAAATATTCGGGTAACCGGGAGCCGGTCCTGCGTAAAAGGGGCCTGCATAAATGATAAACTGCTATTGACTGGCAGCGGACATTTTGAAAAAGGTCACAACGCGATTTATTTACCGATCTTCGAAAAATCACTTTTCCCCCTAATGGGGAAATTAGATTGCCCGTTAAAAAATTAACCGAGCACAATTCAATTTAATTTCTATGGCGTTTATTCTAGCGAAACGGAACGGTAATTAAGCGACAAATAAATATATAAATATATGTTCGAATCGGCATTGACAATGGGTCGAAAATTTATTTTATTACTCAATAAATGAATTTTGCAAAACGAGCGGCGCTTGTTCGATTCGAAAAAATAATCCCATCGCGTTCTCTGTGAAAAGAATCGCGTAATTTCGTTACTTCATCGAATGGTCATTTCGTTAAGCTACTTTCGCAATAAATAAATTACTAGATAATATAATATACAAAGTGTTTAAAGTAAATGATACAAGGGAAACAGGAGAGATGGGCTGATGGGCTTTTATATTGCCTAAGTTGCATTCCTGAGGAGTTGACAGATGACTTAAGACAGATGATAATAATGTAAGACAGCTGTGACGTGTGACAGATGACATACATGTGATTATTTTTGTGTACAAATTAGCTTTATGGGAAGTTGCCTTTCAAGGCCATTAAATCCGTGACAGCTGACGTAACTTTAGAGAATCGCCGATTTTTTTTTTTGGTTTTGCTTCATTCGATTCGAAAATTTGCAATTCGCACGTATAATGGCGCCCCATATACATTTCAATTTAGGCGCCCGCAGAAACTTCAACCACTCTATATTCAAAATAGCCTTTACATAAACTAAAGATAGAGCAAAGGGGGAGAACGTTTCCCTTCCCGTTTCCCTTATTTGCCCGTCGAAAAGTTATGCAAACCCGGCCTCAAACAATGCGAAATTTTGACGTTGACGTTTGCACGGAATCCACGGAACATTAAAATATATAAATGCAAATTTGTATAGGCAATAGGTGCAACAAAGACGACTTTCATTAGACACTTATAAAAGGAATAGAAAGAGTGATATATGGTGTTATTGCAACTTTTCACTTTGACAGGTGTCATTTTGACTGCTTTGACAGCAGACATTTTGAATCTTTCTTTGTTCAACTAATAAAAATGACCGTATTGCGAACTGAAATGAATGAAAATGATTAAAAATTAATTTTTTTGTTTCAGAATTGGACGCGATTTCGGAACATGGAAATTAAATTAATTATACACGAACACACCGACTGATTATTGCCTAGTTTAAGAATAATATCAGCAATATAAATTAAATTGTAATAAAAATTACTATTATTAGGGTAAGTGGATGAATTTAATTATTATTACTAATAAAGTTTGCGAAATTGCAATTTAAATAATTGTTCGCGATGATCCAACCTAGCGATTTTTGGTGACGTTGTCGTTGAACAAATATCTTTGACGTATATGTCAAAAATTGACAGGAGATTCGTGTTATATACAGAGTGGCACTATTAAAGTAAAAGCCTTAAATCTTGGAAATTACACGAATTTTTCGTTGAGCCACTCTGTATAATTTCACATCGCTTTACCTACTATCTCTTGATAGCGAACGGAGTATAATTCAAAACATTGACAATTGACAGTACCTCAATGAACATTTAACCAATACCAAGGCACACTAAACATTCCTAGGTTGGCTCGTCTCGCCTCATTAATGACGTATGCATACATACGAATTATACAGAGTCTCTCTAAAAGATCGGGACATGGTTTAACTGCAGATATTTTCATCCCAGAAGTCCGCAGTTAAGCCACATATGTCCCAACCTATTAGAGACACTCTGTATATATATATTTTATATACAGGATGTCGCCTTGGCTGTGTCTCGTAATGGTGATGCTGGCGGCGAATTTTCGCGGAATATCGCCCGGCCCGGCTTGCAGGATCAGCGAATTTCCCTGCAGGAACGGCCGCTGCGTTCGGCTCAACGCCTACTGCGACGGCACCGACGACTGCGGCGACGTCTCCGACGAGCCGCCATTTTGTACAGGTAAATCGCGCGGCTGTCAATTTGAACTGTCAATTTTCGCGTTGCCCTTTGCGAAGGGCCATTGACATTGTTGCTATAGGAGTACCCCGAATCGCGATTAGAGTAAATGCGAGGGTAGGGTGAAAAGTTCTCACTATTTTTATGATTCATTCTAGAACTGTCCAGAATCATATATAACGCTCCAGAAACATTTAAAACTGTCTAGAACCGTTTAGAACGCTTCAGAACCATTTCGAACACTTCATATATAGTCAGTTAGAATGCTTCAGAATCATTTAAAACTCTCTAGAACCGTTTTGAACACCCCAGAATCATTTAGAACTGTCTCTAATTGAAGAAATCGACTTAATATGAAGAATAATGTAATTTTTCAACTAAAAATCGCTGATCTTTCATTGTCAGAGTACTTTTCACCTTACCCTTGTAGCGGTATAAGTAATATTGATAATAGAGTACTTACAAGTTAAAGTTGGTTGAATTCCGCGATGGTACGAGGCCAGAGTTGTAGAAAAAACCTGTAAAGAAGATCCCAGTGTGTTAATCACAAATTTCCTTATTACTTCTTATTTTAAAGGTTTAATATTGGGGCACACCCTTTGTATTGATATATTTTTGAAATCTACGGAAAATTTTGGAGTACTTTTGTGTAAGGCCCCTTATCATGTTACCGTAGTGAGCACTGGATGAAGGGTAGCGCTAAAATAGACATTCGAAATCGCGCTACCTTTTTCGTTTATTATAACTAAAAAAAACTACACAAATTTAAGGACAATCGCTGTTTATTTCGTTATTTTCCCCGTTCGCCGCGAGCATCCTCCTCAAATTCGCCACGCACGCGCAATCCAGCCGCCTAATCCCTTTTAAATGCGTCATTTTCGCCTTCACCACCGCCCCGTAGCTCAAACAGCTCAAATTATCGTTGTCGCTCAAATCCAGCGTCACCAAATCCACGCGCAGGTTCTCCAACAGCCGATCGGGAAACCCGGAGAGCGCGTTCTTCGCCAGGAAAAGCACCTCCATCGTCTCCACATCGCCCAACAGCTTCTCGTGCAAATCCCCGATTTCGTTTCTATCCAACCACAACTGGCTCAAACTCCTCAAGCCGCGCAAAGCCGACTCCTCCACGCTGGCGATGCTGTTTTTGCTCAAATAAATCTTCACCGAATCGTTCGATAAGTTCGCGAAAGCCGCGCTCGGCAGACTCCTGATGGAGTTCCTCCTGAAGAACGCCTGCACCAAATTCGGGGTGTTTTTGAACCAGTTACCGTCCCAATAAATCAAAAAGTTGCTGTTCAATCTCACCGTCACCAAACCGGTCATGTTGTCGAACGCCTCGCTCTCCACGTAGCGAATCCTGTTCCTGTGCAAGGACAACTCCCTCAAGCGAGCGAGGGTATTGAACACTCCCGATTCGACGCTGTGGATTTTGTTGTCGTGCAAGGATAGAGCGAGGAGGTTGGGTAGGGGGGAGAAGGCGCCGGGCGCCAGGCGTCGGACGCCGCAGGACGCCGCCGAGAGCGTCGCGAGGGAGGGGCGGGCGGCGGGGAAGAACCGGGCGTCGATGGCGGGGATTCGGGCGCGGATTTTGAGGTAGGCCGTGGCGGGGTTCAGGGTGGAGACGGGGAGATCGGGTAGGGGGATTTTGGCGCCCTTCGGGGCGGTTTTGTACCAGTTGGAGGCGGGGAGGGCGGCGCGTGCGCACAGGGCGATGAGTAACAAACGCGCGAGCATGGTCGAGGTTCGAATGGCGGGCGAGGCGAGTGTTTTATGTTATAAATACATCATGAAAGTTGTTGTTTTGTGTAGTTAAGAGGTCGAGGGGTTATCTGGGAGTTCTATAATAGTCGGAAATATGTTTGTATAGTGGGTAATGTATTTTATTTTATACGCAAATTTTGTTTGTTATTTGGGTTTAAGTCGGGTTTTGAAATAACAATTCGTATTGTAAATAGGGTTAAAAATAATGTGGATACTCATTTATGAACGCCAATTTAAATTAACCGACTTTCCTCTAAAAATGTATACTTTTTAATTGTTCCTCGTATAAATATAAACGCAAATGTAGAGGATGATGTCTCGAAATAAATAACCAACTTTTCGCAAAGTATTAATAACAGATAATTTATAAAATTTTATTTTAAATACCCTATTCTCTCCCGAGTTTGATTATTATCTAATAGACATTTTAATTTCAGTTTGCAATCGAACTTATTACGGGGACGTCGGGAAAACTTACGAATTGAAAGTATCGAAACAACCGGATGCCAAGTATCCGTTTCTCTGCCATTTAACCTTCACTGCCAACGGACAAAATCACGGGGATATCATCCAGGTAAAATTTCAAAACCAAAAATTTTCCACCGGCAAAATCCTTCAATTTTCTTTTCCCCGCCTAAGATTCCGGAATCTCCTCTTCACCATCCAAATCTCCCGCAAAAATCTTCTCTTTATCGCCCTAATCCTTCCACTAACTTCCTGGAATATCCATTTTGCCACCCAAATCCTTCCACAAACATCCCACAATCTCCATTTTATCGACCAAATCCTCTCACAATCAACAATCTACTTTTTACCGCCCAAATCATTCACCAAACATTCCAAAATCTCCAATTTACCATCCAAGTCTCCCCCAAACATCCTGGATCTCCATTTTACCGCCCAAATCCTCTGCCAAACATTCCAAAAATCTACTCTTTACCGCCCAAATCTCCCCAAACATCCCAAAATCTTCTTTTTATCGCCCAAATCTCCCCCAAACATCCCACAATCTCCATTTTACCGCCCAAATCCTCTTCCACACATCCCACAATCTCCATTTTACCGCCCAAATCCTCCCACAAACATTTCACAATCTCCATTTTACCGCCTACAAATCCTCTCCCAAACATCCCATCGTCTCCTCTATCCTGCCCAAATGTCCCCCAATCACACCCCCCTAAAAACAACCACCTCCGCGCCGCCCCCGAATTCTCACTCATCACCTCTATCGCCCGCAGCTGATCTTCGACGAATTCAAAATCGGCCGCTACGAATCGACCGCCCTCGACGGCTGCCCCGACGGCTACATGCAACTGAGCGAACTCGGCCGCCCCTTCACCGGCGGCAGCTGGTGCGGCGCCGCCGCCGGCCCGGCCGCCTACTACAGCGAAACCGCCACCGTCACCGCCACCGTCAAGCTCTTCCCCGGCGGCGCCGCCGCCGAGCCCGTCCCGTTCGCCTACCGGCTGCGCTACCGCTTCTTCGCCAGGCGCGAGGCGGTCGTGCGCTTCGGCTCGCCGGCGGCGCCGCTCGAACGCGGCCAAATCGCCCCCGGCACCTACTGCACGCGCCAATTCGAAGAGTGCTACCGCAAGCCTTGCAGGCTCCAATCGCCCAACTATCCGGGCATGTATCCGCGCAACGTGTCGTGCTACTGGAGCCTGCGCCAGAAGTTCGTGCCGACGTGCAAGCACGCCATGATCTCGGTGCGCCAGGAGGCGGTGCACAAGATGCAGATGAAGCGATCCATCAACCTGGCCGGCCTGAACAAAACCGAGCGGTTGCTGAAAGCCTGGCGCGATTGCACCGGCGAACGGGACCATTTGATCTTCTACGACGGCGGGTCTACCAACGACGCGGTACTCGCCAAGTACTGCGGCGGCGATTGGTTGCCGCGCGTCGTCTCCAGAGGGCCCGAGATGCTGGTAGCCTTTCACTCTTCACCCTTCAGCATACCCCTAAGATCCCCGTCGTCGCAGTCGCCGCTGAGGGGATTCGAGCTGGACGTGGAGGTCGTCTTCGTCGACTCGGATTCCATGGATTTCTCGCGCCACCCCATCGACTGTCTCTTCTACATCAACGCCACCAGCCCCGACAGCGACGAGGTGTGGACTGGTAGAGGCCGAAGAGGTCGATTGTCCAGCCCCAAGCACTCCCTGCCGCCCAACACCACGTGCGTCTACCGCTTCCAAGGCTACCCCGAGGACTTGGTGTGGATATCGTTCATCTCCTACAGCCACAAAGCGCTGTTGCTCGAGGAGAGAATGGGCAGAAACGACACGTCGAGCTACGGTTGCTCGACTCGCATCAAAATCTGGGACGGTCTGAGCGTGATCGAAGACAAATGCGACGAGCCGCCGAAGCTGTGCGACCACAGCGCCCTCTCCAACGCCTCCAGGACGACCAGACCGTGCTCCAAAGATGAGAGCTACCTCACGATCGGCAGGAATCTGATGATACAGCACTACACCGAGGACGGCACCGCCTTGCACCCGGCCAGCTTCAAGCTCGCCTACGAGTTCGTCGATACGAAGCTCGCCGGAGAGCCGGCGGGCGGCCGGTGCGATCGGGTGCTGAGGCGGCAGCACGTCGGCGACGTGCTGTCGCCCAAGAACGTGTTCCTCTTCGGTAGAGGCGGCGCCAAAGACCTGGATTGCTCGTACAGATTCGAAGCTGGGCGCGACGAGCGCGTCCGCCTGACGTTCTACAACGCCTCATTCGGCGGCAACCCCGCCTGCGAGACTGTCGTGGACGCGCACACGGGGAGGCACTCGTGCGAGTTCTATCCGGGAGGAAGAGTGGCGGAGTTGAGCGTGTTTGAGCTACCCTGGGAGGGTTATCCGGTGCCGAAGCTGTGCCTCTGCGACAACTCGACGCTCGCCAATCGACCGCTGGTGTTCGCGTCGGCGTCGCGGACGGTCGAGCTGCGGTTCACCGCCAAAGACATGAACGTCAGCGACGACTTCACCGTCATCCACTTCCATCTGCTGTTCGAGCTGGTCAAGATGGACGATTGTTCGGAGGATCGAAGGTTGGGTGGTTATGGTGGTGATGTGAGGCTGGATTCTGAGGCGTCTTGCGCCGGGATGCCTTGGTTGGTGGAGGCGCGCCACAATAGGAGCCTGTTTTTGCTCAGTTGGGGCGCGTTCCTGCCGCTGAAGCCTCGAATAGAAGAGGCGATCCGATGCCCGTCGAGTAACAGGATATTGGTGTACTCCGGGCGACCGCCGAAGCTGGTGCGCGTGGTGTGCCCGGCCGAGCCGGGCACGCGCCCCCTCGCCGTGCACGTGTTCAGCGACGAGTGGTGGGGCGAGCCGCCGCCGCGCCGACCGCCCAATTTCCTGGTCGAGTGGATCGGCGCCGAGGCGGGCGCGGCCGCCTTCAGCTGGCTGGAGATATCGCGGCCGCGCTCGTCGCTGATGCACCAGCTGCAAGTGCCGGCGAACGCTTCGGGCAACGACAGCGACGCCGCCGGCGGCGGCGAGTGCGCGCACAAGTGCCCCGAGCTGGACGCCTGCATCGGCGCCGAGTTGTGGTGCGACGGCAAGGACCACTGCCCGTCGGGCTACGACGAGGCGGAGGCGAATTGCGGCGCCGCCGCCAAGCTGCTCAACGCGCTGCCGTTGGGCGCGGCGGCGGCGGCGGCCGGCGCCGCTGTGGCTTGCTGCGCGGTTTGCGGGGCGGTTTGCGCGGTGGCGAGGCGGTCGCGGGCGCGGCACCGCCGCCGCATGGCCAAGAAGAAGCTGCTGGCCGGGCCGAAGCTGCTCGACGGTTTGGATTCCTGACGCAAGGCGCCGCCGCCGCCGTCGCCGCCGCCGCCGCCGCCCGTCGAATACATACACGTGGATCGGGAGACGACCGTGTGATGGGGGGTGGCGTGCCGCCCGATACCGTCCGTCCCGATGCTCACTCGATGTTTTTTTTTTCTGTTTTTTTTTTTTTGTATCTAAACTGGTGCCTTTCTGTGATTTACAACGGTTTACGACACGTGATATAACAGCATAAATATTATGATATATGTGTGTTATCTGTCGCACGTTCGAAGCGTCGTCGTGTTTAGATTGGGGGACTCTATTTGTGGGGACTGTTTGCGAGTAAAGTAAGAGGATATATAGTATTATATTATGTACGTGAGGGGGTTGGAACATTTACTAGAACGTTTTCGCGATGCCAGAGCGATGCTTTAAAAATCAATTTATTTATACTCGAATCTTTGTTTTCTTCAGATTGACAATTGACAGATGACAAATGACAGATTAAAGACGCCAGATCACAAATCTAATCTTCTTCAACATCTAGCCTCAACACACAGTAGGCTATTCGGCCTACCAAATGACAAATGATATATGACAGTTGACAGTCGATAAATGGCATATGACAAATGTCAAACGTCAAATGACAGGTACAGTATTATCTCTGATGAGTGAAATAATGAAAATTGATGCGATTAATCGTAATGGCAGAGCGAAAACGAGCTTTTAGATAAAAAAAATCATAAACCTTTTATAATGTAATAAAGCAGTGTTTTAATTCGACGTTACGCACCAAATAGTAAGCGATTCACAATCAAATTAACGCGTGTTAAATGCTCCTTTTTCAATGAGTTCTCCGTTAAGTTTATGTTTAATATTATGTATGTATTTCTTGTTTTCTTATTTTTGTTGTTTTCTATTTTTTGATCGTAACGAAAATATGTTAAATTACACGACAATTGTTCCTGTAGTGGAAAAATCGTTTGTATTCTAATTGTATAAGAGGAATTGAAGCGCAATAATTAATAGATGTAGAATTTTTCGAAAATTTTCCAATGTTTGTTTTTTAATGAGTAACTTTCGTGCAAGAAGTTTGAAAATCGCGCCGGTCACGTCTCTAGCTATGCTCATCGGTCTGTACACAGTACCGGATTTTCATGTCATTTATTATTGAATGAGACGAAAATTTTCATTATTATATGAAACAATTTTCAAGATATCGAAATTTTTCAAAAACCTGAAATATTTCTACTTTTTTGTCTTACAAATATTTAAACTAGGAATAACCAAAGGACTCTCTTCAAACTGAATCCGGTCCTGACTGTGTACACGACTAATTTCCGATTAATTTCCCAAAAGATTGCAACACATTCGCATTAAATAATTCCATTAAAACAAGAATTCGTATTTTGTAATACATCAATATGTTTACAAGAAAACGCTAATTCGCATTGGCTATTTATCATCGCTAGTACAAGAAAAACATTGCTCAACTATCGACATTTTTATTTATGTAGGTACAATGCAATTCCACTGAAAATTTAATAAACTAAAAAAAACTCGAAAAAACCCCTTTACTTTACTCTTAAATCGGATACAAACAAGCAATCTTAGCACTTATGAACTTGCCAAAACAATGCAAGTTATTATGCGAATATTGCATATAACGCATTCAATACTTCAACTTAATGACGTCATCACGGCGTTATTATAACATTAAATTATAGTTAAAAAAAACAAAAATTGGATATACAAATACGTAAAAAAACCTGATGTTATAAATTCGTTTCGATTGACAAACTTTTTATTTATCCCTATATTTTAGTGAATTAATTGGGCATGTTTCGTTTGACGCCCGATAATTGATCGATGGAGAATCGGTAATTAATCGATAGAGAATCGATTAACGGGCGACATGTAAATTTCACCGGAACGATTAATTTGTTTTTTTTTTTGTTCTTATGTAGTTTGTCTTTCGCAAGCGAAAACGAGACGAAGGAGGTGGGAGAAAGGAAACAAAAATATAAGCGTATTTATTATTATTAATGGATAAGTTTCTATTAGAGAATTTATAGTTTAAAAGGCTCGTTATAGGCTCGTTGTGTTATTTCGAATTTGTAAATTAGGACCCGCCTGTAATTCTTTTTTTTCGACTATTTTAGAACTATTATCGAGATTTTTGTACATACGGAAGAAACGTAGATTAGCGAATTTAATTCTCGACACATTTTTTTTTATTTTCGTCGTTGGGAAAATGGCGAATTTTTAATTTTCCCGTCATTTAATTTGCCAAAACGACTCGACATTGGAATTATTTATTTCACTCATTCATATAGAAAGTACAAGGTGTACCAATTAATTTCGCACATTTTATGTAATTTTTACTACCCATACAAACAAACAAATAATTTATATATTTTTTATGATAATCAAGCGCTCGAATATTCTAATATCGAGTCCGGAAGATCGTTAATTTATTCATCTTTTCTGTATATTAATTAGAACGTGCACAAATCGAAAAATCTAATAGTAAAAAAAATGGAGAATGTTAATAATACTTAAGTAATCTAAGGATTGTATAGTAGAGGGACAAAAAACGGGACAATTATTATAAAACAGATTATCGATCGGAAATTTTCCAAATCGGAAATTTTCGATCGATCGAATTATTACGTTATTGATTTACTTTAAATAAAATTAATATCGACACAATCGCGTCTAGTTTGATTTTTTTCAATTACAATCCCAGTCACCTGAGAAATCACACGATTGATTTCTTTCGAAAAATCAAGTAGGCGTATACCATAAAAAATAATCGATAAAAAAATCGATATATATTTTTGGGCACAACGTGTAAAGAGATGATTATCGTTTTTCACCTTGCGAGAAATCGATTAAATCGTTTACGAGCGAAAGTTCGAGATGATGTAAATGCGAAAATAAATAAAATCGCAAGAGGCTTTAATGTAAAAAGATTGTATACGATTGTTTAAATTCGTTTTATTGGTATACGTAATTCCTCTTTATTGATCGTATATTAGATACTTGTATAATAAGGAAAACTGAAATCAATTCACAACTATTTTATTCCGGTATCTAAATATGAGTTCTATTCTAAATTTACTTTACTCTGAATCTAAAACTGCTTTAAATCTACTCTGAATTTACTCTAAACCTTCTATGAATTTACTTTACTCTACTGTGAATCAACCTGAATCTACTCTACTCTGAATTTACTCTACTCTTCTTTGAATTTACTCTAAACCTTCTATGAATTAACTCTACTCTGAATTTACTCTAAACCTATGAATTTACTCTACTCTATTGTGAATCTATCCTGAATCTACTCTACTCTGAATTTACTCTACTCTCCTCTGAATTTACTCTAAACCTTCTATGAATTTACTCTACTCTGAATTTACTCTAAACCTTCTATGAATTTACTCTACTCTATTGTGAATCTATCCTGAATCTACTCTACTCTGAATTTACTCTACTCTCCTCTGAATTTATTCTAAACCTTCTATGAATTTACTCTATTGTGAATCTACCCCTGAATCTACTCTACTCTGAATTTACTTTACTCTGAATTAACTCTGCTATAATCTGCTACTCTAAATTTACATTGATTCTGCTCCTCTGAATCTACTCTGAATTCACTCTACTCTCAACTCTCTACACTCTACTATCTACTCTTTTCTCTCCATGCTCGTAATTTTAATTTACTGGGTAACTGTTCTATTTTATCATGCAAATCTTTTACAATTTGACTAGAAATATTCGAAAATTCAGAGTGAATTTTTAGAATTTCCTGCAGATACAGGGTGAGCCAATAGGTTTTTCGAAATATACGCAATATATAGGTAAATAGGCGCATATTTAACAATTAACCCACATTCCAGTCCGATTCGACGACATTAAATATTGTACAACAAATCAATTAAGAATTCCCCACGTGAAACACGCCGATGTATATAATTGCATTAATTGCCCGTGCCCGGATTTTTTATACATCTACACACAGCGACTTTTACGAAATTACCAAATAAACGATTAAAAAAAAAAACGAAATAAATACATCATTCAATCAAAACATCAAAAACGCGCTTTCATTAAATTCGATCGAGTTATCGTATATTTTTTTTCTTCTTAATTCAATTCATACGAACGCATCGAAATCGGACGAGGAAAGTTTTAATGTAAACTAACCACTCGTTAATTAATTAGTTACATAAAATAAAAAAAATATGGTGGAATCGCAGAATTCCATTACATAAAACGTCCTCGAATTGGACCGTTTTAATTGGGCACATACTCATCAGCCGTGATTTAAGTCAACATCATAGATAGTACTCAAAAAAATCGAAACGAAAGCACCGGCACTTTCATACATATACAGGGTGGCCCATTGAAAAAGAAACGCGGGTGTTATTTGGGTTTCAACGGGCCACCCTGTATAAATACATACACGCTAAATTGGTAATAAAGATTGTTCCAAAATTCGAACCAATTCTAGTCTGAATCTACTCTAAAACTACTTTGAATCTACTCCTCTGAATTTACTCTACTCTACTGTGAATCTACCCTGAATCTATTCTACTCTTCTCTGAATTTTCTGTATTTTGAATCTACTCTAAACTTTCTATGAATTAACTCTAAATCTCCTTTGAATCCCCTCTGAATCTACTCTGAATTTACTCTACTCTTCTGTGAATCTACCCTGAATCTACTCTACTCTTCTCTGAATTTTCAGTACTCTGAATCTACACTAAACCTTCTATGAATTAAGTCTAAATCTACTCTGAATCAACTCTACTCTACTCTGAATCTACTATATGAACCTACTCTGAATTCACTCTATTCTACTGTGAATAATTGTTCCAAAATTCGACCTAAAGATTGTAAATTTCAATTCCTTTTTTGATATCTCGGCAGCCCAAAAAACCAGATGACAAGAATGACAGATGACAAGAATGACATATGACAAGAATGACAGATGACAAGAATGACAGATGACAAGAATGACAGATGAC